TATTTTAGCAGTGAGAGCTTGTGTGTCCTGCAAGACTGTCCTGATGTATCACTGTATCATTGTAAATGATTGGTGGTTGTGTTTTTTGTGCACTGTGTGCTCACTGCCAAAATATATCCTCAACATCTCTCTCTCTCTCTCTCTCTCTCTCCCTCTCTCCCTCTCTCCCTCTCTCTCTCTCTCTCTCTCACCCCCCCCAATCTGAGGTGCCATGGTGTAAATGTTGTAATGTTGGATCCTTTTGTGGTGCTATAATCGAGACATTTCATAAGCCTGTTAAGCATAATGAACTAAATTAACATGTAAGTATTGTATAACATTTTCTGGTGAAATCGGTGTTGAATGTCAATAAATTGAAATTATGCGACGAGTTACTGCAAGTGATCCTGACGTGGATTATGTTCAAAAGATAACGCTGCATCCCGTATCCCAGAGCCCGTATTACGCAAAACCAAATTTCCTTTTTTTATTAAAGAGTTTGATGTATAATGGAAACAATGTCAGTTTCAAAACATATAATTCATGCCTGAATCCATACAGTTCATATATGGAAGCTAAGCTGCAAAAAATAGCCCATTTTAAATGAATTGTTTTTGTGATGTCAACATGTTTACATCTGCCTGTTCAGATTGTTTATAAGAGTGGGCTGGATGACAGGGAGTGGTGGCAGTCGTGGGCTGGAGGTTAGGGAACCAGCCTTGTGACCGGAGGGTCGCCAGTTCGATCCCCTGAGCCGACAGTGCGTGACTGAAGTGCCCTTGAGCAAGGCACCTAACCCCCAACTGCTCCCCGGGCGCTGCGGTTAGGGCTGCCCACCGCTCTGGGCAAGTGTGCTTACGGCCCCCCAGTGTGTGTTCACTAGTGTGTATGTGGTGTTTCACGGCACAGATGGGTTAAATGTGGAGGTGAAATTTCCCTGTTGTGGGACTAATAAGGGTTACTGTATACACACTGTATACACATGACTGTGTAGCCAAACACACATCTAACATCATCAAGTTTGCTGATGACACTATCATCCTTGGCCTCATCACTGATGGAGATGAAACAGCCTACAGAGACGAGGTCAGCGCTCTGTCAGCAATCTGTGTGGAGCCACAACAGCAATCTCTGTCTCAACATCAGCAAAACAAAGGAGATGATCATGGACTACAGGAAGCTGCAGAGGGCTGGTCACTCTCCCCTACTCGTCAATGGAGCCAAAGTGGACAGAGTCACCAGTGTAAAGTTTCTTGGCGTACACCTCACTGATGACCTCACCTGGTCCCTCCACGCCAACACTATTGTGAGATCTGCCCGTCAGCATCTCCTCTTCCTGTGTAGGCTCAGGAGGTTTGGACTGCCTCCTCAGATCCTCACCAACTTCTACAGATGCACCATAGAGAACTTCCTCACGGGCCGCATCACTGTCTGATACAGCAGCTGTACTGCCTGCGACCCTTAAAGGAGTGGTGAGGATGGCAGAAGCCATCATAGGCAACAAACTATCAGCCTTGCAGGACGTCTGTCAGTCCCGCTGTGGTCAGACAGCGTCACCCAGCACGCAGCCTGTTCACCATCCTGCCATCAGGCAGGAGATTCGGCAGCATACAGGCCAGAACAACCCGGCTAATGAACAGTTTCTGCCCACAGGCTGTCAGGCTTCTGAACAAGCTGGGAAGCTGAGGGTCCGTCCTCAACTACCATTTCACTCAGTCACTTTGTCAGTATTATTATTATCATATTACTGCTATGGACAATAACACTGTCACTTTAAAGACCAATAACACTGAGTCACTTTAAAATGTATATGTTCTTCATAGATTACCTGTTTAATATAAATATATTTGTACATAGCAGAGAGGTTTTTTTCTCCTCACATAGCTCCCTCCTGTCTCTATATTTAATGTATTTCAGTTTCAGTATTTTCTTTGTATTTTTATTTTTATTTTGTTTACTTTCTGTACAGTGATTATCTGAGCCTCACCACAGGCATTTCAATGCATGAATGTCCTGACATGTTGTGCAAATGACAAACTTGAAACTACTAAGCTAAAACGTCTGTCGCCCTCTGGTGGCTGGCTGCAGTACAACTTTTAACCCTGCCCATTCACATTTAAGTGAAGGCAACTGAGAAGAAACTGACTGAGGTTTACATAACCAATACCATTTTTTTTGCCAGTGGTGTTGTCACTTCTGCAAGCTTTCGTGCCTCTAAAACGGGTTCTCAACCTTTTCCACCCCAAGGCCCACCTGTTCATAACTATACAGCTCACACTGAAATCCTGTGAAATAGGGCCTGAAATAATCAGTCAAGTTCATTTCTATCACAGAAACCAAAATTCTGCACTTATGTTCAAAAACATAACATGTTGAAAACCATATGTTTGTCAAAAAAGGTGGATGTAGATGTGGACTGTGATCTGGAGCTGCAGTCCATCACGTTTTCACTGAAAACACTCTTGTGGCTCCCACAGGAGTCACTGTTTGGTTTGGGGACGTCTCTGTAGATTTGAGGGTGTCACTACAACAAACAATAATAACAAACCTTACTTGATATCTGCTACTTTCTCATTAGTTTATCAGTTTAAGTACACAGCCAGAAATCAAACTCACCGCTTCACTATTGTTTTAAGCCTCGTCTGTTGTTTTTATCAGCTGCAGCTCGAGAGTGTTTAAAGAGTCAGATGTTAAAATAGATAAAATAGACGTTAAAACAATGTTTTTATATGTCTCTCTTAAAATTTGTTTAATTCTTCGATTTTTAATTATTATGCCTGTGTTACTCTTTTTCCACTGCTGTTTTTATGAGTTAATTAAATGGCTTTATGACCGGCCCACTACGAACTACTGCCAGAAAACTTGTAGAGAGAAGAATAATCAGAGCTGGTTTATGAGGAGTCTGGCCACTTCCTATTTCCCCCATTGTATCAAAAACAAGACTTCTAAACAGCAGAGGGCACCCACAAGCAAGTCCTCGATGAATGGGAGTAAATGGAGCTCAACAGCTAAAAACAGAAAGTTAAAATAGTTTCTAACCACTCGCCCAGAACTTTCCTTTAATTTTAGAAAGTAGAAGGATGTATTTCACTAAAAAAGCAAAAAAAAAACTTACCTGTATGTTTCCAATTTTCTATAACAGGTTTTGGGCAGCAGGATGCCGGCACTACTGCTAGGGATTGCTGATTGGTTACCATTACTGTTACTGAGTGCTGATTGGTTAGCATTACTGCTACTGAGTGCTAATTGATTCGCATTACTGCTACTGAGTGCTGATTGGTTGGCAAGCGGAGCGGAACATTGGCTGTTTGCACTCACTGATGTCATGGATGTACATGAGGCGCCGTGTTAAACTCCTATAACTCGACTTTAAAAAACCTCTTTACAAGTTCTCTGGAATTACCACTCTGTAATGTCTTTCTCAAACAGTAGAGGGCGCTCCCGAGTGAATCCAAAATGAATGGGTTAAGCTGGAGCATTTGAGCAAAATCATAGTTTATAAATGCTTCAACATTTTTAATGTAAAAGAATACAATCATTTCCTGAACACAGAACAACATAAACATTTTAGCACCACTGTTTTATTTTTAAGAGCTTTTAAACTCGAGTTATAGGAGTTTAAAACGGCGCCTCGTGTACGTTCACGATGTCATTGAGAGCGAACAGCCAATGAACAATCAATCATCACTCAGTAGCAGTAATGTTAGCTGTAGAAAAAAGGAAACATACAGGTGAGTTTTCTTTGATTTTTAGTGAAATACATCCTTCTACTTTTTAAATTAAAGGAAAGTTCTGGGCGAGTGATTAGAAACTATTTTAACTTTTCATTTTTAGCTGTTGAGCTCCATTTACTCCTTTTATTGTGGACTCGCTCGCCGGCGCCCTCTGGCATTTTGTAGTCATGTTTATTTGTAATTTGGGGAAAAAGGAAGAGGCCAGTCTCCTCATAAACCGCCTCTGGATATACATACATAGATGCCGCGTTGGGTCCAGCCAGGCACGCCGACGGCTCCGCCATTTTGGGGCAGTCACCATCGCTGCTGACCACGTTTAGTACCATTACAGAGCGGCAATTTAAGAAAGATGCTGTCCAAAAGTGTGAGGCACAGAGAACCTGCTTTGTGTGATAGATAGATTAGCACCTTCTTACACAAAGCTGAAGTCTCATTCGAGATATTCCAGCTTCTTGTTTGAATTTTGCGGTTTAAGTGTACGGCACCTCGGAATACAATTGTACTTGTTTACAAGTGACTCTTCACCACTCCAACATGGTGGAGGTACTGGACGATTTAGCTGCACAATGTGCTGTTATTGTTCAGATGTGTCGCACTTGTTGCATAATGCTGAAGTAAACATTGGGGCGAGGTTTCGATTTGGGATATTTGGGGTAGTTTGGGGAAATTTGGCCCATCAAATCATGCACAGATTACATTACTGAACCTCCTCTGGTAAACTAATCCAGTTCAAATAGGGCTTTAAAGGCATAGTAAGAAAAACTGCCTGTTTAAATCTGAGGGAGAAAGGGAGGTTGGAAAATGGTCATGTAAAAATGAATCGTGACTGTTTTAAAGCCACACAAATGTGTGAACAAAAGTTGGATTTGGCCATAATTCAGTTACAGCCCTATTTCACATTATATGTCAGCAGTATAACTATATGAAGTCTGGCTGGCATGCATTTTCTTGGTAGAAGCAATGTATACAGTGCGTCTGCCCTACAAACACAGTTACATTGTGACAAACTACTGTTTTGGCGCCCACAATGTTGTCACAATGTTGAAACCTAATTCCTCAGAAAGTTGTGACAATGTTATCCAGCAACACTGTGACAACATAGAGGCAACGTTGTCAGTACATTGTCACAACTACCTAGAATCCTCATAGATTCCATTATGTTGTGCATGGAACTCAATGGAATTCTGCTAAGTTGCCAATAGGTAGTCATAACAATGCACAGCAACATTACTGAAGTAATGCTTCATCACAATACAAACTAATTAAAAAAGCAAGAAACACAAGTTTGCCTTTTGGGAATGCTTTAATAGAAGTGAGTAAATAAATGCTCCATTTGAAGAAGAGATAAGAGATTGATTGATTCTAAATGGAGAAAAGTGAGCTCATTCTTCTTTCTCCGCCTTGGTAGCAGACTCAGCACCTGGGGATTGAAAATATCAACATCAGCTCTCCGTTCAGGACATCTAATCCTATATAAGATAAAATAGTAAATAAAAAAGCATATTCTATTTGCACAATGTTTGTCATGCAAATAAAAGTTAATGTTTTATGTCAACACTAAAAAGTTGTTTCATCTTGCCCTACTTAGTGTATTTAAAAATGCACTATATGTCCAAAAGTATCCAGGCATTCCTTCCTGTTAATGGCTGCCCACAGCATTTGGCTTCACCATGAAGTTTTGTTCATCTAAACCACATTGACAAGTCTGTGTGACCTTCATGAAGACCTGTATAGGGTTACAGCAGGTTGAGAGAAGCTTTGGGGATGTATTTAAGGAAAAAAATTGGAAGATTGGCATTGGAAGGAATTGGAATCGGAAGGAAAACCTAGATGGGTATAAAGTTCCCCAGCATTGGGCTGTGGAGCAGTGGAACTGCACTTTTTAGTGGTGAAGCACCATCCAATATCTTTGGGATGAGCTGCAATGATCCAGAACTAATCATCCGACAGCAGCACCTGACCTCATGCTCTTAAGGCTGAATGCAATCAGATCCTCACAGCAATGTTCCAACATCTATCTTAAAGTTTTCCCAGTAGAGTAGAGGCTGTTACTGCCCTTGATTTCATAAGAAATGCTAGATGAGCAGATGTCTACAAACTTTTGGTCATATAGTATATGTTTTTTGGTCAACAACCACTAACGCCAACAACTGGTAGATACATTTTGGTCTCATTCCAAACACACAACAAGATGCCAGAGGAAACAGAAACTGCCCTCTGACCTTTGAGGGTGATTGGCCCCAGTGTGACCGTTTCAGTGTGGTGGGAGGAGTCGAGGGATCTCTTCTTGCGCATACGGCAGCCTTGGCGGCAGCGGGAGTTGTAGTCACTGTCAGCGCAGACGATCACCCTACACTGCAGGAAGACGTAGGAATGAGTCCGCAGGAACTTGAAGGCCCTGAAATGGAACTGAGCGTAGTACTGCCTCCCGTTGGTGTAAATGTAGACCGTGCTGTCCTTCGCACAGCTAAAAGAAAACAACAAAGAAGAGGAAAGATCACATCTACTTTGAAGTCTAAACTAATGAGATGTTTGAGGTCTTGAATGTAGGCTATGCTGCATCCAAAGACGTCTGACTTCTGAGTGCTGCTTACACCTTTTTTAAAGGGGAGGTTATTCACAAAGCACCTAGCCAGATAATGATTGCAGGTGACTTAATGTGGCCCTGCACAACGCTGACCTAATGTGAAGTATGCTGGTTAGAAATTTTGTCCAACTTTCTTTCAATGTCACTGTGTCACTGGTGGATCCAGTTTTTAAAGTAAGGCACTGTAGTTGCTCTTCATCTGCTGCACAAGCTACAACACGCCTTCATTAAAGTCAAGTCAAGTCAAGGTTTATATACTCATATAGTGCTTTTTACAACAGGTATTGTCACGATCAATGCAGATGAAGCATCAGCGTCAGACCACACAGAATGGACAGTTATTTATATACAGGCATATGACCCTCATTGGCTGGAATCTCCAATGGCAAACAAAGACAGGTGGTGTCATGTATGTTACGTTTTAATTCTAAGAACTCTCTCAAAGTGTATTTCCTCCTTCTGGCAACTCATTTTTTACAAATGGCCACACTATAGTTTTTATTTCCAGCGTTTCTTTCGAGTGCATCGATTTCATCTGCAACAAAACAAGGCAAACACCATGAGATGATGGCAGTGTTTTTCTACTCCACCCCCACGGTCGTTGGCAGTTCACACTGACCATCAAGTCAGGCTAAGTCGAAAACCAATGAAGCCATAGTAAGCCCAAAATAAAGCCCAATAGGAAGAGAAGTTAGGGAAGTTCCTATTGGGCAATCTTCACTTTGGGCCTGATTTTATCCAGTTAATGGAGAAACACTGCTTTGTAAGCCCTCTAACCATACAACCTTCTACCACAGGGGGGCTGATATATCGTGCAGCAACCAATCAGATACATTTGGAACAAAGTACACCTACTGTACTGTGCATAAGCCAGAGCCCACCCTTCACTTGTTGACCTTCCTGTCAAAATGGTCATTAAGTACAGAAAATATTTCTGAGGAGATGAGACAGAAGATAATACTCTTACATAAGGAAATTGAAAAAGCACAAAACTTTTCATAACCAAAATTATTAAAAGATATAGAGAAAACTGGAATCGTGCAAGACCTGGTAAACCACCAAAACTAACCCTTTCATCTTTGAGAGAGGGGAGAAAATCAAGCTGCTTCAGATCTGAAAACATCCACAGGTGTTTCTGTCCATCCTTCCACTGTGAGAAGACGACTCAGCGCTATGGCTCTGAAAGGATGTGTAGCTGTTAAGAAGCTGTTACTGACTGTTACTAACTGCAAAAATCAAGAAGCTGCTGATGTTCTTGGAGCAAGAGACTGACCACCCAAGAGTCCAGACCTCAACATCGTTGATTTGGTTTGGGAATACTTGATTTGTGAGAAGCAGAAAATGCAACCAACTACTAAGACTGAACTGGAGGTGTGTAAAAAATATACCTGCAGATGTCTTTGAAAAACTGAAAGTGAAAAAAAGAAATAAAGTGAAAAAAGTAATAAACTTGAAGGGTGGAAACACTACATACTGAAAAAAATATTATATCTAGCTGTTGAGTATAATAAATAATAAATAACTTGTACTTAATAACCACCTAGAATGGGAGTTAAATAAATGGATCCTTTCTGACTTTTGAACAGTACTGTATGTATAGTAGGTGTATCTGATAAGACAGCCAGTGTAGATTCAAAGTAGGTGTCCCTAATAAATCAGTGTACCACAATTTAGTGTACCATGATGGTCCTTTACCTGTGGCCCCCAATCCTGATCCTGGAGTACCTGTTCCTTTCCTTTTTTACCTTATCTGCTAAAACAACTCAGGAAGGGTTTGATAATGAGCTGATTAATTGGATCAGGTATTTTGCAGCTGGTACCCTTGCAAGGTTGGTGTACTCCAGGATCAGGACTGAATCTACATGATTCTGAAAACTGGACCTACATGAACATCCACTACATGAGTTGAAAGTCAAGTCTAAACAATGTATAATTAAATCAGTCACGATAATTAGTCCAGTACAGAAGAACACTATACTTGTCCTAGGGACTGTGAAGGACTGTTCTGCTGCTGGCTCTCTTACCCGTTTTGGATCAGGGTATAGGAGCGAGCCTGGAAGTCATGGTTGGGAGAGGCCACACAACTGTCCACCAGGAGGTCCAGGGTGTTGTCTGCTCTGCTGAGCTGCACCTGAACGTACAGGTACTGATCGAGCCTGACCTTGTAGGGAAATTCGAGTATAGGGTAGGAGAAGCTTCTGGAATGGTAGAAGGCCATGCTGGTATTAAAGTGGCCTGTGCCAGTGATGGTGCTGTTGATCGTCACTTCGGTCTTGCAGACTGTCCCCACTGTGGTGTCCTGCCCCTTGTGGCAATTCACGTTCAGCAGGAACTCTTCGACCTGCCGTGTGATCTCGCCCGACTTTGATTGTGCTGCCTGCACGTGGTTACTGTAGACAACGCGTCCATTCTTGGTCTAAAAGGAGGAAAAAAGCATAATGTAAACCAATAAGTCACATTCTGACAATAAGAAACCTGGTTCTACAGTAGTGGTTCCCAATCTTGGGCTCATATTTATGAAGCGTCTCAGAGTAAGAACTTCTTCTAATCTAAGATCAAGGCCTGTATTCATAAAGCTTCACAGAATAAGAGCACTGATCTAGGATCTCTTGTTAGGATGGTCATAGTGAATAGTGTTAGGAAGGTCATAGTGAATAAGAGAGGACTCAAGAACACAGGGCCAGGTCCCATTACCCCATGTAGTCCCATTCAGTGCTATGTAATAAGTATGAACTAATTCTAGATTCACATTCTTGAACTGAGTGGTTTGATGGGATCTGGTCCTGATCCAGCCCTACATCATCCTGAAAAGACTGCAGAAGTATCAGGAGCGTTGGGCTCCACCAAGGTTGTGCCTCGTCTCCACTCCTATTCATGATATTCATGGACAGGGTGTCAATGCGTAGCCGAGGTCAGGAAGGCATTATATGTGGAGACTGGAGGGTGGTAGGCTGGAAAAGGGTGGCATGCCCACTCCAGGTAAGAGGAAAGGACCTGCCCCAGGTGGAGGAGTTTAAGTATCTTGGGGTCTTGTTCACAAGTGATGGGAAGAGCGATTGTGAGATCAGCTGTAGCAGTAATGCAGTCACTGTACCGGACTGTTGTGGTGAAGAGGGAGCTGAACCATAAGGCAAAGCTCTCTGTTTACTGGTCGGTCTACATCCCTACCCTCACATGTGGTCATGAGCTGTGGGCAATGACCAAAAGAATGAGATCACAAATAAGTGGCGGAAATGGCTACACTCTACTTGATAGGGTGAGGAGCTCGGAGTAGAGCTGCTACTCCTCTGCATTGAGAGGAGCCAGTTGAGGTGGTTCGATCTGGATGTCCCTTGGACACCTCCCAGTGGGGGTGTACCAGGCACGGCCTACTGGGACGAGACCCCGGGGTTGTCCTAGGACCCGCTGGAGGGATTGTATCTCCAAGTTGGCCTGGAAGCGGCTTGGGGTCCCCATGAATAAGCACAAGGAAGGTGCGGGGGACAGGGCTGTCTGGGATTCTCTACTCTCCCAACTTCTACCGCAACCCAATCTGGATTAAGCGGTTAATGAATGAAGTATCAGTGATACTTGCTCCAATACCGATACAGCCACCGGTTATCAATAGCAGCCATTATTATGAGCCAACTGCAATATCAGTCTGCCTCTATTTCACATATCTCGGAGGAAGCCCGTTTTAGTTTAGATATTCTAATACTGCACAAATAGTTAATCTAGTCACACTTTGTTCCAGTTTATTTTTTAAAAAACAATATAAATCAAACTAAATCACAGTGAACTAAATCAAATCATAGTGAGATCAGAGATTGGTAACCCTGCTATCTACCTTTGTCCATTTTGTAATCCAATGTTTATCTTACCGTTTTGTTGGTTCCACACATGTCAATAGGGAATTTGAAGAACACCTCATAGCGGTTGGCAGAGGGTCTGCAACGATGGTCATCCACATAGAGATTTTGCCAGCCGATGCCCAGAGAGTCCAGGTACGATCTCTGAATCACAATGGTCATGTTCTCTGAGGAACAGACCACTCTAGCTGTGCAACAAAAGGGTTCAGCAGTTGAGAACGCTGAGGCACCTGGGCTTCATTACATGAGAGGCTTACACATGTCCACAAACACGATGGTTTAAAAGTTTGGACTAGAATTATAGTACAGAACACGGGTGTCCAATCCTATCTGCAGAGGGCCGGAGTGGCTGCACGTTTTCACTCCAACAAAGGAGAAGGTCACCTGATGAAATGTATGAAGACTAAGACCAACTGATTAAACAAGTAGAATAAAGTGTGCTTCAGCTTGTTTGGAGTGAAAACTTGCAGCCACACCGGCCTTTTGCAGATAAGAGTGGACACCCCTGGTACAGAGTAATAACATTAATTTTATTTAGTCAGCTTTCTTTATATCAAACAGCTGGCACAATAAAAAACAGCATTAAAATCTTTTTTATTATAAATGTTGACTGGCCCCCTCGCCTACAAAGACGATAAGATAGTTGGCTATCAGTTTTGTAAATCCTTCACATTTCCAATGAAATGCATTCCATTAATGTGATTAAGAACGAAAATGCATAGTGCATTTTATGGCTACTGTGAAAAGAGGTTCAACAGTCACACGTACTACACTTCCATCAATAAAGCTGTTCTGGGGTCAGTTTTGCATTTCACATTGCTGTGATTTCAGATGCTTAGAAAGACAGAATCTTATCCTAGATTTACACTCTCATATATGTGGACCCAAATTATACACCTAACATATGCAATTATACCCAATTGTACTGTTTGCCATTTTGTTGAGTTTACCTGTATTTTCGGGCAGAGAGCTGCTGAAGAAGCCTATGAAGCCACGAGCCACTCCTGAGCCGTCGCTCCTGAACAGGACAGTCATGTATGAGGAGGATGAGCGGAAGTCCCGGAGGGTGATGTCATTGTAGCACAGCTTGCCCAGCAGTGAGGAGGCGATAGAGGAGCCATCATACACGTTTATATAGTCACAGTCACAGCAGTGCTGCAGCCTGAGCCACAAACACAGAGCCGTTAGCAGCTGATAAACCCAAATGAGAGGTTTGCAGAACCAGCAGTGAAGTCCTGTAAGTATATGTCATAATTTCATTTTAGGTGGTCCTGGGAACTGGTTGGGCCGGCTAGCTAGCAAGCATTATGTCCCAGACACATTGCTATAGTGAGGATGATAACCATCAACTAGCCTACTTTACTGTAGCTAAAACATTAGAAAATCCATTACTATAAGCAAAGGAAAGAAACATGATAACATTTTAAACACAGCCCATGATTGGTAAAGTCGATAAGTTGATAATTAACCTCAAGCCTGCCTTTAAATCTCTAGGTTGAATGGTTGAAGACTGTGATTTTCTCATTATTTTTTCTTCAAAAACGCAATTTTAAAGTATCGTTTTTTGTGATTTTCATAGGCGACTTGCTAGCTTGATATGTAGCAGCCCACATCTGGATCTAGCATAGCTCTGCTAAGTTCGCACAATCAAGAAAAACAGGGTGATGCTGTGCTAACATGTTGGTGTTGGGGGCTTGAATCAGAGACAAATGAGTTAATCCATCTGTGAGACAATATTTTGCTCAAAGTGAGAAAATCCGAAGGTTGTAGCTTAGTCGAATTTCAGAAACAGGGGAAAACTGCTTAAGTACCACTATGCACTAATGTCAAACAGGAGGACTTAACTATCCTCCTAAAAAAATACAGTATACACCAGGTAGCTGGTCACCACCAAGATAGTGAGATAGCTAGTCATCCCCAAAACCAGTATATGTTGTTTTGGTCACTGGCTAAACCAGCATCAGGCCTTTGAACAGCATGCAATTCTTGCTAGTCTAAGCTGTTTGTTTCATAGACCATAGACCAACACAGATGGTCACCAGCAAAACCAGCATATGTTGTGTTTTGAATGCTGGTATGCTAGTCAACCCGAATGACCATACCGGGAGACCAGCTAAACCAGCACCAGCACTAGTCTAGCATAACCCTGTTGCTGGAAGAAAACCTGGTATCTCCAAAATGGTAATTTTACAGGAAAAGGAAAAAACTACTTTACTTTTAATGTAAGTCAATGGAACCAGAGTTTTTTCAAAGTCATTTTGGGTCATTTATTTTAGTCCATTCATCATGAAATTTACATACAATGTAAAGGGTAACAGGTACTTTCAAAATATGTCAAATACTGAAAAACATCAAAAATGGAGATACAAGGGTAAGAAAAAGTAAACAAGATTAAGAGAAGGTCTTGTTTAGAATATCTTTGCCTCACCAAAACATAAAACATGAGCCTAACAAGCATTTTACTGAAAGTGTTATGAATTACTTACTCAAGATCTACAAACGACAGAAAGATTCTCTGCCCTGCAGGAGCAGAGAGCTGCCATACACAATGTGCGTTGTCAGGGTAATTATTTGGATAGTCAGGGCTGGAGACTGACCCAGAATCAAAGAAGTGTCCTCCACAGGTGGGCCGAGTCACTAGAGATCAAGAGAAAACTACTCGGTCAAAGTTACATAGCACTGGTGGAGCTAAGAGGCTAACATTGCTAACAAACATTAAATGTCAATAGTCACTCACCTTCTTCAAGATACACCGATCAGGCATAACATTATGTCCTTGTTTCTACGCTCATTGTCCATTTTATCAGCTCCACTTACTATATAGGTGGACTTTGTAGTTCTACAGTTACAGACTGTAGTCCATCTGTTTCTCTGCATACTTTGTTAACCCCCTTTTACCCTGTTCTTCAGTGGTCAGGACCCCCCATGGACCCTCACAGAGCAGGTACTATTTGGGTGGTGGATCATTCTCAGCACTGCAGCAACACTGACGTGGTGGTGGTGTGTTATTGTGTGTTGTGCTGGTCTGAGTGGATCAGACACAGCAGTGCTGCTGGAGATTGTTGTTCCTGACACTGAGCTGGATTAAAATTACTTACTAAACTACTCATTTGTACAGTATAACTAAAGTAAAGAAGGAAGGAAAAATCAGTAAATTGGACTGTGAGTGGAAAATGAGCAATGATAAGTGGAATTTTGTCTATTACTCTGCTTAACCGCCAGTGGGCCACCCGGAAAACGCTGAGCAAAATGCCGTTGGAACGCCAGCTTTGCCATGATTGGGCTGACAACACTTATGTATACATAAAAAACTGGGTAAGATTCACAGTGTAAATGCAGGCATATACTAGAAGCAGAACACATTTTACCATAACAAATCTTTTCTTATCTGTTAAATCCAGATTGTTGTTACCTGGGGGTAGTTCAGTTGTGGCCGAGCAGTACGCTGCATGAAGAAGATACAAGACAGTGGATTAGCACTGACCGAAAAGCGTCCACAGCAGGTATAATGTAAAAACTGAGATTAGTTTATGCCCAGCAAATGGGCCAGAAAGGCTGTTCTCGATCAGATCAAGAGGTGCTCACTGTAGTAGTCATGGCAACAGTTTCCATAGTACGGACAGGAGCTGGTGCAGGAACATGGGCTAAAACTATAGCCACAGTTCCCCCTGCAGGAAGGCATTTCTGTCCAAGAGGGAAAAAAGTGGTTACATTAAATGATTTTCTAAGTGTAAATAAGTTGACACATCCTCTAGGGAGAACATGCATCTGCAAAATTTAATGCACAATTACTGTTTATTTTTTAAATATAACATTAACAACTAAGGAAATAAATAAAACATGACCTGAGCTTGTTATGGCACACTTTGTATTTTACTTTTATTAAACAGCAAATAAATAGAAATTGTGCTATAAAATTAGCTGAAAATACCATCCTTAAGTCTGTTGCCAGTAATAAATAAACACACAAATACATAAATAAATCATTCTAATGCTGAGATCAGTTCCAGGTGCCTGAAGATAGTGGCTTCCAAAACAGGTAATAGATCAAATCTGATGAAACATTTTATTACACACGGAATTAATCTCCGTCAAGAAAACTGCAGAATTTTTGACTGCATCAAGAACAGCACTGTGTTGCCGCTGGAGGTGGGAGAATCTGGGCTAAACATATTACAGAAACTCGCAGACACCAGTGTTTCCAGTGATAAAATATCATCGAGTAAGTTAACAGTTTACTGTGCACCTTCCTTGCTTTGCCAGAGAAAACTCACACTGTTTGTCAGCACTGAAAGCCAGTTAGGATTCAGCTAACTTTAGCATAAAACTAGCACATATTAGCTAGCTAGCTGGCCACAATTCAGCCGCCGTATGAACATATCTGGAATGTTGATATAATTCATGTTTTGTAGGTTTAATAAATGAGCCCTTTAACTACTTGCATGTCGTTTTCATGTTGGAGGTGAGGGCTTTGACAGTGCTCGGGCCAGTTTACCAGTTCTACTTGCACTAAAGCGGTTGCCCACGGAGAAACAACCCCTTTCACTGTAGCAGAAAAGCTGAGGATGTCAGTTGAGAGGAGGGAAGAAGAGCCACAGAGCAGTAACCGGTTTTATTGTTAAAGGATTGCAGCCCTTTTCGACTGTTGAGTCTCCCTGGTTCAGGTAGGATATCGCTGTTATCAGAAGAAAACCTCGTATCTCCATAATGGTAACTTTACAGGAGAAAGAGAAAACATACTTTACTGTTAATGTAAGTCAATGGAACCAGATTTTTTTCATTTTGGGACGTTTCTTTTGGTCCATTGTTCATGAAATTTACACACGTCAAACTGTGTTAAAACCTGAAAAACGACAAAAACGGAGATACGAGGTTTTCTTCCGACAGCAGCGATATGCAGGAGACATCATTTGTTTTATCCCTCTATGGCAAACCTGTAACAGTGGTAACCATAATGTGTTCGTACTTTGTGAATATGTTTTTCTCTGTGTTTTACTTATTCAGAGAGATGACAAAAGCATTAAATCCCAAGTATCAGCCCTCATCCAGAGATATGCCGTCAAACACACTACTATCTTCCAGGTATTAAGTAGAAAAAGAAAATCATAATGATAATTATTCCTTTTATATATATATATATATATATATATATATATATATATGTCACAATTAGAAAACAGGTATCGGAAAACGTATCGTTATGGTATCGATATCGAATTGAAAGTATCGTATTGGTATCGAACATTTTCAAACGATACCCAGCCCTAGTCCTGCCAGACGGAACACTTTCCCGTACCTAGCCTAGATTCTAGTCCTGCCTAGCCTTGTTTACTTCTTGTCTAATCTTTTTCCTCTGCGCCTGAATTCCATTAGCCTAGCCTTTACTCTTGCTGGTTGCTAAGTAGTTAGCATTTCCTTAGCCCTACTTCCTTTATTGCTTATCTTGTATTCATAGAATTGCTTTGCTCAGCTTTGCCAAACCTAGCTTTCCCATTTTTTCACTACTTACTAGGCTTTACTTCTGTTACGTCTGGCTTCATTTATCCTTGTTCTTTTATTAGATTGTGTTCATTTAAACCTCTGTGCTACTGTCCCTCCCTGTTTCTGTCTGGATAATTATGCTATTGTACAGCAGCTTTGAGTATGGAAAAGTCAATCATATTTCAGAACCAGTATCCATTTTAGAATTTAGAATTAGAGTATTGTGTAGAATTCTTGCCAAGGACCCAGCTGATTGTATTAAATCATTACCAACCTGAGAACACCCACTGTGCCCGAAAGCCTTGCCGAGTTCCTTTGTGGTCACTTGAGAACACTACGGTCAGGTAGTTCCTGGGGGAGCTGAAGTGATGTCTATTATCTTGAGGCAAGTGCGCCAGCAGTGGGTAAGCAGCAGTGGGACCGTCGTACACCCTGATGGAGTCGCAACATTCCTCCAAACTAGTTTCAAGAAGAAAGAAAGGGAATTGAAAAAATGTCAAAATGAAATCTATTCCAGTTCAGGGCAGCTTAACGACATACACATTTGAGATTACACCTTAATTTCACTGCTGATTTAGAGGGGTAAAGATTAAACTGTCTAATACCGCATATTCTAACAGTTTGAATGAATAAATTCAACAAAATTTACTAAATCGATATGTATGTAAAAGTGAATGAAAGCTGTGACTTACTCAACAAACGTGAAGGTCAAATTAACAACCTGTGTCTCTGACGCCAGAAGTGTCCATGTGCAATATGCATAATTAGGGTAGTTATTAGGATACTGGGGGCTGAAGAATTCTCCACTTGAGTTAGTCAGATCTCCACCACATGGTAGTCCAACTGTAAAGTGGCACATACATTAAGTTTTTACAAATGAGACTTTATGCTTCAAATCCAAAGGGACCAAAATCACATTCACCTTTTTTATGTCGAGTGACAGGTTTCTGCACACATTAGTTTGTGTCAGGACACTTTTTGGAGTGAAATGATGTTTTGACAGCTGATCTTGTAGTGGTATTGTGTCCATTTTCCAGTTCGTCTCCAGTGCCTAATAGTATCCATTTCACATACAATTCTTGAAATACTTCTAGAATACTTGACATTTAAATCCTGAAAAAATTTCTAACCCAAGTTGTTCCCAAAGACAACACAAAATAGCATGAAACTATCCCCCACCAAGAGAGAAAGGAAAGGCGTGATCCCATGATGCAGGTGTTCTAAATACCACAACATTTAGCAAAAATGATTGTCTAAACTGTTTATGTTACTCAAGAGCCAAATAAAATAAAATATACATAACTCATTTTAGTATTTTATTATTACTATCAGGATTCATAACTATTTGGATTCATTTTCAAAATAAATCACCCTGATAAGACATGGTGGCATAGCTTAGCCAAATGAATTCTATAATCTTCCTGATAAGCCACCTACATCAGTGATGACATCTTTCTGTTATCAATTATCAGGAGCTTACAGCTGTTATAAACAAATGATGTTTTTCCACGAGGGATCTTAACCCTGTTTCTACTTTACTCATTAAGATTGTTTTTAAGTTCAAAATGATGTTTTAACTCTTGTAAACTGTTCTAGATTAACATGGTGCTTTTCCAAAGCTTTTAAAACTGCCCTGGTGAAGCCTCTGCTAAAAAAGGGTACCATGGATCTTTCCATACCAAAAAATATTTGGCCATTTTTAATCTTCCTTATTAAATAATGTCTTACAAAAAGTCACTTTCAAACAATTAAATGTGTATCTAATATCATACAAGTTATATGTGAACTATGTTGATCACAAGTTTCTAATCCACCATCTTGAATACTGGGAAGGCCTCTCAGGCTCAATTTTAGAATGGTTTAAACCACATTTAATGAATACACAGTTCTTGGTTTTGCTGGAAAGCATTCATCAAAATATAAATATTTTTTACACATACGTCAAGGTATGTAGCATCTTCATCCTAACGAGAGTTATATATATATATATATATATATATATATATATATATATATATATATATATATATATATATATATATATATTTCTCTGGAGTCCCACAAGGTTAAATTTTAGGGCCTTTTTCCTTTTACATTTCCATTCCAATCAAGACTATGTAGACAGGCGTGTCTCAGATATTCCTCAGTGGATGTCTCTAAATTCTTTACAACAATCACAAAAAAACTGAAATACTGAGCCATGGTGCTGAAAATCAGAGGAAGGTTCTTTAGCTTTGTGTACCAAACCTGAAGTACATAACGTGGGTGCAATCTTTGATTCTGAGCTCTGTAAATGCAGTCACTAAATATTAATAAAAACAAAGGAAAAATGTAATAAAGTTAGTTTTAATTTTCAATCTCAGAGCGATTCAGAGAAACTTGTTCTTAATTATTATTCACTTGCTTTTAATTATTTAACTGCAATTGCAGTTAACCAACCCTGAAATCTGTCGAGTGCTCCCGCACCCTCAGCATCCCCACCTCCTATGTCCCTGTCAGTGTATTTTTTAAATTTGATCTGTCATTATCTTATATGATTTTAATGTAGTTAATACTCTGAGTTGCCTCTATTACTCTTTAACATGATTGCCTGTCTGTAAAGCACTTTGAGCCACCGGTATGAAAAGTGCTCTATAAAGGGCTCATCTTTGCTTGATTTTGCAACCAGTCTTACTTGTCAAGTTGCATAACATAATCAATATTATGTGTATGACATACCAAAAATACACTGAGCTATAAAGTCAGCTGTCATAATGTGCTATATCATGTCACCCTAGAAAGTGTAAAGGTCTGATAAGTGATTTTTATGCCATGTTTTATGATACTTCCATCACTCAAACTTGAATGACGTTTAATACGATGTTCAATTTTCATATCCTACAAACATTTTTAATATTTTACACTATGTTCCCTGAGTCTATTCAGAGAGGCTTGGACTACAATTCACTTCATATCCTACTGAAATGTATTATTGAGAAGCGTTTAGAAACAGGCTAATCAGTTAATGTACCTGTTGGGTTCACAGTAGGTGTTGTAGCTGTAACATGGCAAAAATCTGTGAGGACAAGAAAAAACAAATATCAACACTTTGTCTAAAGATCCAGCCATAACCAATCCCTTCAGCTTTAACCTCTTTCCTTGGCTCACCATAGTAGTCATGGCAACAGCGTCCATAGTATTGACAGAAGCTGGCGCAGGAACAGCTGCCGAGGTTGTAGCCACAGTTCGACCGGCAGGAAGCAACTAATTCCAAGAGAACAAGCATAACTTAGCAACAACAATTACACTAAAATCACTATTCTCATGACTGATAATGTCATAATCAGAACCCATTAGACATTAACAATAACACTGTCATCAATACATCATAACTCAAAATCAAATATTCATTTGTTATGATTTCTAAGGCCTCTGTTTAAACAGAGGGATAAGACAAATATAATATGTTTAAGCAACAGAACACGAGATGGAGTGTGTTATCGCGAAATAACATCACAGCTGTTATTTGGTCGCCGTAGATCATCACAGCCGTGATGTTATTGGCGATAACACACTCCTCGAGTGTTCTATTGCTTTTATGCAACAGTTAAATAAATAAAGTAATAAATTAATAAACTGGGCCGTGAACGCGGAGTTTAATATGTTTTAATGTTCGCAGTTCCTTCACCAAATTATAGTTCCTTAACAAGCAGCTTGTTGCTACGTCAGAGTAACGAGCTCCGCTCACTGTAAGCCTCACCTTTTGAAGAACAGACTGAGCCATAAAACTGCAGCAATATCAAGTTTAGCTCAGTTTTGTCTTTTTTGCCAGATCAGTATTAATGTTGTTTTGTTCCAGTTTGTTCCAGCCAGTCTGTAAAGCATCTTACAGCCCATTTAGTTTGGCGAATGGTGTTGGGTTCATTTCTGGCTGATTCCAGGTTGTTTAGCTGTTCTTCTGTCACAGCTGCCGACTGAAAAGCTGCTCAGTGGTGATGACGGTTTGGGAATTGAAGTCTGACCAAATCACCTGTCGGTCAAATATAATTTAAAAGTATCCATTTTCTGTTTGTGGCAAAGTAAGAAGTAAAAACGTTCAAATGGCTTGAGCGTCTCCTACAGCTGTCAAAGTCTTTGTTTAGCAAATGCGACTCAGCGGAGTGATACAGTGTTTGTGAAAAAAAGAGCTGTTATGGCAAAATAACAGCACGGTTAGAACGCTTCTCAACCAATCAGCTTGAGTGGCTGGAACTAACTGTTGTATAAAAGAATATAGTTAAGCAGGAGAACACAGAGTGTCATTTGTTATCACAAATAACAACACAACTGTGATTTGGTGGCAGAGAGAGCCGAAGGCGAGTACAATACATAATGTCGTTTGTAATGACACACAACCTTGAGTGTTCTATTGTCTTTAAACAACAGTTTATTGAAATAAAGAAAAAAAGTAAAGTAAAAAAGCCCCAAATATTGTATAAAATATGCCTTAATATTGGCAGTACATTCTTCCAAAAAAGTATCATCCTTTTGCGATACAGACAGCACAGTCACCTTTGATTTTGTATTGGATATTTGTTGACATTTGACTTTCTCTCTTCTATTTCATGGGAAATAAACTTCCAAAACAATGATCAAACCTACATTTTCTCACACTTGAAAGACAGAAAATGAACCATAGTTTAATATATTTCACAAATCTTAAGATTCAACAGATGTAATAATGTTTTGGGAAAAACATCAACAATTTAGGCATTAAGGGAACCACCTAACAGTACATGACATATTTCCCAAGTATTTGTCTAAAATTAGTCAAATCACTTTTAGTAGAGTGGCTTCCTTTACACCTATAAATTCCAGTTAAACAACCCCGCTCTCTATACTACAAGTGATTTGACATGATTTGCCATCTTTTAGCTAAATGGAGTTAATGAGGAAATTTGCCCAGGTCATTTGTCATTTGCTCAGCATAATCATAAAGTTAATAATACAGAGAAGGCCTAGAGGGCCCTGAAGGTTCTTCTCTGGGCAATAAACAAAATTGGTTCAATCTTTACTCTTAGAACAAAATATGTACCTGTTATGCTTTCAGGAGGAGAAGGTGTGTATGTGTGGCAGTAATCTACAAGAGAGAAAATAGTGGTAAAAGATCTACAGACAGTCACTTGAGCAGCCTCTAAGGTTCAGTTCAGCATGTAAAACTACATTTCCTGACCGTAGTAGTCATGGCAGCAGTTTCCATTGTACTGACAGGAGCTGGAGCAGGAACAGCTGCCGAGGTTATAGCCACAGTTCCACCTGCAGGAAGGAGGAGCTAAAACAGAGAAAAAACTTTAACAACAATAACTTAAACAACAAACCATTTTCACAAAAATAGGATTCTATTAGTCATTAACCATCAGCACACCAAAACAAACCAACCTTCACCTGTTGAGGATACCCAGACAACAGTTTACTCAGAAAGAACACCTCATATCACATTATCATTAAACTTATTTTGTTAAATTTGTTAAAGCAAGCAAAGTTTACTTATATAGCGCTTTTTACAACAGGTGTTGTCACAAAGCAGCTTTACAGAAAAATCCGAGTCCGAGCCCCCATGAGCCTCAACAGTGGTGACAGTGGCAAGGAAAAACTCCCTAAGAGCAAGAGGAAGAAACCTTGAGAGGAACCAAGATTCAAAAGGGGAACCCATCCTCCTCTGGACCACACCGGACAGCAAACAGCGTTAGTATATTAATGGGGAAAAAGGGTAGAGCAATGGTTAATTGGATTAGTTTTAGTTTATGCAGCAGCAGCAGCAGCATCATCGGGAAGGTCAGTTCATGAAGGTAAGGTTTGCACAGCGTTGTACAGCATGAAGCTCAATGGCGGTCAAGGCCATCCAGAAGGTTGGTGAGCAGTGGGCACCCGATCAAGGCAGGAGAAGCAACAGCATCAGACGCACAGGATGGGCAGCTGTTCAACTCGGCAAAGACAGGAAAACACACAGAGAGTCAGTTCTGTACAGAGTGACTGATCACAGATTACAGTATTAACAGAGCAGCAGAGACTCTGGCAGGTCTAGTTATTACAGCCCTTTACTAAAAGGGAGAAACCAGGAGGTAACAGAGACATGAGAGCTCCCTGAGATGTCACACATTTCAGCACATTTGACAGATCAATTGATAACAATCAGGAACTTGAATTTCTTTTCTTGAATTTCAGCTTTTTTGGAAATGCGGTTGTACATATGAGCTGAGATGTAAACTAACTGAAATAGTTGCTGCTTTAGGGTTTTTGTATAGTTCAATGTGAATGCAAGGGTTTTGGTGATCTCCATGAAGGGAGAGCAATCATTTTCAGGGCAGTCAAGAAGTACGTATAAGATTCTTATACACTGACATGCCAAAAGTCATGAGACAGGAACTAGTATCATGTAGGACCCCCTCTATTTCGGCAAAGATTAAGTGACCCTTATTAGTCCCAACATAGGTAAGTTTCACCTCTGTGTTTTGACCCATCCGTGCAGTGAAACACCACATACATGCTAGTGAACACACACACTAGGGGGCAGTAAGCACACTTGCCCAGAGCGGTGGGCAGCCCTATCCACGGCGCCCAGGGAGCAGTTGGGGGTTAGGTGCCTTGCTCAAGGGCACTTCAGTCACATACTGTCGGTTCAGGGGATCGAACCAGCGACCTTCCGGTCACAGGGCTGGTTCCCTAACCTCCAGCGCAAAGTGCAGCAACTCGATGTGGCATCAATACTAGGATTGGATGGAAGACATCTGAAGGGATGTTGAGCCATGCGGTCAGGATTGCCACCCACAGCTCCGTGGTATTTGTAGGTGTGAATAGACCTCTCCAACACATCCCATAAATGCTTGATTGGGGCAAACATGCAGGCCGCATCATTTGTCAGAACTCTCCAGAATGCTCCTCAAACCAATTCTGGACAACTTGGGCCTGATGGGACGGTGCATCATCCTGCTGGAATATCTCATCATTGTGGGGTTCGTGAAGTCCATAAAGGGATGCAAATGGTCATCAAGCAGTGAAACAGTCAATGACATGTTCAGGCGGAGCAGTAGACCCAACCCATGCTACAAGAACACACCCCACACCAATATGGAACCACTACCCGCCAGTACAGTGTCATGTTGACAACTGGGGTCCATGGGTTCATGGGGTCTGCGCCACACACAAACCCTACCATCAGCACGAAACAATTGGTACCGTGACTCATCGGACCATGCCACATACTGCCAGTACTCTGGGGTCCAGTTAGGTTAAAAGACCTGTATCTAAAATGGCTGTTGAGATTGGGTTTGTAGGAGAATGGACAGTGTGCTCTCTTCAAAAATAATCATAATTCATACAAACCTTGGATTTCTGACTCTCTTCCAGGGCAAAGACAAAGATTTACAACATTAATGCAAAATTAAATTTACAATGATATGTTACTGTCATGGGCCCGCATTACCATTTTGAAAAGTGACCTATTGTGGACAAACCCACACAAGACCCTCACTCAATTAGCCCTGGGACAATGTTGAGATGCCAGTCTTTCACCAATGAGCAAAATCTCTTGAAGCATGTGCAGACAGCCCATTGGGGGCCATCAGTCAAGTCCAAAGTGGGTCCCTACTGGACCAGTACAGAACCCAAATACACAAAAACATAATGATCTGCTGAAAGATACATATATTCCAGAGAACACCTGGTCCCTCTTTCTGAGCACAGAAAATGTACCCTGTGTCAGGGGCAGGTGTGCTTGGGTAACAGTAATCTGTAAGACAAATAATAGCAAGATGTAAACACAGAGTCACAGTAATGTCAGTCACCTCTAAATGTCAATTCTACTTTAAAATATACAGTTACGCTAAATAAAACTACATTTCCTGACCGTGGTAGTCGTGGCAGCAGTTTCCATAGTACTGACAGGAGCTGGAGCATGAACAGCTGCCGAGGTGAGAGCCACAGTTCCACCTGCAGGAAGGAGAAGCTAAAACAGAGAGAACAAGCCTTAACAACACAAACGACAAACAATTTTCACAATAACTGGATTCCATTACTCATTAACCAACAATACACCAACATTTATTTCAGATTAATAATTTTTATTTATATTTATTATTTATAAATTAAACACATAATACGTACCTGATGTGGGAGAAGAACGATCAGTTGAAGATTCAGGAGGAACAGTTGAGGGAGAAAGATGAGATTCTGTGGAATAAGGAGAAGCATCTGTGAGTTCAGGAAGAGCTGAAAATAGAACTAGTTTATCCTGATAAAAGCTATACATTCATATCTTTGTGTTTTCATGCATGTCCTAAATATACATGTTGAGACTTTATTACATACCATTTTAATTTGGATACCCCAACATAGTTAGACAGGAAAGAGCTTGAAGTTTACAGGAAACATATTTACTAATTTACTGTAGCCTATATCTGATAACAATCATGAACTTGGATCAGCTTAATAGTTTTAAAAAGAAACACTTTTGCCCTCTTTGTGTTCTTTCACACTCCTTTCTTTCTCTCTGCCCTGCACTAAGTTTCCACTGTCTTCTTCCTTTATGCTGACTTGTCTCCTTGTCTTTTCCCTGATTGTTCTGGTTTAGGTACCACTTTGATAAATGTGACAAAATGTTAGAACTGTGTTGAATCAGTTCTATATGCAAAATGATTTCACACAATAGCTCATTAATATGAAGCCTGTAGGCCTTAAAACAATGATCTATGCAGTATCAGTGCCTACAGATTTCTCTACACCAGGGAATCTCAACTTTTTCCAGATCAAGCCCCAACTATTCATCACTAGAAAGCAAAATGTTTTCTTTTCTGGACTTAGGATGAGATGAGGAACTTAGGAACTGTTATTCTGTAATGGATACTGTCCTATATCAGGCCATGACTTAAGTAATCATGTTGACTGAAGAGAGAAGGTTTCAGAGTCGGCATGGTTCTTTAATGCAGTACATTTGGAACAACAGTTGGACGAATTTATTCTAGAATTTAAGTGTACTGTATATAATTCGCCCTGCGATGGACTGGTGACCTGTCCAGGGTGTATCCTGCCTTCCACCCGATGATAGGCTCCACCCCCAAGATGTGTGTGTGTGTGTGTGTGTGTATAAATCTTGCAATGTATGTAGTTGCTTGTGTCAATTCGCTCTATAATAATAAGCAATGAGGCAAAGTAGCCTCGCTAACCTGAGAACACCCACTGTGCCCGAAAGCCTTGACGAGTTACACTGCTATCACTTGAAAACACTACAGTCAGAGAGTTCCTGGTGGAGCTGAAGTGAGATCTCTGATCTTGAGGCAGGCGACCCAGCAGTGGGTAAGCATCAGTGGGACCGTCATACACCCTGATGGAGTCGCAACACCTCTCCAAACTGGTTCCAAGAAGAAAGAGGGAGAATGGAGAAAGAAAGAGAAAAACCTACTGAAGCTCGGGGCAGGTTTACGGCACACACATATGAGCTCACACCTGGTTCCATATCACAACTGACACAGTTAACAAAGCAAAGGAATTTCACTACTGATTTAGTGTTAAAAGGAATAAAGTGTCTTGTATTGCATAATGTAAACACTTCAATAAATAAATCCATCTGGAATGGCCAAATCCATCTGTATGTAAAAGTGAATGAAAGCTGTGACTTACTCGACAAACGTGAAGGTCAAATTAACAGTTTCTCTCTCTGATGCCAGAAGTCTCCATGTGCAATCTGCATTATTAGGGTAGTTATTAGGATACTGGGGGCTGAAGAATTCTCCTCTTGAGTTAGTCAGATCTCCACCGCATGGCGCTCCAACTGTAAAGTGGCACATGTATTTATAAACACATAAATGAGACTTGATCCTTCAAATGCATAGCAAACACATTGTGTACTAGCAAGACATTCATTAAAGCACGACAGAGGTACCAAATTCACATCCTTGAACAGGTATAAACATTAGTCAGTCTGAGTTATTTAGATAAATATATTCCGATGTGTGCTTCCAAATGACATGCAGCACACAGATAGTATAAAACATGGGGAACACTTTACTAAAGCTCTGTCTTCATAAGGCTACATGATTATTACATAATCCTTTCATTACAACTGACATAAGCATTATAAAAGTTTATTCCAATAAGCAGCAGTTGTCTTAAAGGTTTGTTTTTGTCAAATTCAGTCTCAAGAAGACATAACCTCAATGTTGAGTGACAGGTTTTTGTTGGCATCAGGTCGTGTCATCGCATAACATCACTAGATAGCGTCTTCCTTTAAGTCTACTAATCCAGTAATGATACAGTAAATGATACAGTTATTAGAAAAAGCATGACTAGAAGGTGTCATTAAGTGCAATCCAGGTTTATTTACATGTAATAAAATAAAAAATTTAAATTAATATCACGTTTGGCAAGAAACCACAGAGAAGTCTTCCCCTCTGTTCTGAAAAGATGTTTGCAATTTTTTTGAAAATTAAGATGAAACAATTGATTCTTTTGGTGGCATTATTGATTATTTAAAAAGATAAATGTAATATATAAACAGAAAGCTTAAAACTGCCATAGTATATACAATATTAGGAAAGAAGACATTATGGATTACAGTAATGTACTGCAGTCAATTTGGAGTCTTGTAAAAATGAATATCAGGAAATGCTAGTACAATATTATAAATTTACAGAGTGATTTTTTTACTGTGCGTTGGGCCACATCACCACTCCGAAATGTGAACTATTGAGCTCTGGACAAACCCACACAAAACCCAAGGTTAAAATAACGGTCATTTATTGGCCAGTGAGCAAAATCTCATAGGCCTTGTGCAGGCAGCACATTGTGGGTCATTATTCACGTCTTAAATGAGCCCTTACTGGACGAGTGCAGGACCCAAATACACAAAACGATGAAGATCTGCAGAAAGATACACATATTCCAGAGAACACCTGTTCCCTCTTTCTGAGCACAGACCACGTACCTGTTGTGGTGGCAGGAGCAGGTGTGGTTGCGTCACAGTAATCTGTGAGAGAAATATTAGTAAGATGTCAACACACAGTCACATTAATGTCAGTCACCTCTAAATGTCAGTAAATGTATAAAATCTACAGTTACACTGACCGTGGTAGTCGTGGCAGCAGTTTCCGTAGTACTGACAGGAGCTGGAGCAGGAACAGCTGCCGAGGTGAGAGCCACAGTTCAGCCTGCAGGAAGGAGGAGCTAAAACAGAGAAAAGAAACTTTTAACAACAACTTAAAAAACAAACCATTTTTACAACCACAAATCCACAAACCCACAATTAAAAATTCACCTGTTGTGGTTACCCAGGCAACAGTTTACCCAGAAAGAAAATCTCATTTCACATAATTATCAAACTGATTTTGTTAAATAAAGGCAGTCATAAAGAGGAGCAACAGCCACGACTAATGAAGAAGAGAAACAATCACAGGAACCAAATATATAAGATCTGAGAAAAAGTCTGTAATATTAAAAAAACATAATAAGTACCTGATGTGGGAGAAGAAGGATCAATTGTAGATTCAGGAGGAACAGCTGAGGGAGAAGGATGAGATTCTGTGGAATAAGGAGGAGCATCTGTGAGTTCAGGAAGAGCTGAAAATAGAACTAGTTCACCTTAATAAAAGCAATATATTCATGTCTTTTGTGTTTTCATGCACGTCCTAAATGTAAATGTGTTTAGACTTTATTACATACATTTTTTATTTGGATACCCCAAAATAGTTAGACAGGAAAGAGCTTGGAGCTTATAACAAACATATTTACTCATTTACTGTAGCACACTGTAACAAATTAATAAAGAGCAAGAAAATCTTTTAGCACATTTTGGCTATCGAGTCCTGCTGGTGACATTCCGTATAAATAAAAAAGAATGCATGATCATGACTTAGTAGGGCATGGGAACGAGATAATTAAGTAGTGGCCATCACTTAGTAAGACGTGGGAACAAGATTATGCGTTATTAAGCTGTGGTCAAGGCTTAATTATCTCATTCCCACCCCCTACTAAGTCATGGCCATGCATTATTTTTAATTATACAGTAAGTCACCAACAGGGCTCTGTACTATCCCTCTCCACTGATTGAGTCTCAACTCTCTCCTTCCTTCATGCTGACTTGTGTCTCTGTCTTTTCCCTGGCTGTTCTGGTTTAGGTACCATTTTGACAGAAGTGACAACATGTTAGAACTGTGTTGAATCAGTTCTATATGCAAAATGTTTCCACACAACAGCTCATTAATGTGAAGCCTGTAGACCTTAAAGCAATGATCTGTACAGTGTCAGTGCCTGCAGGTTTCTCTGCACCAGGGAATCTCAACTGTTCTAACAGTTTTTACTCACAGTTTCTATTCAGTTTCTATTCACAGCCCATCAGGCTTGTGAACACCTCACTCACTACCTCCTCCCCCCTCCCACTCTGAACTGGTTTAACATTTGGCCGACTTTGCACTCAATAACTGCACCTTACATACACTGTACTGCTGCTGTCAGAACACTACTGTTTACATCTGTTACTTGCAACATGCACTTTATGAGCCGCTGCTCTACATACTTGCACATACGTACACGTAACTTTATTTTTTCTTTCAACTTTGCACATGTAACTGTACTTTTTTACTATTGTTTTTAGTGTATTTCTACTTATTCAGTGTATTTAATATATTCTTATACTTTCTAAGATTGGTAAATGGAGGAACAGCAAAGTAAGAATTTCATTGTACAGTGTAACCGCCTGTTTCTGCTGTGCATATGACAATAAAACTCTTGAATCTTGAATCTTTTTCTACCTCAAGTCCCATCTATTCATCACTAGAAAGCAAACTGTTCTCTTATATCCACTTAGGATGAGATGAGGACCTTAGGAACGGCTATTCTGTAATGGCTACTGTTCTATATTAGGCCGTAACATAACTTATCATGTCGACTAAAGAGGTAAGATTTCAGAGTCAGGATGTTTTTTATACAGCTCTTTGGAACAAGACTTGGACCAATCTATTCTGGATTGGACTAGATCCTGCTCCCACTTCTAATCATTGTCTAGCCTAGATCCAAGTCTTGCCTAGCTTTGCTCTTTATTCTGCCTAGACTAGGTTCTGCATTGCAGCTCTTAGTTCTTTGTTCTACCTAGTCTAGGCTATAGTACTGACAGCCTTAGCTCTTTCCCTTTATCCTGCCTAGTCTAGGTTCTAGTCCTAAAACTCTTAGCTCTTTGTCCTGTCTAGTCTAGGTTCTAGTCTTGCCAGCCTTTGCTCTTTATCCTGTCCAGCCTTGGTTGTAGTTCTACTAATCTTGGTTGTTAAACCTACCTAGTGTATGTTCCTGCCCTGCCTTCTTGAGCTATTTGTCCTCCCTAGTCCAGGTTCTAGTCTCCAGCCCCTAGGTAAAGTCCTTACCATCAAACTAAAGAGTTTGATGTATAATATAAACAATGTCAGTTTCAAAACATATCATTCATGCCCGAGTCCATACAGTTCATATATGGAAACATGTTTACATCTGCCTATTCAGCCCATAGACTGTATATAAGAGTGGGCTGGATGACAGGGAGTGACAAGGTGAAGCCAAAACGTCTCTGCCACCCTCTGGTGGCTGGCTAAAGTATAACTTTTAACCCCAACTTTTATTTACATTACAGTGAGATGAAAGTAATTTTTTACACATCAAGTCATTTCTTTGCCAGTGGTGTTGAGCCACTTCTACAAGTGTTCAGGTCTCTAAAGCATACCTCAGCTTTCCTTCACGATATATTTGTTTTATAGAAATTATTTGGTCATATTTAAAAGTGTGTGGCTATGAGGTGATTGACAGCTTCGTGGATGCGCAGGCTCTCTCTGTTTCTCCTGTTGTATCCAATTCAGTTCCCCCTCAAATTCACGTTCCCTTTGACAAATCAGGTCCTTGGGCCCACACATTCACGGAAAACGAAAACAACGCCAGGCAACACTGGAACTACGGAAAGCGGAAAAGGTTCAAAAAAGGTTTGTACGGCAGCTGTTTTCACCCAATCAATGATGAAAAGTACAAAGTATTTATCAGTATGACTGTTTACTGTTTACTCGAATTGAAAATAATATTTATACATAAATACTATCGGGGATTGAGTGAAAACACACAGACGTGCAATCTCTTTTTTTTTTTTAACCTGTTGACTTTCCGTAGTTCCACTGCTTGGCATTGCTGTCTGTTCATTGAATGCGCGAAGACATTATTTAGCAAAGGTAACATAAATTTGAGGGGGAACTGAATTGGATACAATACTCCATGGCACAGTGAGTGGCTTCATCTGATATCGTTTAGTTTTTACCGTATTAATAAGGTTGAGTGTCCATTTAGAGCATTTTGAGGCGAAGCCATCTCTTATTGGACTGTAAACTGTTCTAGCAGATTTTCAGTTGGAAGTTCTTCGCCATCTTCGTGGTTGTTTTCGGTATGCGGCTCATTTTTATAGCTAGGGAGCTACGTAGCTAGCTAGCTGCTAGCGAAGGTTAGCTAGTTAGCTAGATGGTGTAGCAAACTTAAATTCGGTTTAATTCAGTTTGAGTATTAAAACATTTGGCACTTCAAGTTCTGTTTCACATTAATGAAATTCTGTGAACAGTTTTCTGAAACTATTACAAAGGTAAATAATAATATCGTATCTAGTGTGACTGACTGTGTTAGTCAGCTTTGTTAGCTGTTTTAATGTAAGGTTAGCTGGTCACTGACATTAAATGTCAGTCAGATAAAGTTAGCTGTTTGTGTTGGCTTTAATTAGAGGTAACATATATATTTTGATATGAGACAACAGCTTAATTTGATTAACTGTAATGTTTTGTTATCTAACATTTTTTAAAAAAAATAACTGCCGTAAAGATTTTTGCATAGCTCTATCTTGTCTTCATTTAAGGGTAATGGTTGCCTGAAGAGCACCTGTCATTCATCTTGTCTGTACATTTGGTGATTCCAGCCGTTAGGGAGGCGCAAGGCTGGCTGTGGGTAAGTAACAATGCAGAGGTAGGAGATTCCTCACTTTTAGGCTTGCACCATTTTGGATTGAGCACTTTGTCGTGTCTAGTCCAGATTCTAGTCCTGACTGGCTTTGCTTACCTTATTAGGATTCATAACATCTCATAAACAGCTACTCACTTTACTTAGGGGCCAGAGAAAACATACATAACTGTGAAATAACAAGAGTATCAGTATCAAAACCTTTACAATATGACTACAGTAGAGTAGATTTTCAACTTGTTATTGTTTTGTGACATAATAACCTTTATGTTTATGACATACCAAAAATACACTGAGCCATAGTCAGCTGTCATAATGTGCTATATTGTTTCACCCCAGAAACTCTGAAATCTAATTTTAAAGCTAACTTGCAGGGCGTTTAACATAACGCTTAATCTTAGTAGCCTACAACCATTTTTAAAATTTTACACTGTGAAATTTTACAGAAATGTATTACTGAAAAGCATTTAGAAGACAGCATGTTAAAGTGACAGCATTTATGAAGAAAATGACCATAATACATTGAAACGACATTAAACTAAGATAATACAGTGGTTATTGTAATTTTTTAATGGAGAAAATTCTCACATTTGTGGGTTTCTTTGGTCTCTTGTTCAGCCATCTCGCCGGTTTTTCTTTTTTTCTCATAACTCTCTGTTTGGAGTCTCTGAAAAACCTCCGTTTGGAGGGTGATGTAGCCCAAACACTTCACCCTACCCCTCTATCTCAACAAGAACTGGGACACCCTACCCCTAAACGTGAACGCGCAAAACAGATGGCTAAGGGCTAAGAGGTAGGGGCGAGGGGTGAAATGGGATTGGGCCTTAGACTAGCATGTCTGTAATCCATGCATTTCACATAATATCTTACTGAAATTATGATTGAGAAGCATTTTAAAACAGTTTAATCAGTTAATGTACCTGTTGGGTTCACAGTAGGTGTTGTAGCTGTAACATGGCAAAAATCTGTGAGGACAAGAAAAAACAAATATCAACACTGTCAAAACATCCACCCAAATAAAACATCCATAACCAACCACTTCAACTTTCATCTTATGCCTTGGCTCACCATAGTAGTCACTGCAACAGTTTCCATAGTACTGACAGGAGCTGGCGCAGGAACAGCTGTCGAAGTTAGAGCCACAGTTCCACCTACAGGAAGGAGAAGCTAATACAGAGAGAAAACAGAGAGAGAATAAACCTTAACAACAACTTAAAGGACAAACTATTTTCACAATAATTGGATTTCATTAGTCATTAACTAACACTACATCAAAACCCACAATCAAATATTCACCTGTTGTGGTTTCCCAGGTCACCGTTACTGAAATCACATTATCACTCAATAGATTTTGTTAAATACAAACATTAACAGTTATAAAGAAGGACAGTACCCATGTCTACTGAAGTAAAGAAGCCATCACAGGACCCAAAAAACAAAAACATGAAGAAAGAGCATTTATATATTACAAAAGTCTGTAACATTAAAAAGCATATTAAATACCTGATGTGGGAGTAGGAGGTTCAGTAGAAGGAGGAACAGTTGTAGGTTCAGTAGTAGGTTCTGTGGAATAAGGAGGAGCATCTGTGAGTTCAGAAGGAGCTGATCATAGGAATACAAGTAGTTAAAAAAGACCAGTTTAAAGGAACTATACTGAGGTTATAGCCACAGTTCCACCTACAGGAAGCAGCTAATTCCAAGAGAACAAGAATATCTAAGAATATCTACAACAACTAAATCTAAAATGACAATTATCACAATTACATTATCATATCTATATATTAAACAGATGATAAAGCAAATATAATCTATTAGCATATAGTTAAGAAGAAAGACATGTTCTGGCAAGAAATCACAGATTAGTCTTCCTCCATCTCTCTGGCTTCCCTGTCATTGTTCTGGTTTAAGTGCCGCTTTGTTAAAGTGACAAAATGTTTGAATTGTCCATATGTAGTATGATTCCACACAATAGCTCATTAATATGTAGACGTTAAAATAATGATCTGCACAGTGTCAGTGCCTGCAGGCTTCTCTACACCAAGGGTTCTCAATTTTTCTACCTCAAGGCCGACCGATTTATCGCTAGAAAGCAAACTGTTTTCTTATCTGGAGTTAGGAAAAGACTTTGAACTTAGGAACTGTTATTGTGGAATAGCTACTGTCCCATATTCAGTTGTAACTGATGTTGTCATGTTGACTAAAGAGATAAGATTTCAAAATTAGGATGTGTCTTTAAAGAGCCTCTTTGGAAGAACAGTTGGACAAATCCATTGCTTTCTGTTATGTTAGATTTTGTTCATCTGTGTTATTAGTTGGGGTTCTTTAACCCCTCTGTGCTAGTGTCCATCCCTGTTTTGTCCTGCACTAGGTATTGTCCTATATTATGTCACAACTGAAGTTGTGGTGTTGAATAAATCGGAAAAAAACACATTTGATCCTGGCAGCCAAGCTGGGGAGCAGGGGTGGTGACTGAGAGGCGGACTTCGGGACTAGTCGGTGACCATGGGTCGGGCGACTGCTACAAAGATTCTAGTCCTGCCACTCTTAGCTATTTATTCTGCCTAGTCAAGGTTCTTATTCTGACAACCTCTGCGCTAGTGTCCATCCCTGTGTCTGTCTGGATAATTACAGTGGGAAAGACACTCATATTTCAAAACCAGTATCCAATTGAGTATTTTGTGTATAATTCCAGAAAAGGATGCAGCTGATTGTGTTAAATTGCTCTTCAATAAGAAGCAATGAGGCAAAGTAGCCTCACTAACCTGAGAACACCCACTGTGCCCAAAAGCCTTGACCAGTTACAGTTTGGTCAGTTGAGAACACTACGGTCAGAGAGTTCCTGCTGGAGTTGAAGTGATATCTCTGATCTTGAGGCAGGCGACCCAGCAGTGGGTAAGTATCATTCGGACCATCATACACCCTGATGAAGTCACAACATGCCTCCAAACTAGTTCCAAGAGAGAGAAAGGAAATTATGAAAGGTTGAGAAATCTATTCCGTCTCAATGGCGTACACATATGGGGTTACACCTGGTTTCATATCACAGCTGACCCAGTTAGCAAAGCAAAGCAATTTTGCTATCAGACAGTGATAAAGAATAAATTGACTAATACTGCATCTGTATGTAAAAGTGAAGGAAAGCTGAAAGACTTACTCAACAAATATGAAGGTCAAATTAACGACTTTTCTCTCCGATGCCAGAAGTCTCCATGTACAGTCTGCATTATTAGGGTAGTTATTAGGATACTGGGGGCTGAAGAATTCTCCACTTGAGTTAGTCAGATCTCCACCGCATGGTGGTCCAACTGTACAGTGGCACATGCATTTCAGTTACATCAGTGAAACTTCATGCATCAATTGCATAGGAAAACACACTGTTTACTAGCTAGACATTCATCAGATCACTTTATAAAGGTACCATATTCACTTGCACCTGTTTGACAGCTGAATTTCATTGGCATTATGTCCATTTTTCAATTCATCTCCTGTTTCTAATAGTGTCCGTTTCACAAGCAGTTATTAAAATACTATTTTAAACCTGACAAAAAATTTCTAACCCAGGTTGTTCCCAAAGATGACAAAAAATGGCCTGAAACCATCCTACATAAAGGTAGTTTTTCAGTGAGAACAGTATATTTTGTAAAAGAAAGCAATTTCTTACAGCTCCACCACCAAGAGAGAAAGGAAAGATGTGACTCTGTAAAGCGGAGCTTTGAGTGCCAGACCGTTCAATAAAAAAACAGTTGTACAAACTGATCATCTTATTTAAAAAACAATAAAAATTAAAACTAATTTTTGTGTTTTGGCATTACTATTAGGATTCATGACATATAAACAGCAAAATGAAACTCACTTGACTTAGGGACCAGAAATACATGCACAACTCTTTAATTACAGTATCACAACATTGCTATAGGGCTTCATTAAAATCTCATTAAAAATGTTATTAAAATCAGAAAATCTCTCATAACAGGACTAATAGTATCAAAACCTTCACAATACAACTGCAGTACAGTAGATTTTCAACATGTGATTGTTTTTTAATGTAATCATCATTATGTGAATGACATATGAAAATTACACTGAGCTACAGTCAGTTGTAATAATGTGCTACATCGTTTCACCCCACAAAGTCTGAAAGCCTGGTAAGTGATTTTTAGGTTATGTTTTAACTTGTGGGATGTTTAATGTTACGCTTAATTTTAGAATTTTAGAATAATTTTAGAACAGACATTTTTATATTTTACACTGTGCTTCCTGTATTTGGCATGAGAGAGGTTTAGACTAGCATGTCTGTAAACCATGTATTTTACATCATATCTTACTGAAATGTATTATTGTAAAGCATATTGAAACAGGTTAATCAGTTAATGTACCTGTTGGGTTCACAGTAGGTGTTGTAGCTGTGACTTGGCAAAAATCTGTGAGGACAAGAAAAAACAAATATCAACACTGTCAAAACATCCACCTGTAACCAATCACTTCAACTTTAATCTCATTCCTTGGCTCACCATAGTAGTCATGGCAACAGTTTCCATAGTCCTGACAGGAGCTGGCGCAGGAACAGCTGCCGAGATTATAGCCACAGTTCCACCTACAGGAAACAGCTAATTCTAAGAGAACAAGCAATTGGACATTAATCAGTAGCACTGTCATCGGTACATCAAAACTCCAAAATCAAATAATTATTTGTTGTGGTTTCTGAGATCTCTGTTTAAACGGATAATAAAGCAAATACAAACTCATTTCCAAAAAAGTTGGGATGATGAGTAAAATGTAAATAAAAACAAAATGCAATGACATGGAAATTATTTAAACCCTAAATTTCATTGAAAATAGTACAAAGACCAAATATCAAATGTTAAAACTGAGAAATTTCATTTTTTGTAAAATATTTGCCCATTTTGAATTTGATGCCAACAAAACATTCAAAAAAAGTTGGGATGGGGGCAAAAAAAGGGTGATAAAGTGGTGTAATGCTAAAACACCTGGTGGTTCATTGACAACAGGTCAGTAACATTATTGGGTATAAAAGAGCATCTCAGAGAGGCGGAGTCTTTCAGAAGTAAAGATGAGGAGGGGTTCACCACTCTGTGAAAGACTGCACAATGAAATAGTGCAACAATTCAAGAACAACGTTTCTCAATGTAAAATAAAGAAAGAACTTTTGCTTTCATCATCTACGATACATAATATCATTACAAGATTCAGAGAGTCTGGAGAAATCTCTATGTAAGGGACAAGGCAAAAAAAACAGTATTTGCTGGTCATGATCTTTGGGTCCTCAGGCAGCACTGCATTAAAAACAGATGTGATTCTGTAGTGGAAATCAGGGCATGGACTCAGAAACACATCTAAAAAAAAAACACTGTCTATGAAAACAGTTCATCACTGAATCCATAAATGCAAGTTAAAACTCTAAAATACAAAGAAGAAACCATAAATAAACAGGAACCAGAAACGCTGCCACCTTCTCTGGGCCTGATCTCATTTAAAATGGACTGAGGGGAAGTGGAAAAGTGTCCTGTGTATAATTCTGGCGAAGGATGCAGCTGATTGTGTTAAACTGCTATTCAGTAAGTAGCAGTGAGGCCAAGCAGCCTCACTAACCTGAGAACACCCACTGTGCCCGAAAGCCTTGACCAGTTACAGTGTGGTCAGTTGAGAGCACTACGGTCAGAGAATTCCTGGTAGAGTTGAAGTGATTTCTCTGATCTTGAGGCAGGTCACCCAGCAGTGGGTAAGTATCATTGGGACCATCATACACCATGATGGAGTCGCAACATTCCTCCAAACTAGTTTCAAAGAGAAAAAGACGAAATTAAGAAAGTTTGAGAAAAATCTTTTCCTGCTCAGAGCAGCATAACGGCAAACACATATGAGCTCACGCCTGGTTTGATATCACTATAACTGACACAGTTAAAAATGCAAAGCAACTTCACTACTGATTTAGAGTGATACAGAATAAACTGTCTAATACTGCATATTCTAACAGTTTAAAAGGATGATTTAATCTGAAATGGCTAAATTCATCTGTATGCAAAAGTAAAGGAAAGCTGTGACTTACTCAACAAACGTGAAGATCAAATTAACAACTTCTCTCTCTGAAGCCAGAAGTCTCCATGTACAATCTGCATCATCAGGGTAGTTATTAGGATACTGGGGGCTGTAGAATTCTCCTCTTGAGTTAGTCAGATCTCCACCGCATGGTGGTCCAACTGTAAAGTGGCACATGCATTTCAGTTACATCAGTGAAACTTCATGCATCAATTGCATAGGAAAACAATGTTTACTAGCTAGACATTCATCAGATCACTTTATAAAGATACCATATTCACTTGCTCAGCTGAATTTTATAGGCATTATGTCCATTTTTCAATTCCTCTCCTGTTTCTAATAGTGTCCGTTTCACAAGCAGTGAAATACTATACTGGACATTTTAATCCTGACAAAATTTCTAACCCAAGTCAACACAAAATGGCCTGAAACCATCCTACAAAAAGGTAGTTTTTCAGTGAGAATAGTATGTTTTGTAAGGGAAAGCAATTTCTCAAAGCACCACCACCAAGAGAGAAAGGAAAGAGCTTTGAGTGCCAGAACATTCAGCAAAAACAATTTGGGCAAACTGCTCATCTTATTTAAAAAACAATCAAATTAAAACTAATTTTTGTGTTTCGGCATTACTATTAGGATTCATAACATCTTCTAAACAGCAAAATGAAACTCACGTGACTCAGGGACCAGAAAAAAACATGCATAACTCTTTAATTACAGTGTCACATCATTGCCATAGAGCTTCATGAAAATCTTAGAAACACAAATACAACACACACAACATAACTGCCTCATAGCAGGACTAACAGTGTCATAACATTCACAATTTAACTTCAATACAGTCAATTTTCAACTCATTGCTTTGTAACATAATCATTATGTGAATGACATACCAAAATTACACTGAGCTGCAGTCAGCTGTGATAATGTGACTATCAAATCAATATTAATGTTGTTTTGTTCCAGCCAGTCTGTAAAGCATCTTACAGCCCATTTAGTTTGGCGAATGGTGTTGGGTTCATTTCTGGCTGATTCCAGGTTGTTTAGCTGTTCTTCTGTCTCAGCTGCCGACTGAAAAACTGCTCAGTGGTGATGACAGTTTGGGAATTTAGTGTCGTCTCATCTTCAGAGTCTGACCAAATCGGCTGTCGGTCAAATGGGATCTTAAAAGTGTCCCTTTTCTGTTTGTGGCAAAGTAAGAAGTAAAAACGTTCAAATGTCTTGAGCGTCTCCTACAGCTGTCAAAGTCGTTGCTTAGCAACGGCGACTCAGCGGAGTGATACAGTGTTTGTGAAAAACCCGTGATGTTATGGTGAAATAACAGCACAGTTAGAACGCTTCTCAACCAATCAGCTTGCGTGGCCGGAACTAACTGTTGTACAAAGTCTGATAAGCCACGTTTTATAATATTGCCAGCTTTTTTTCATTCAATCTTGTGGGACATTTAATGTGACACTCAATTTTAGTATCTTACCGACATTTTTAATATTTTACATGACGCTCCCTGGATCTAATCAGCATGAGAGAGGCTTAGACTAGCATGTCTGTAAACCATGCATTTCATATCATATCTTCCTGAAATGTATTACTGAAAAGCATTTAAAAGCAGTTTAATCAGTTAATGTACCTGTTGGGTTCACATTAGTTGTTGTGACATGGTGAAAATCTGTGAGGACAAGAAAAAACAAAAATCGACACTTAGTCAAAACATCCACCCATAACCAACCACTTGAATTTCATCCTCATTCCTTGGCTCACCGTAGTAGTCATAGCATCATTTCATAATGTTGACAAGAGTGAGTTCCAAGAGAACAAGATTATCTTAGCAACAACACCTAAACTAAAATGACAATTCATAGGACTAGTATACATAATCAAATCTCATTAGACCTTAATAAATAGTAATGTTATCTGTACATCAAAACTAAAAATATCTTTATTTGTTGTGGTTTCTGAGGCTTCTATTGAAACAGATAGATAAAGCAAATATAACATATTAGAATATATTTAAGCAGTAGAGCACTCAACAGCTCTGATTCAGTCGCAGGGAGAGCCGAAGGCAAGTACATTACATAATGTCATTTTTGATAACACACAACCTCGAATGTTCTATTTGTCCATTTTGCATTACAGACCAACGCAGTAAAGTTGGTTTTGTATTGGAGATACGCTCGATTTTGGACTTTCTCTATTCAATTTCTCAGGAAATAAGCATCCAATAATGATCAAACCTACATTTGTATTACACCCGACAGAGGGAAAGCAAACTAAAACAAGTTATGTTTAAAAAAAAAACATCCCTCATAGCTAATTCTTATTTTTGCTAGTGCCCCTACAGGATTCTAGTACTTTGTTAGCATTAAGCTAACAGCAATTCACACGAACACTTTCAGACAAGGCTCAAATTTTCTGTTCCTCTGTAAATGGAGCATCAATTACTCTCGGGCACATTCAGGCACCAGAATGAAACTGTTGCAGTGTTCAAGGTGGAACCGAAAATTTGTTGGCACCAGAACTGCCGCACTGTTAAAGGTGGAATGGAAAATTTGAACAGGCCATTCTAGATTACCCACAGACATGTGAAGCTTCTTGTCACGTATTCTGCCAGCCAGCCTCAAAACTACGATTCCCAGAATCCTACGCCTCATCACCTGACTCCGGGAAGATCATCAGCAGCCTATAACCGCTCTAGTTCTCCTGAATATTGATCATTTTCATCTGTATGTTTTCTCACATGACCTGTTTTAGTTAGCATATTAGCCCGGGCTATGGTCAGGTTCAGTGCGAGGTATTGTTTTCCTAGTGAAACTACTGAGCGTTCTTTCTGGTTTTGATCTCCCGTGTTTTGACCTTGTGTTTTGACTTTGTTTCTCGTGTTCTCTGATTTTCGGATTTGCCCTTTTGGTACTGTTGCCTGGTTTGCTGGATATATGGTTTTTGACTTTTGCCTGTGTTTTGGATTTTGATCTGCCTAGCCCTATTTTGTAATGACCGCCTTCTGTGTTTTTTGGAACTGACCCATGCCTGTGTACTGACAATGATATCTCGATCTAAATCCCCAAGTAAAGCTTCTTCACTGTTTTACATCCGCGAGCATCTGCTTACTGGTTGCACGTTACACTTCTAAAAGAAATTCCATGCTTTACTTGAAGCTTGTGCCATATTAGCATCCAGTTTACTATATAGCAGTTCAGCTGCCGCTTGGATTCAGTCACTGACATATCTAGAACTTTAAGAGTGATGAGCTTTCCAGAGTGACTTTTTTTCTTTTTTTTTACACAAAATTGGTCCCACCCACTTGAAATTAAAGTGTGACTGGTTGAGTCCTCTGTCACTTCCTAATAATGCTGATGGTTAAACTAATGCATTATGACTTTTCTTCAATTCCTGAAGTCCAAACCAATAGGCGAGCTCACTTAGACACCACAGAGAAAAATAATTCTTGATTTGCTAATTTTCCGCTGGGTGTTTCAAGACTTTTACCCTTTTGTTTCCATCCAAAACTTGAACAATGAAACAAGCGGTACTGTAAAACTTGCAGAGTTTAAATACAAGCATGATTCTATTGAATAAAACAAAAAGTGAACAAAGAAATTACAGACATGCATTTTTAGTTTTCAGAAATCTCTGAAGGACCAGATGGCCCTAAAGGCTCCCCTCTGGGCAATACTAATCTTCAGTGATTAAAAGAAACTGTCAAAGGCCAAAAGATAATGCTCAAAAAGAGCATTTTACACATATTTTAGAGAACACTGGTTCAGTCCTTCTCTTAGAACAAAATATATACCTGTTGTGCGGTCAGGAGGAGTAGTTGTGTATGTGTGGCAGTAATCTATGAGACAATAAAAGTAAAAGGTAAACAGCGAGTCATATTAGCAACTTCAAAGGCTCGGTTCGATACATAAAACCATATGTTCTCACCATGGTAGTCATGGCAGCAGTTTCCTTTGGACTGACAGGAGTTGGCACAAGAGCAGCTGCCGAAGTTAGAGCCACAGTACGACTTGCAGGAGGGAGAATCTAATACAGTGAGAACAAACCTTAATGACAACAACTTAAACAACGAACTACTTTCACAATAACTGGATTCCATTAGGCATTGACTAACAGTACATCAAAATATACAGTACAGGGTGATTCAAAAAGATTCATCCGATTTCAAAATGATTTATTTTACTTGTAATTCATTACAGAACAATGCAGTAAACTGTAAATGGTTTAAGTGAACATGAAGTTTATTATGCAATTTCACAAGTGCTCAATATGAACCTCCTCCTGTCATACGGACAACATCAGCACCATACTTGATTGAGCATGTTGGGTGTCACTGTACTCATGGCTCTTTCAGTGCAATATCAGAGATCGTCCAGTGTTGCCGGGAGTGGCACCCCCACAAACAAAGGTCACACAGCGTGAGATCTGGTAATGCTGTTGGCCTTTTTCTTGGAACTGTTCGTACCAACGACGAATGCTTTCAGCTGTTGAAGGTTCACTGCCATACTGACAGTCAGAAACTCTATGACCCTCTCTTTCAATTGGTATGTGATTGGTTCCTAGGCACCTCATGGTTGTAAAAATATGCCGCTTTGAAATCAGATGAATTCAATCTGAATCACCCTGTTTAATATGTATAACTTATGACCTAAAATACACATTTTAACATAAATTAAGAAAGAGGAAATAATTGATTTTATTAAGGTACTGCTGTCAATTTGTAGTCTTGTAAAATACAGTACAAAACATTAGTATATGCTAGTACATTACTATAAATGTATGAAGTGATTTTTTACTGTGTGGTGGGCCTGCATCACCATTTCGATATGTGACCTACTGAACGGTGGACAAACCCACACACAACTTTCACTCAGTTAGCACTGGGCCAGTGCTGAGATGCCAGTCATTTGCCAGTGAGCAAAATATCACAGGGCCTGTGAAGGCAGCCCATTGTGGGCCATTATTAAAGCTCTATGTGGGCCCCTATCAGGCCATAATAGTAAGATGTAAATATACAGTCACATTGATGTCAGTCATCTCTGAATGTCAGTACCTTAAAATCTACACAGTCTCACTTCTTAATAAAACATTCACCTGTTGTGGTTTCCCAGGCCACAGTTTACTCGGAAAGAAAACCTCATATCACATTATCACTCAAATGATTCCTGTTTATATATATATATATATATATATATATATATATATATATATATATTTATATATATATATATATATATATATATATATATATATATATATATATATATGTGTGTGTCAACAGTTAACAAGATGTTTATAAATGTTTGCTTAATTAACATTAAGAAAAGCAATCATCACAAGACCCAAAAATACAACAAGAAGAAAGAGCATTGTACATATTTCAGAAAAAGTCTGTAACATAATAAATACCTGTGGGATTAGATGAATGGATGAACAGAGAGAATATGGAGGCCAACAGAGAGAGTGGAAATGTGAACAGAGGGAATGCAGGGATCAACAGAGAGAATGAGAAACCCAACTGAGCGAAAAAGGGGTTCCAATTTTTTGAGATTAGATTGCCTTTGTGTTTTGGGTTGGGGTCTTTGTGTTTAGGTTTTTTGGGTTTTTTGCGTTTAGGTTTGCGTTTGGTAGGACGAGCCGAAGAATCAGGACGTTCTGTGGAATAAGAAGAAGGAAGCACCTGTGAGATAAGGATGAGCTGAACATGCGTAAGAGTAGTTCAAAAAGACCAGTCTAAAGGATCTATACAGGTCAAACTAGACAAAAATAGGATGTTTTTTGTAGATCCACCTCTTGATCCTGATAAAAGCTATGTAGTCATGTCTTTTGTGTATTCATGTGTATCCTAAATGCAAAAGTATTTACACTACATTGTATATAATTGTTCTTTATGTGCAGGACCCAAATACACAAAAGCTACATTCACATTACAAGCCTCGTTGCTCAAATCCGATTTTTTGCTCAAATCCGATCTCTCTGACCGGATGGTTCACACTCGTTTAGGTAAGTGATTCAAATCTGTCACTAATGTGAACGAACCGGCGTCCTGAAATGACCCTCATGAACACATCCTACTCAGTAACGTCACGTGAATGAATCACGTGCATCATCAGCACAAACTAACGGGCAGAACGAGCTTCGCTGTGAAGATAATTAACTCTGATCAGCTCTCAGTTTCATTATTAGAGCGAGACGAATTAGAAAAAGGTGAGATGAGCTGCTTTTCCACCGTTTACAGGCTTTAACTTCTGTTCGGCGCTGCTGCCATGGTAACGCTGAATGATGGCGCATGCGCAGTGGAAAAAGAGCACATGAATTCCAATCTGAGCGCCACATTAAAGTCGCATGGCAGATATGTATCCGATCAAGGACCACATATGACAGTGACTCAGGTCGGATTTGAAAAGATCAGATTCTCCACACAGCTCTGAAAACATCAGATCTGAGTCACATTAGGGCAAAAAATCGGATTTGTGCCACTTCAGCCTGGTAATGTGAACGTAGTCAAAAGGATCTGCAGAATGAGAACACCTGTTCCCTCTCCCTGTTTTCTCTTTCTGAGCACCTACTTGTTGGGGGAGTACGCGTGCTCACTTGACAGCAATCTGTGAGAGAAATAATAGCAAGATCTCAACACAGGTCAATCACAATAATGTCAGTAACCTCAACAAGTCAGCTGTACTTTAAAATCTACACAGTCACACTTTTTAAAACTACGTTTTTTGGCTGTTGTTGTCATGACAGCAATGTCCATAGTTGCTACAGGAGCTAGATCAGGTACAGATATCAAAGTTATAGCCACAGTTCCACCTGCGGGAAGGAGAAGCTAACAGAGAGAGAATAAACCTTAACAACAACTTCAACAACAGACTGTTTTCACAATAACTGGATTCCATTAACCAATAACCAAAATTACATCAAAACCTAAAAACATTCACCTGTTGTGGTTTCACTGGCCACAGTTTACTCCGAAAAAAACAAACTCATCTAATAAGGTGTAATAAATACCTGTTGTGGGAGTAGGAGGTTCGGATGTAGGTTTAGTAGTAAGTTCTGTGGAAAAAGGAGGAGTATCTGTGAGTTCAGGAGGAGCTGAACACAGGAATAATAGTTCAAATAGGCCAGTCTAAAGGAATTACACAAGATGAACTCAGCAAAAGTGGGACAGATTTTGGCAGATGCACCAACTGATCCTGAAAAAGCAATCTATTCACATCTTTTGTGTTTTCACATACATCCTACATGTAAATGGGTTTAGACTGCATTGCAAATAGTTTTTATTTGGATGCCCCAACACAGTTAGTAAAGACTGAGCTTAGGCTTATAGCAAACATATTTAGTTATACACTGTAGTGTATTGCAACAAAATGTATAAATATCATGGACTTGGACTAGCTTAATGTTTAAAAACACACAATACTGAACGGAAGAAAAAAAGATATATTTTGGCAAGAAACAACAGATTAGCGAAAGAAAGCATAGTGCTTTCGTAACTGGAGTTAGGATAAGATTATAAACTTAAGATCATAAACTTAGTTGGTTTGGGGGGATTTGTCCCCTATTTATCCTGCTGGTAACACTTTACGATACTGTTTCGTAGTTAATAAGTAACTAATAAGGAACTAAGCAGGAACAAATGATTAGTGCTGCATTAACACTTAAGTAACTACTCTTAACTACCAAGGACTACTAGTTAACTACTCAGTGGGTAATAGTGAACTAATGATTAGGGTAGGTCACTATTAAATAAACAATAACTACTGAGTCTCAGAGAATTACTTAGTAACTAAGATTTCTTAGAATAAATTACCGATCACTACTCATAAATTACTGATCAATTCAACATTCATTGCTCAATAGCTGAGTCTGACAATCACACCACACTGTACTGATTGGTGTCCCTCATGTGTTTGTTTTGATCAAAAATGCCCATGGCTAATGCGCATCTTCATATTTGGCTGTGTGAACCAATTTGCAAGCCTAAAAATGGTACAACTGCTAAAATATAAAATAAAGGGTCCTAAAGTCAAATTGTCTGTGGGCCAATTGTCAGGTGGTCTTCTCCAAAAAGGCCTGGTAGAAAAAATGTAGGTGAAAAAAATCTGTATTTTTCATCCAAGTACTTAAAGTATGCTCTCATTTCAGCATCTTGGTAAGTACTTATTAGCAAGTCTTCTATCACCACAATCCACTGGTACTACTACTGATGATGATTATGATGATTATTATTATTATTATTATTATTATTAGTAGTAGTAGTAGTAGTAGTAGTATTAGTATAAATACATAGCGGTTTTGACATATAATAAATAATAAATATTTTAGTGTTTTGTTGAATTAAATAAACTTACATTTAAGATTCTATATTGTAGAATTGCACAGGACTCTTATTATGAAAGCATTGATGTTTCTGTTAAGCATAAACTAGCACAGTGGACTCAGCACTAATGTGGAGACAACACAGTTAGCTGACCTGCTAACTAATCTGAGCTAAGTAGGTACAGTCTTGTTGTACGATATCTGTTTTACCATGTTGTTTCAGAATTATAAGCATGTTAGTGCTTTATTAAACCTAAAGCTGCTGCTGATGTTCTGTTATGAGTGCACGTTAGCAAGCTACTTAATTTAGCTAACATGAGCTAAGCTAAAACTTTGTGCCTCAGATATGAAACAAAGATGTCTAATTAATGTACTAGCAGAACATACTGTGATCAGTCTCAGCTCTCAGACTTTCTCCTTTAGTAGTAATGACAGATTTTGATTTAATTTTGTTTGGGTGTGTTATTTTCAATGATATAGCTGGCTAACTCAGGGATGTTTTCACATTTGGACTGTGCACAAATAAAAAAGGACTCAATTAACTTATTTACTCTTAAAATACTGTTCCAGATCATCATTAACCCCTAGTTCATTCATGATAAGTTACCATGTGTTTCACTTTATAATACTGTTCCTGATCATCATTAACTCCTGGTTCATTAATGATGAGTTACCATGTGTTTCACTTTATAATACTGTTCCTGATCATCATTAACTCCTGGTTCATTAATGATGAGTTACCATGTGTTTCACTTTATAATACTGTTCCTGATCATCATTAACTCCTAGTTCATTAATGATGAGTTACCATTGTTTCATTTTATACTGTTCCTGATCATCATTAGCTCCTAATGAAGAACAGCAACACCTTATTCATTATCTAACAGACAGTAATTACATAATCACTTGAAAATATTTAGAACCAAGTAAATTTGAAGGCAGGACACATACACGGTCAGATATTTCTGTGAGCCCTCTCTTCAACTGACCCTGCCCTCTAAAAGACTTCAAAGGAGAACTACTGTTCAGAAGAAACACTGGCACATATACTCCTGCAGAAAAAAATGGTGTTTTGTTTTTAAAGATGAGAGGTAGCAGTTGTCCTGTTTGTAGGCTAATGTGCAAATTGGTTCACGCTGCCAAATATGAAGATGTGCACTAATCTTTTAATGTTTCTGATCAAAACAAACACATGAGGGACACCAGTCAGTAGTGTGGTGTGATGCCCCCAGGCTTCTCTGAGGATACCTGTTTCTGTGAATAGAAATGGAGGGTATAATCCATTATATTGTAGAGACTGCACACTGTGTAGTGTATTTCACTGCTGTTAGAAGTGTTGGAATACACTACATCAGTTAGTAGTTCAGTAGGAACCTTGTCAGACTCAGCTATTGAGCAATTAATGTTGGATTTCTATTAGTAGTTTATGAGTAGTTATTCTAAGAAACCTTAGTTACTAAGTAATTATCTATAAGACTCAGTAGTTATTGTTTAGTTAATAGTGACCTATCCTAATCATTAGTTCACTATTACCTACTGAGTAGTTAACTAGTAGTCCTTGGTAGTTAAGAGTAGTTACTTAAGTGTTAATGCAGCACTAATCATTTGTTCCTGCTTAGTTCCTTATTAGTTACTATTAACTATGAAACAGTATTGTAAAGTGTTACCATCCTGCATAGTCTAGGTTCTAGTCCTGCCAGCTTTAGCTTTACGCCCTGTCCAGCCTGCCCAACCCAACCAGGTGTGCTTGTGTGACAACAATCTGTGAAAGAAATAATAGCAAGATCTCAACACACTTTAATCACAGTAAAGTCCGTCATCTCTAAATGTCAGTTGTTACAAAAAATTCCATAGTAGTGACAGGAGCTAGATCAGGTATAGATGCCATGGTTATAGTCACAGTTCCACATGCAGGAAGGAGAAGCTAACAGAGAGAGAACAAACCTTAACAACAATAACTTAAACAACAAACTGTTTTCACAACAATTGGATTCCAATAATCAATAACCAACAGTATATCAAAACCCACAATCAAACATTCACTTGTTGTGGTTTCACAGGCCACAGTTCATATCACGTATCAGTAAACTGATTTTGTTAAACACATTAACAGTTATAAAGAGGGTAATACCCATGTCTAAAACCATCACAGAACACAAATATGCAAAAAGAAAGAGCATTATGCATATATAAAAAATCATCTTTAACATAAAAAAAAAAATGTAAGATACCTGTTGTGGTAGTAGGAGGTTCAGTTGTAGGTTCAGTAGTAGGTTCTGTGGAAAGAGAAGCATCTGTGAGTTCAGAAGGAGCTGATCATAGGAACAGGAACAGTTCAAAAGGACCAGTTTAAAGGAACTATACAGGGTGGTCTGAAGCAAAAGTGGAAAACGTTTTGATAGATGCACTGATTGATCCAGAAAAAGCAATATTTTCATGTCCTTTGTGCTTTCACATACATCCTACATGTAAATGGGTTTAGACTGCATTGCCAATAGTTTTATTTGGATGCCCCTACATAGTTAGTAAAGACTGAGCTATTTATTCATTCACTGTAGTGTATTAATTTTACAAAATTAATAATAATAATCATGAACTTGGACTAGCTTAGTCCAGTTTATCATAAGAGTTATGCAGTTGTAGCTCAAGCTGTTAAATTGACTTAAGAGTAAAGGTTTCAGAGTTTGGATGTTTCTTTGATACAGTCCATAAGTGTTGGCTAGACCCTGCTTCGCCCAAACACCTCGAATCACTGCCTAGCCTAGGTTCTAGTTCTGCCTTCCTTTGCTCGTTATTTTACCTAGTGCATTATTCTGCCTAGTCTAGGTTCTAGACCTGCCAGCCTTAGCTTTATGTCCTGCCCAAACTAGCTGTGCCAAGGCTTGCTTACTTCTTGTCTAATCCTTTTCTTATGCATCTGAATTCCATTAACCTAGCTTTTAGTCTTGCTGTTGGCTAAGTAGTTAGCAGTTTCCTTAGCCCTACTTCCTTTACTTATAAGCCAAACCTAGCTTGCCCAGTGTTTACACTGCTTACCAGGCCTTGCTTAAGATAAATTAGGTTTTGTTCATCTGTGTTATTCGTTTATGTTCATTAAAACCTCAGCTCTACTGTCCGTCCCTGTTTCCATCTGGATAATTAAAGTATTGTACAGCAGCTCTGAGCATGGGAAAGACCGTCATAAAAATATTTCAGAACCAGCTTCAATTTTCGAATTTTAAAGGACTGTTTCTTGCAGCTGACTGTGTTGCATTGTTCCTCATTAAGTAGCAATGAGGCAAAATAGCCTCACTAACCTGGGAACTCCCACTCTGCCCGAAAGCCTTGATGATTTATACAGTTGTCACTTGAGAACACTACAGTCAGAGAGTTCCTGGTGGAGCTGAAGCGTTTTCTCTGATCTTGAGGCAGGCGACCCAGCAGTGGGGAAGAAGCACTGGGACCGTCATACACCCTGATGGAGTCGCAACATTCCTCCACACTGGTTCCAAGGAGAAAGAGAGGGAAATGGGCAAGTTTGCAAAAAGAAATCTATTCAGCATAACGACATACACATACAAGGTTACGCTTGATTTCACGTCACAACTGATACAGTTACCAACGGAAAGCAGTTTCACTACCGATTTAGAGTAATACAGAGTAAACTGTCTAATACTGCATATTCTAACAGTTTGAATGGATAAATTCATCTGAAATGGGCAAATCCATCTGTATGTAAAGGTAAAGGAAAGTTGAGACTTACTCAACAAGCGTGAAGGCCAATTTAATGACCTGTCTCTTTGGCGCCAGAACTCTCCATGTGCAATCTGCTTTATTAGGGTAGTTATTAGGATACTGGGGGCTAAAAAATTCTCCTCTTGGCTTAGTCAGATTTCCGCCGCATGGAGCTCCTGTACCGCTGTGCACTGTAAATTGGCACATGCATTTCCGTTGCCATAAATGAGACATAATGAATCAAACACATAACAAAACACACTGTGTACACTCATTCAAACACTCCATTTTAGTATCCTACAGACATTTTTAATATTTTACAATATGTTCAGTGAAAATAATCAGCTTGAGAGAAGCTTAATGTAGCATGTCTGTAAACCATGCATTTCACATATCTTACTTACACATATTGTTGAAAAGCATTCTGAAACAGGTTAATCAGTTAATGTACCTGTTGTTTTCACTTTAGGTGTTATAGCAAGGACATGGCAAAAATCTGTGAGGACAAGAAAAAACAAATATCAACACTGTCAAAACATCCACCCGTAACCAGTCACTTCAACTTTAACCTCATTCATTGGCTCACCATAGTAGTCATGGCAGCAGTCTCTATAGTATTTACAGGAGCTGGAACAGGAACAGCTGTCGAAGTTAGAGCCACAGTTCCACCTACAGGAAGGAGAAGCTAATACAGAGAGAAAACAGAGAGAGAATAAACCTTAACTACAACTTAAAGGACAAACTATTTTCACAATAATTGGATTTCATTAGTCATTAACTAACAATACATCAAAACCCACAATCAAATATTCACCTGTTGTGGTTTCCCAGGTCACAGTTACTGAAATCACATTATCACTCAATAGATTTTGTTAAATACAAACATTAACAGTTATAAAGAAGGACAGTACCCATGTCTACTGAAGTAAAGAAGCCATCACAGGACCCAAAAAACAAAAACATGAAGAAAGAGCGTTTTATATATTACAAAAGTGTGTAACATTAAAAATCTTGATAAATACCTGATGTGGGAGTAGGAGGTTCAGTAGAAGGAGGAACAGTTGTAGGTTCAGTAGTAGGTTCTGTGGAATAAGGAGGAGCATCTGTGAGTTCAGAAGGAGCTGATCATAGGAATACAAGTAGTTAAAAAAGACCAGTTTAAAGGAACTATACAGGGTGAACTCAGCAAAAGTGGAACACATTTTGGTGGATGCATCAGTTGATACTGATAAAAGTTATATATTCATACATTTTGTATTTTTCACGTGTCCTAAATATAAAAGTGTTTAGACTGAATTGCATTTAGTGTTCTTTTGGATACCCCAACATAGTTAGACAGGACCGGAGCTGGAAGCTTAAATCGAACATATTTACAACAAATTCTCAAAGAGAATTTTTCATTACATTTGGCTGAATTAAAAACCAGTAATGAACTTGGACTAGCTTAATATTTTTAAAAGCAAACACTTTGGAAGGGAACAAAGAAGACAGGTTTCGGTAAGAAACTGAATGTTCATCTTGCTCCCTCTTTATATTCTTTTACACTCTTTCCATTCAATCCTCTCTCCACTGATTTAGTTTTAACTCTGTGTTTCTTTTATGCTGACTTTTTGCTCCAACATTTCCCTGACTGTTCAAATGACAAAACCCTAGAATTGTTGAATCAGGTCTAAATGCAACATGATTCCACATAAGAGTGCATTAATATAAAGTCTGTAGAAAACAGTGATCTATACAGTGTCTGTGCCTGCAGGCTTCTCTACACCAGGGGTTCTCAATCTTTTCCACCTCAAGGTCCAGCCATATAACCCTAGAAAGCAAACTGTTTTCTTATCTGAAGGAAAGCTGCTCAGTGGTGATGACAGTTTGGGAATTTAGTGTCGTCTCATCTTCAGAGTCTGACCAAATCGGCTTTCGGTCAAATGGGATCTACGGTCAAACGGTCAAAAAGTGTCCGTTTTCTGTTTGTGGCAAAGTAAGAAGTAAAAACGTTCGAATGACTTGAGCGTCTCCTACAGCTGTCACAGTCGTTGCTTAGCAATGGCGTCTCAGTGGAGTGATACAGTGTTTGTGAAAAAAACGCTTCTCAGCTTGCATGGACGGAACTAACTGTTGTATAATGTCCTATATTCAGTCGTAACTTCAGTTAGTTTCTCCAGTGTTTCCTCTGCTTACTAGACCTGTATAGTAAAACCAATGATATTTCAAAACCAGCATCTGTATTAGATTTTTTGCATATTGTGTAAAATTCTTGCAAAGGATGCAGCCGTTCAAATCACTCTTCAATAAGTAGCCATGAGGCAAAGTAGCCTCACCAACCTGAGAACACCCACTGTGCCCGAAAGCCTTGATGATTTATACAGCTGTCACTTGAGAACACTACGGTCAGAGAGCTCCTGGTGGAGCTGAAGTGATGTCTCTGATCTTGAGGCAGGCGACCCAGCAGTGGGGAAGCATCAGTGGGACCTTCATACACCCTGATGGAGTCACAGCATACCTCCAGACTAGTTACAAGGGGAAAGAGAGGGAATTGAGAAAGTTTGTAAAAATAAATATATTCCAGCTCAGAGAAGCATAATGGCATACGGCATATGAGCTTACACCTGATGTCATATCACAACTGGCAGAGATAACAGTGCAAAGCAACTTCTCTCCTGATTTAGTGATAAGGAATAAACTGTCTAATACTACATAAGCTAACAATTTGAATTCATCTGAAATGACTAAATCCAAAAAGTGAAGGAAAGCTGTGACTTACTCAACAAACATGAAGGTCACATTAACAGCTTGTCTCTCTGATGCCAGAAGTCTCCATGTGCAATTAGCATTATTAGGGTACTTATTAGGATACTGGGGGCTGAAGAATTCTCCACTTGAGTTGGTCAAATCTCCACCGCATGGCGCTCCAACTGTTCAGTGGCACAGCAACAGTTTGTATTAATGAGACTAACTGAATCAAATGCATAGCAAAAAGCGTTGTGTACTAACTAAACATTGATTAAATCAATTACAAAGGTACCAAATTCACATTCGCCTTCTGAACAGGTGTAAAACACTAGTCAGTCCAGGTTATTTACATGAACACATTCAGAAGTGTGGTTCCAAATGACAGAGTATAATAAGCAAAAAATGAATAACACTTTACTGTAGCTCAGTGTTCATAAAGCTACATGACAAAGATTTATTCCAATAAACGGCAGTTGTCAGAAAGACTGCTTTTGTCAACTTCAATGTCAAGTTGACATAACATTTATGTCGAGGAACAGGCTTTTGTTGACATTACGTTATGTCGTAACACTTCCTGGAGTGATATAGCATGTTATGACAGCTGACATTTTAGTGCCATTGCGTCCACTTTCAGGTTAATCTCCTGTTTCTAATAGTTTCCATTTCACATCTTAAAAAGCTATACTGGACATTTTAAACTTGGCAAAATTTCTAACCCAAGTCTTTCCAAAAAACAACACAAAATGGCCTGAAACTAATCTACACAAAGGTAGTATAGAATAGAATATTTTGTAAGGGAAAGCAGTTTCTAATCGCACCATCACCAAGAGAGAAAGGAAAGACGTGACTATATAAAGCAGAGCTTTGAGTACCAGAACGTTCATTAAAAAAAAAAAACAGTTTGGACAAACTGCTTATTTTACTCAAGAGCCAAATAATATAAAATACACATAACTCATTTTAGTGTTCTGGAATTACCATTAGTTTTCATAACATCTTATGAAGAGCAAAATGAAACTCACTTTACTTAGAGGCCAGAAAAAACATACATTACTGATACTGATACTCTGAATAGGAATATCAGTATCAGAAGCTTCACAATGTAACAACAATACAAAACAGTACAATTTAGTGTTACCAGTGTAAAGTGTCAAAGCATCTTTTTAGAATTGCTCATTTTTGTTTGATTTTGCAACCTCACTTGCCAAATTATGTAACATAATAACCATTATGTGTCAAGTCATATCTTTTTACATTCAATCTTGAGGAATGTTTAAGAAAACACCCAATCCTATAAATATTTTTAATATTTTATACTGTGTTCCCTGGAATTAGTCAGCATGAGACTAGCATGTCTGAAAACCATACATTTCACATGATGAATCATTGACAAATATTACTGTAAAGCATTGTGAAACTTGTTAATTAGTTAATGTACCTGTTGGGTTCACATTAGGTGTTGCAACAGTGACATGGCAAAAATCTGTAAGCACAAGAAAAAACAAATATCATCACATAATATATACCCAAAACCAACCACTTCGACTTTAATCTCATTCCTTGGCTCACCATAGTAGTCATGGCAACAGTCTCTGTAGTACTGACAGGAGCTGGCGCAGGAACAGCTGTCGAGGTCATAACCACAGTTCAACCTGCAGGAATCAGCTAATTCCAAGAGAACAAGCATAGCTTAGCAACAACAATTACACTAAAATCACTACTCTAATGACTGACAGACATAACCAGAATCCATTAGACATTAACTATTAGCATTATCATCAGAAGATCAAAATTCAAAATCAAATACTCACTTGTTGTGATTTCTGTGGTCTCTGTTTAAACAGATGGATAATGCAAATTTAATGTATTAGAATGTAGTTAAGCAGTAGAGCACTCAACTTTTTGTGTTATCACAAACAACATCATGGCTTTGATTCAGCCATAAGGAGAGCTGTAGTTGAGTACAGTACATAATGTCATTTGTAAAAAAAAATGGACAGTACAATAAAAGTTGGTTTTATATTGGATGTTCCCTTGATATTCGACTTTGGTCCCACCCACTGGAAACAAAAAGGAGATTGGTTTATTCTTCTGCCAATTCCCAATTGACATAATAATAAACCATATTTATAGAAAAACCTAGTACAAATACAACATATCAGATGGTGAAACTGAGACATTTTATTGATTTTTGAAAAATACATGCCCATTTTGAATTTGATGCCAGCAACATGTTCCAAAAAAGTTGGGACGGGGGCCTGTTTACCACTGTGTTTCATCACCTCTTCTTTTAACAACACTCTGTAAGCGTTTGGGAACTGAGGAGACACTGCTGTAGTTTTGAAAGTGAAATATTTCCCACTGTGGTTTGATATAGGATTTCAGCTGCTCAACAGTTCAGGGTCTCATTTATCTTATTTTTCATTTCTTAATGAGCCAAATGTTCTCAGTGGTGACATATCTGGACTGCAGGCAGGTCAGTTTAGCAACCAGACTCTTTTAATATGGAGGGATGCTGTACATGCAGAATGTGGTTTTACATTGTCTTGCTGAAATAAACAAGGCCTTTCCTGAAAAAGATGTCATCTGGATGGCAGCATATCGCTGTTGTCGAAAGAAAACCTTCATTTTTGATGTTTTCAGTTTTTGACATAATTTGAAAATATCTGTTGCCCTTTATGTTGTGTTGAAATTTCATGATGAATGGACCGAAAGAAACAGCCCCAAATTACTTGGAAAGAAGTCTGGTTCCATTGACTTACTTTAAAAGTAAAGTAGGTTTTCTCCTTCTCCTGTAAAATTGTTTTGGAGATGCAAGGTTTTGTTCCGACAACAGGAATTGAGTACTATTTTAAAATCAAATCATTCTTTGGGCCTCATTCAGGAAAACAAGAGTGGCTGAACGTTCAGAAACCTGTCCAGTCCATGTCAAATCTAATCGCAGCTGTTATTCAGGCTTGTGGAGTTATTACATGCCATTAGGTATGTTTCAGTCACATGTGACTAATTTTTTGTCCGGTGATCTTACAATTACAATTTTTGTAATTTTGCCTCTCTACTTCACCACAGTGGATGTGAAATGAAGCAGTCAAAATGAGTATAAGGTGTAGACTATAAGCTTTAATTCAAGGGCTTTAAAAATATTGCTTTAAATGTTAAGAAATGAGAGAGACAGATATTACAGACATTCCAGAGAAAGAAAGTGTACCTTCTGGGGTGTCAGGAGTAGGTATGATTGTGTAACAGTAATCTGAGAGAGAAATAATAGCAAGATGTAAACACACAGTCACATTAATGTCAGTCACCTCTAAATGTCAGTTTTACTTCTACACATAAATACACATAAATCTACACATTCTCTGACCGTAGTAGTCGTGGCAGCAGTTTCCATAGTACTGACAGGAGCTGGAGCAGGAACATCTGCCGAGGTGAGAGCCACAGTTCCACCTGCAGGAAGGTGAAGCTAAAACAGAGAGAACAAACCTTAACAGCAAAATATACAACAAACTTTTTAACATTAATTGGATTTCATTAGTCACTAATCAATAGAACATCAATCAAAAATTACAATCAAATAGTCACCTGTTGTGGATTCCCAGGCCACATTTTACTTAGAAAGAAAACCTCATATCACATTATCATTAAATTGATTTTGTTAAATAAAAACATTAGCAGTTATAAAGAAGGGGAATACCCATGTCTAATGATGGAAAAAAAAAACCCATAACAGGAACCAAATATACAAGAAAATGAAGGAGCATTATACATATTACAAAAAAATCATTAAAAAACTTAAACATTAAAAACTTCTGAAATACCTGATGTGGGATTAGGAGGTTCAGTTGAAGGTTCAGGTGGAACAGCTGAGGGTTCAGGAGTAGCTTCTGTGGAAGAAGGAGGAGTATCTCTGAGTTCAGGAGAACCTGAACATAGCAATAATAGTTGTTTAAAAAGACCAGCCTAAAGGAGCTATACAGGGTGAACCAAGCAAAAGTGGAAAGCTATATATTCATATCAGTTTTCATGTGCATCCTGAACATGAATATGTTTACACTGCATTGCATACAGTTTTTTTTGGATGCCCCATTATAGTTAGACAGGACAGAGCTGAAAACTTAAATCCAAGATATTTACTCATTTACTATAGCCTATTGCACCATATTCTTAAAAGCTATTTTCACATTACAAGCCTCTTTGCTCAAAATAAATTTGATGGTTCACACTCATTAACTGACTCAAATCTGTAGTTAATGTGAACGAAATGGCATCCTAAAACGACCCGCATGAGCTCATCCTACTCAGTAACGTCACATGAATGAATCACAAGCATCATCAGCACAAACTAACGAGCAGAACGAGCTTCGCTGAGAAGATAATTAACTCTGATCAGCTCTCGGCTTCATTATTAGAGCGAGACGAAGGAGAAAAAGGTGAGATGAGCTGCTTTTCCACCGTTTACAGGCTTTAACTTCTGTTCAGCGCTGCTGCCATGGTAACGCTGAATGATGGTCAAGCGCAGTGAAAAAAAAAGCATATGAATTCCGATCTGAACGTCACATTAAGGTTACATGGCCACGAATTGGACATGTATCCAATCTAGGACCACATATCAAAGGCTACGTTCACATTACCAGGCTGAAGTGGCACAAATCTGTTTTTTTGCCTTAATGTGACTCAGATCTGATGTTTTCAGGGCTGTGTGGACACAAATCTGATCTTTTCAAATCCGACCTGAACCACTTTCATATGTGCTCCTAGATTGGATATGTATCCGATTCGTGGCCATGCGACCTTAATGTGACGTTCAGATCGGAATTCATGTGCTTTTTTTTTCACTGCACGTGCGCCATCATTCAGCGTTACCATGGCAGCAGCGCCGAACAGAAGTTAAAGCCTGTAAACGGTGGAAAAGCAGCTCATCTCACCTTTTTCTCCTTCGTCTCGCTCTAATAATGAAGCCGAGAGCTGATCAGAGTTAATTATCTTCTCAGCGAAGCTCGTTCTGCTCGTTAGTTTGTGCTGATGATGCTCGTGATTCATTTACGTGACGTTACTGAGTAGGATGTGTTCATGAGGGTCATTTCAGGACGCCGGTTCGTTCACATTAATGACAGATTTGAATCATTTACCTAAACGAGTGTGAACCATCGTGTCAGAGAGATCGGATTTGAGCAAAAAATCGGATTTGTGCCACTTTAACCTGGTAATGTGAAAAAATCCTATGTGCCACTTAACAAAATGTTTGAAACTGTGATGAATCAGGTATACATGCAACATGATTCAACACAATATATACAAAAATTATCTATACAGTGTCAGTGCCTGAAGGCCTCTCTGCACTAGGGGTTCTCAAACTTTTTTCCCCAAAGCCCAACTATTAATAGATAGAAAGCTGTTTTCTTATCTAGAGTTGGGATAAGATTCAACTTAGGAACTGTTACCCTGTAATAGCTTCTGTCTTATACGCATTTGTAAATGAAGTTGTCATGTTAACTAAAGAGAAAAGTTTAGAGTTATTTAGATGTCTTGCAGTCATAGTATTGCTTTACTTGGCTTAGCCAAACCAGTCTTCCCTGTGTTTACACTTCTTACTAGGCCTTACTACGTCTGTGTTCTGTTATTAGATTGTGTTCATTAAAACCTTTGCTATAGTGTCCATCTCTGTTTCTTTCTTGATGATTATACTGTTGTACAGCAGCTCTGAGCATTTCAGAATTTTACTGTTTTGTGTATAATTCTTGCGAAGGACACAGTCAATTGTGTTAAATCCCTCTTTCCTGAGTAGCTATAAGGCAAAGTAGTATCACTAACCTGAGAACACCCACTGTGCCTGAAAGCCTTGACGAGTTACACTGCTGTCACTTGAGAATACTATGGTCAGGTAGTTCCTGGTAGATTTAAAGTGATATCTCTGATCTTTAGGCAGGCGACCCAGCAGTGGGTAGGAATCGGTGGGACCATCATACACCCTGATGGAGTCGCAACATTCCTCCACACTGATTCCAAGGAGAAAAAAAAAGAATTAATTGAGAAAGTTTGCGAAAATAAATCTTTTCCAGCCCAGGGCAGCGTAACAGCACACACATATGAGCCAACATCTGGTTTCATGTCACAACTGACACAGTTAACAACGCAAAGCAATTTAGGATGATAGAGAATAAACTGTTAAATATTGCATGTTATAACAGTTTGAATAAATAATTTCATCTGAAATACACTATATTGCCAAAAGTATTCACTCACCCATCCAAATCATTGAATTCAAGTGTTCCAATCACTTCCATGGCCACAGGTGTATAAAACCGAGCACCTGGGCATGCAGACTGCTTCTACAAACATTAGTGAAAGAATGGGTCGCTCTCAGGAGCTCAGTAAATTCCAGCGTGGTGCCGTGATAGGACGCCACCTGTGCTACAAGTCCAGTCGTGATATTTCTTTGCTACTAAATATTCCACAGTCAACTGTCAGTGGTATTATAACAAAGAGGAAGTGATTGGGAATGACAGAAACTGAACCACGAAGTGACAGGCCACGTAAAATGACAGAGCGGGGTCAGCGGATGCTGAGGTGCATAGTGTGCAGAGGTCAACAACTTTCTGCAGAGTCAATCGCTACAGACCTCCAAACTTCATGTGGCCTTCAGATTAGCTCAAGAACAGTGTAGAGAGCTTCATGGAATGGGTTTCCATGGCCGAGCAGCTGCATCCAAGCCTTACATCACCAAGCACAATGCAACGCGTCAAATGCAGTGGTGTAAAGTGCCGCCACTGGACTCCAGAGCAGTGGAGACGTGTTCTCTGGACTGGCGAATCATGCTTCTCCGTCTGGCAATCTGATGGACGAGTCTGGGTTTGGCGGTTGCCAGGAGAACGGTACTTGTCTGACTGCATTGTGTCAAGTGTAAAGTTTGGTGGAGGGGGAATTATGGTGTGGGGTTGTTTGTCAGGAGTTGGGCTCGGCCCCTTAGTTCCAGTGAAAGGAACTCTTAATGCTTCAGCACCAAGAGATTTTGAACAATTTTATGCTCCCAACTTTGTGGGAACAGTTTGGGGACGGCCCCTTCCTGTTCCAACATGACTATGACCTTGCTTTGTGCACTGGTGCGCAAAGACATGGATGAGCGAGTTTGGTGTGGAAGAACTTGACTGGCCTGCACAAAGTCCTGACCTCAACCCAATAGAACACCTTTGGGATAAATTAGAGTGGAGACTGTGAGCCAGGCCATCAGTGTCTGACCTCACAAATGCGCTTCTGGAAGAATGGTCAAAAATTCCCATAAACACTCCTAAACCTTGTGGAAAGCCTTCTCAGAAGAGTTGAAGCTGTTATAGCTGCAAAGGGTGGGCCGACATCATATTAAACCCTATGGATTAAGAATGGGATCTCACTCAATTTCATATGTGTATGAAGGCAGACAAATACTTTTGGCAATATAGTGTAGCTAAATCTATCTGTATGTAAAAGTGAAGGAAAGCTGTGACTTACTTAACAAACGTGAAGGTCAAATTAACAAACTGTGTCTCTGATGCCAAAAGTCTCCATGTGCAATCTGCATTATTAGGGTAGTTATTAGGATACTGGGGGCTGAAGAATTCTCCACTTGAGTTAGTCAGATCTTCACCCCATGGTGCTTTATCTGTAAAGTGGCACATGCATTTAAGTGCACAAATAAGACTTAATGAATCAAATGCATAGCAAAATGCATTGTGTACTGTCCTCTCTCTCCTTCCTTCTGTTCAGTTTTGGTTCATTTATCTCTTTAAGTTACTAATTTCTCTCTCCATTTCTGAGAAAGCCACTATTCCCCTGGCGTCCTTTGTTTTCTTATCCCGCCCGACAGAAGTGGGCGGGTTTATAATTAAGTTTGCTTTTGCCATTTCCATGTAAGGGTGCTCCTTTCAGCAGTCTTTGTCACGACTTCAGTGGAGAAGTGATAGAGCGCTCACCCAGTATCAATAGGGTCTGGGTTTGATGCCTGGGCTTGTCATGTGTTTAAGTTCTTGAGTTTAGCTCATGCTTCCGTTGTACATAAGCTTGGCGCTTGGGTCCTGTCTGCCTAAAACCTGTGGTGGGTGACCTGGTGGACCCTGGACTATAACTAAGATGGCCTGGGTTCACATTCTATATCTGGTGAGCCATCCACTGTTACAGTGCCAGACTGAGCATGAGTGTGGGAAAGCCAATTGCATTTTGGATCCATTTCAGAATTTTGGTGTATTGTTTGGAATTCCTGCAACATACACAGCTGATTGCATTAAATCACTCTTTAATTATTAGCTATAAGGCAAAGTAGCCTCACTAACCTGAGAACTCCCACTGTGCCTGAAAGCCTTGACCAGTTACACTGCTATCACTTGAGAACACTACGGTCAGAGAGTTCCTGGTGGAGATGAAGTTTTGTTTCTGATCCTGAGGCAGGCGACCCAGCAGTGGGTAATCGTCAGTAGGACCGTCATACACCCTGAGGGAGTCACAACATTCTTCCAACCTAGTTCCAAGAAGAAAGAGAGAGGAGATTGAAAAAGCAAAAAGAAGCTCATGGGAGTGTAACGGCACATGCATATGAGCTCACACCAGGTGTCATATCAGAAATGGCACAGTTAACAAAGGAAATTTCACTACTGATTCAGAGTGACACAAAATAAACTGCCTAATACTGCATATTCTAACAGTTTGAATGTATAAATAAATCTGAAATGGCCAAATCCATCTGTATGTGAAAGTGAAGCAAAGCTGTGACTTACTCAACAAACGTGAAGGTCAAATTAACCCGTCTGTCTGATGCCAGAAGTCTCCATGTACAGTCTGCATTATTAGGGTAGTTATTAGGATACCGGGGGCTGAAGAATTCTCCTCTTGGGTTAGTCAGATCTCCACCGCATGGTTCAACTGTAAAGTGGCACATGAGTTTAAGTTTGCATAAATAGACTTAATGTATCAAATGCACAGCACTAATGCAAGGCCCGAAACATAGTCCACGCAAGAATGCGAACGCAGACGCTTCGAGCTATGCAGATTCACATGTAGTTGCGTTCATAGTTGCCACTATAACTTCAGCCAAGCCTGACCAAGCGGTCTCGCACCACCGGCGTGATTTCTCAACTGCTATAGCAGACGAGCAGTTGAGTCTCACGCAAAGATGTCATAAAAATATGATTAATTATCGCATTTCCAATCCAAGAGAAGAGGTAAAGCAGCTCATTCTCCTCTACTGCCCATGTTTAGCTGTGGAAGCTGCTGGAATAACAGTAGATCCCTCTCTGATTTGTACTCTATTGCCCCCTCCAGTACTGAGTGTTTTAACCTCCACAGCAATGTAAGGACGCGCGGCAAGTTTGTACAGAAGGACAGAGCATTTGCAGTGCTGTCATTTGCGTTCGCATCCTTGCATGAAGTATGTTTCGGGCCGAAGCCATCCAGACTGAGCACTTTATCATATCTAGACTATGTTCTAGTCCTGCCTAGCCTTGACAATTTCCTGTCTAATCTTTTTTCCTATGCCTCTGAATTCCATTATACTAGCCTTTAGTTGTGCTGTTAGTATTTTCTATAGTCCTACTTTCTTTATTGTTTGCAGCCAATTCTTACTTTACTCAGCTTAGCCAAGCCTAGTTTTCCCAGTGTTTCCACTGCTTACTAGGACTTGCTTCTTTGTTTTTTCTGTGTAAATCTCTGCTCTAGTGTCCATCCCTGTTTCTTTCTGGATAATTATACTACTGTGCAGCAGCTCTGAATGTGGAAAGGCCAATCATATTTCAGAACCAGCATCCATTTCAGAATTTTTGTGTATCGTGAGGAATTCTTGCAAAGTACACCGCTGATTGTGTTAAATTGCTCTTTAATTAGTAGCTATGAGGCAAAGTAGCCTCACCAACCTGGGAACTCCCACTGTGCCCGAAAGCCTTGACCAGTTACACTGCTATCACTTGAGAACACTACGGTCAGAGAGTTCCTGGTGGAGATGAAGTTTTGTTTCTGATCCTGAGGCAGGCGACCCAGCAGTGGGTAAGTATTATTGGGACCGTCATACACACCGATGGAGTCGCAACATTTCTCCAAACTAGCTCCAAGGAGAAAGAGAGGGACATGAGAAAGTTTAAGAAAATAAATCTATTCCAGCTCAGGGCAACATAACGGTTTTTTATCACAACTGACACAGTTAACAACACAAAGCATAACATTTCACTACAGATTTAGGGTCATAAAGAATAAAATATTTAATGCTGTATACTCCAACAGTTTGAGTAAATAAATTCACCGGAAATGGTTGAATAAATCTCTGAATAAAAGTGAATGAAAGCTGTGACTTACTCAACAAATGTGAAGGTAATATTAACAACTTGAAACACGGGTGCCCGCAGTCTCCATGTGCAATATGCATTATTATGGTACTTATTAGGATACTGGAATCTGAAGAATTCTCCACTTAGGTTAGTCAGATCTCCGCCACATAACGATTCAACTGTAAAGTGACACAAGCATTTACGTTTTCACAAATGAGCCTACAGCAAAACACACTGTATACTATCCTCTCTCCACTGATTGAGTTTTAACTTTTTTCCTTTATGCCGACATTTCTCTCTGACTGTTCTGATTTAGGAGACACTTTGATAAAAGTGACAAAATGTTAGAGTTGTGCTGAATTAGTTCTATATGCAACATGTTTCCACATTATAGCTTATTAATGTAAAGCTCTAAGCCATATAACAATCATCTAAACAGTGTCAGCGCCTGCAGGCTTCTCTGCGCCAGGGGTTTTCAAACCTTTGCTCGTCAAGGCACATCTACTAATTGATAGGAAGTAAATTGTTTTATTATGTGAAGTTAGCATAAGCATGAATTCAGGAACTGTTATTCTGTAATATAATAACCTGTATATTTTGGAGTGGTCATCTGTAGACCCTGCACCACCCTACAGCCTCTAATCATTGCCAAGTCAAGGTTCTAATCCTGCCATACATAGATCTTTCTAGCTAGCCTTGCTTACTTCATGTAGGCGCTTTATGCTATGCTTCTGAATTCCATTTTTACTCTTGCTCTTAGCTAAGTAGTTACCATTTTTCTTAGCCGTTTCCATTATTGTTTGTTTTGCAGTGGTAGTATTGCTTTGCTCACCTCAGCCAAACTATATATATATATATATATAAATATATATATATATATATATATATATATATATATATATATATATATATATATATATGTGTGTGTGTCACTATACTTACACCTGTTACTATACCTATACCTGGTCTGTTTTTTTTTTTATCTGTTTAGTTTGTGTTTGTGAGCTAGTGTCCATCCCTGTTTCTGTCTGGATGATTACAGTACTGTACATCAGCTTTGAGTGTGGGAAATCCAATTATATTTCAAAACTAGCATCCATGTAGAATTTTACTCTGTTGTGTATAATTCTTACAAAGGATGCAGCCGAACTGCTCTTTAATAAATAGCAGTGAGGCAAAGTAGCCTCACTAACCTGGGAACACCCACTGTGCCTGAAAGCCTTGATGAGTAAAACTGTGGTCACTTGAGAACACTACAGTCAGGTAGTTCCTGCTGGAGTTGAAGTGATATCTCTGATCTTGAGGCAGGCGACCCAGCAGTGGGTAAGCATCAGTGGGACCGTCATACACCCTGATGGAGTCGCAACATGCCTCCAAACTAGTTCCAAGGAGAAAAAGAGAGAATTGAGAAAGTTTGCGAATTGACATCTATTCCAGCTCAGGCCAGCTTAACAGCGTGCACATATGGGCTTACACCTTGTTTCATATCACACATGACACAGTTAACAACGGAAAGCAATTTCACTACTGATTCAGAGTCATACAGAATAAACTGTCTAATATTGCATAAACTAGCTATTTCAATGGATAAATTAATCTGAAATCCATCTGTATGTAAAAGTGAAGGAAAGCTGTGACTTACTCAACAAACGTGAAGGTCAAATTAACAACTTGTGTCTCTGATGCCAGAAGTCTCCATGTGCAATCTGCATTATTAGGGTAGTTATTAGGATACCAGGGGCTGAAGAATTCTCCTCTTGAGTTAGTCAGGTCTTCACCGCATGATGCCCCAACTGTAAAGTGACACATGCATTTAAGTTTGCATAAATAAGATTTAATGCATCAAATGCACAGCAAAACACATTGTTTACTATCCTCTCTCCACTGATTGAGTTTAATCACTCTCCTTCCTTTATGCCGACTTTTCTCACTGACTTTTTCCTGACTGTTCTGATTTGGGCGCCAGTCTAGAATTGGGCGAAATCAGGTGTACATGCAACAATATAAACAACAGCTAAATAATGTAATGCTTGTAGGCCTTAAAACTAGACTTTTGACTAGAAATCAAACTGACTTCTTTTCTGGAGTTAGAATAAAATTATGAACTTCAGAACTGTCACTCTGTAATAGCTGTTATATTCATTCCTAACTGAAGTTATCATGTTGACTAAAGAGGTAAGATTTCAGAGTTAAGATGTTTCTTCAATGCAGCCCCTTTGGTACAAATGTTGGACCAATCCATTCTGGATTTGTCTTGTAGAGATCCTGCTCTGCCCTACCACCACTAATCATTGCCTAGCCTAGGTTCTAGATCTGCCTCCCTTTGCTCTTAATTCTGAGTAGTGTAGGTTGTAGTCCTGCCTAGCCTTGCTTACATCCTGTGTAATATTGTTACTATGTTTGTAAATTCCATTAGCCTAGCCTTTTGTGTTGTTGTTAGCTAAGTAGTTAGCATTTTATTTAGCCCTACTTCCTTAATTCTTTGTCTTGGAGTCATAATATTGCTTTGCTCAGCTTAGCCAAACCTAGCTTTCCCAGTGTTTCTACTGCTTACTAGGCATTGCTTATATTATATTGGGTTTGCACTAGTGTCTTTCCTTGTTTCTGTCTGGATAATTATATTATTGAACTGCAGCTTGAGTTTGGGAAAGCCAGTGATTTTTTCAGAACCAGCATCCATTTTAAAAATATAGAGTATTGTTTGAGTCTTGCAAAGGATGCAGCTTATTATGTTAAATTGCTCTTTAGTGATTAGCAATAAGGAAAAGTAGCCTTACTAACCTGGGAACTCCCACTGTGCCCGAAAGCCTTGATGAGTTATACTGTGGTCACTTGAGAATACTATGGTCAGAGAGTTCCTGGTGGAGTTGAAGTGATGTCTCTGATCTTGAGGCAGGTGACCCAGCAGTGGGTAAGCAGCACTGGGACCGTCATACACCCTGATGGAGTCACAACACGTCTCCACACTAGTTCCAAGGAGAAAGAGAGAGAATTGAGAAAATAAATCTATTCTAGCTCAGAGCAGAATAGATATGAGCTTACACCTGGTTTTATATCACAGCTGACACAGTTAATGTTAAAAAAGGGCCCTTTGTGACTTTAACTTTGCTTTTTAGTGACTTGTTCATGTTCAGCCCGCCTACCTGTTGGAGAAGAGCCCAGAACAAGCAGATGCTTACAGCTCTGCAATCTGTTAGCAGCTGGTGGCTTTGAACTGCGACAATGGGCCAGTAATAACCCTGCAGTCATTAGTCACCTTCCTCCGCATACCAGGTCAGACAGTAGCGAACTCTGGCTCAGCTATGGCAAACACGATGCTCAGGAATCTACCCTTTGGCTGTACTGGAAATGCCATTGCAACACTCTGTCATATAAGCAACGCACAGTGGATAGTGAAATAATGACTCTGTGCAACATCTACAAAGTCTTGGCCAGCCAGTAAGACCCCTTTGGTTATATTATCCCATACACAACCAGAGCGATGATCCTAGTAGAGTGCCTATGGGATAAAAGGAGAGAGTGGGATGACCCTCATTTGCCACAAGATGTGCTCAGCGCCTGTCATGCATGGGAGAGTGAACTCAAGGACCTTTTGATGATCTCACTGCCTAGGTGTTACACCACCCCAGAACTGGAACACCCTGGTAGTATGAGGGATATTCACATATTCTGTGATGCCTCAGAACAGGCCTATGGTGCAGTCATCTACTTAAGAAGCAAAAAAGGCAAGGTGGACATAGCCTTCTTGACTGCCAGGTCCTGCGTTGCCCCCAAGAAGTGACAGTCAGTGCCTTGCCTAGAGTTGTGTGCAGCTCTCACTGGTGCCCAGTTGGTAAAGGTAGTCAGAACAGAGTTAACCCTCCCCATCCATTCTGTTGCCCTGTGGACTGATTCAATAAAAGTACTCACCTGGCTGCTTTCAGAGTCCTGCAGATTTAAAGTGTTTATGGGAACACAGGTGGTGGAGATACAAGACCTGACAGGATCTGACACCTGGAGGTATGTGCCATCGAGTCACAACCCTGCATTTGACATCACACAAGGAAAGTCTCTCTGTAATCTGGCAGGACAGATGGAGTCAGTGGCCCCAGCTCCTCAGACTGCCTCCAGCACAGTGGCCAGAACCCCCATGCCTAACTCTGGATGAGCAAGACGATGAGGTGGGAAGACCTATCCTGTGTAATCTGATGACCTCACTCTCTCCCTTGCCTAAACTGCATCAGTATCAGACCCTCAGCGAGTACCTTGAGGCTACTGCGCGGCAGCTTCACAGGGCGGCAGAACCCTCAGACAGCCCCACTGCAAGCGAATATGCAAAGGCTGAGCTAGAGGAAATTTGTCAAGCACAGATGGATTCCTTCCCAAGTGAGGTGATTCATCTAAAGGCAGAAAAGCCAGCACCAGCCAACAGTCATCTGCTCTGTCTTGCCCCTGAATTTGACAGGACAACCCAGCTCGTCAGGGTAGGAGGCCATCTCCGATGTAGTGGTCTTCTGGAGCAAGACATCATCCACCCGATTGTCCTTGACCTTCAGCACCCACTCACCAAGCTGATTGTCAAGGACTATGACAAAAAGTTGCATCATCTAGGTCCGGAGAGGATCTTTGCTGAGGTATGATGAAAGTACTGGGTGCTGCAAGGGCACGAGGCCATTTGTCACCATCAACAAAAATGTGCTAACTGCAGGACATCCTAATCCACCACGAATGGCCCACCTTCCCCTGGCCAGACTACGTATCTACAAACAAGCATTCTATTCTTCTGGTGTTGACTGTTTCGGCCGCTATGTGATTAAAGTGGGGCGCCGAAATGAAAAAAGATGGGGAATCCTGTTCAAGTGCATGACCTCCAGAGCAGTTTACATTAACCTTCTCGCTAGCCCGGACTCAGACTTCTTCTTAATGGCTCTGAGGCATTTTACTGCTCTGCATGGAAAGCCCCATGAGATCCTCTGTGACCAGGGCACCAACTTCCGAGGGGGAGAGAAAGAGCTTCAGGAAGCCTTTGCTACCCTTCAACCTGATCTTCAAGCCCAACTTGCTAGCCAGCAAATCAGGTTCAGCTTCAATCCCCCCAAATGTGCCACAAAGAGAATTTTTTTCCCTCAAAACAGCCCTTTGGGTCACATTGGGGGCTCAAACTGTCACGGAGGAAGTGCTGAGGACTGTCCTCATTAAGATTGGTATTCTCAACTCAAAGCCCCTTGGCTACACCTCCTCAGACATCGCAGACCCCGACCCCAACACCCCTAACGGTCTTCTTATGGGGCGGCCGGATGTTTTTTCCTGCAGCAAGTGGTATATCATGACTCTGAGCTGTTGAGTCGGAAGAGATGGAGGCACAGTCAGCTCCTAGCTGATCACTTCTGGAGGCGCTTTATCAAATACTACTTACCTAGCCTCCAGGACCGTCAGAAATGCCGAACTGAGACCGAGGGCATGAAGGTTGGAGAAACCATTATAATTGTTGATCCCCAGTTACCACGTGCCCTTTGGCCTGTTGGAAAGGTCATCATAGTCTTTCCTGGCGCAGACAACTGGATCAGATCAGCAGTGATTCAAGTATAGAACAACACATATATAAGGCCAGTGACCCGACTTATCACACTACCTGCACTACCAGATGAAGATTGAACAAGATTGAACGTTTGTGACTTTAACTTTGCCCTTTAGTGACTTGTTCATGTTCAGCCCGCCTACCTGTGTGCCTTTGGCCAATCGGAGTGCTGCACAGAGCGTTCTGTTTTGTAGGTTGCTCTGTATTGCTCGATGGTAGTGGAGTGGAGGAAATGCAAGAATTCATTGAGGTTTTGGGATTGTTTGGCAGTGGGATTTACCCCATTTTAAATTTTTTGTGTGTGTACATTTTAATGTAAATATGTAAGTTTACTTTGTCCATTTCAAGTTTAGCATTATCCATTGCTTCTAGACATTTGGTCGGCGCAGTTCGCTAGTATGTCTGTATCGCTCATTACCCACATATGGTTATTATGGTACAGCATGTTGTCTTGTTCTTAAATGTGCCATTTCTGGGTGTAGTTTTGTATACGGTGCTGGAAGTGTACTACAGTGTAAATTTAAGCGTTTATCACGATCTGCCGCAACAAGTTTGCCAAGTCTTGAGATGTTTCAGTCATGACTCTGAAATTGTGTACACAGTAATGTGCATATAGAGTGCTTTAAGTTGGTCTGCTCGGAGAACGCCTTAAATGATGGTGCTACAGAACAATGTCAGCATGTTTGCATTTGTTGTTCTTTGTGTCATGTAATATTGTTTGTACATATTTTTATGTATGCCTTTGTGTATATTTGTTCTTGTTCTAGAACCACACACACTATTACACATTAAAGTAAATCAGCTGGATTCAAGTTGGTGGTGGCTCTCTGGAAAGCATTAGAGAAGTGCCCTGACCCGACGCCCTGTAGTGATTCCAAACATCCCTGAACTGGCCAGCAGTTTAAACCCTTCAAATATTTTTCAGTTAACAATGCAAAGCAGTTTCACTACTGATAAATAAAGAATAAATTGTGAAATTTTTCATATTGTAAAAGTTTGAATGATGACATTAGTCTGAAACGAGTAAATTCCTCTGTACATAAAAGTGAAGGAAAGCTGTGACTTACTCAACAAATGTGAAGGTCAAATTAACAACCCGTGTCTCTGATGCCAGAAGTCTCCATGTGCAGTGTGCATTATTAGGGTAGTTATTAGGATACTGGAGGCTGAAGAACTCTCCTCTTGAGTTAGTCAGATCTCCACCGCATGGTGATTCAACTGTAAAGGGGCACAAACATTTTTTACAAATGAGGCTACAGCAAAACACATTGTGTATGCACACAATAGTTTATTAATTTAAAGCCAGAAGACCTTAAAAAATATCTATACAGTGTCAGTGCCTGCAGGCTTCTCTGCACCAGAGGGTCTCAAACATTTCTTTGTCAAGGCACAGATACTGAGTGTGATTGAGTGTGGGACAGCCAATCATATTTTAGAACCAGCATCCATTTCAGAATTTTAGTGTATCGTGTGGAAAAGTGCACTGATGATTGTGTTAAATCGTTCTTTAATTAGGAGCTATGAGGCAAAGTAGCCTCACCAACCTGGGAACACCCACTGTGCCCGAAAGCCTTGACCAGTTACACCGAGGTCACTTGAGAACACTACGGTCAGAGAGTTCCTGGTAGAGCTGAAGTGATGTCTCTGATCTTGAGGCAGACGACCCAGCAGTGGGTAAGCAGCAGTGGGACCATCATACACCCTGATGGAGTCGCAGCATGCCTCCAAACTAGTTCCAAGGAGAAAGAGAGGGAATTGAGAAAGTTTGCCAACAGACATCTATTTGAACTCAGGGCTGCTTAACAGCGTATACATATGGGCTTACACCTTGTTTCATATCACAGACGACACAGTTAACAACGGAAAGCTATTTTACCACTGATTCATACAGAATACACTGTCTAATATTGCATAAACTAGCTATTTCAATGAATGAATTCTTTCAAATTGACTAAATCCATCTGTACATAAAAGTGAAGGAAAGCTGTGACTTACTCAACAAATGTGAAGGTCAAATTAACAACCTGTGTCTCTGAAGCCAGAAGTCTCCATGTGCAGTGTGCATTATTAGGGTAGTTATTAGGATACTGGGGGCTGAAGAATTCTCCTCTTGGGTTAGTCAGATCTTCACCACATGATGCTCCAACTGAAAAGTGGCACATACATTTAAGTTTGCATAAATAAGATTTAATGCATCAAATGCACAGCAAAACATATTGTGTACTATCCTCTCTCCACTGATTGAGTTTAATCACTCTCCTTCCTTTATGCCGACTTTTCTCTCTGACTTTTTCCTTACTGTTCTGATTTAGGTGCCAGTCTAGAATTGTGCGGAATCAGGTCTACATGCAACAATATAAACACTTTTTCTGTGGGGTTTGAATAAAAATATGAACTTCAGAACTGTAACTCTGTTATAGCTGCTATATTCATTCCTTACAAGTTATCATGACTAAAGAGAGAAGATTTCAGAGTTAAGATATTTCTTTAATGCAGCCCCCTTGGGACAAATGTTGGACCAATCCATTCTGGATTTGCCTCCCTTTGCTCTTAATTTTGAGTAGTGTAGCTTGTAGTCCTGCCTAGCCTTGCTTACATCCTGTGTAATATAATAATAATAATAATAATAATAATAATAAGTTACATTTATATAGCGCCCTTCACAAACCCAAGGTCGCTTCACATAGCATGGGCAAACAAACAAACCAAAAAAAAAACAAAATTCCTAGGCAGTGAAGGAGTTTGGGGGGGGTTTGGGGGCCATGGCACTAAAGGACCTCCCTCCCAAAGTGGAAAGTCTGGTGCGTGGGACAGCAAGTAAGTTATTACAAGGAGACCTGAGAGAGCGAGAGGGAGTGTAAGAGGTCAGCAGTTCTCTGAGGTAGGCAAGTTATGCAGGGCCATCAGTACTAACTGAAAAACTGGATGATTTTGATAGTAAAGGTTTAGGGCCAACCAGTAAGACTTCAGTTTTATCAGTGTTTAGCATGAGAAAGTTATTGTGCATCCAGAGCTTTAAATCAGAAATACAATCGATTAGTGTATTGGGAGGGGAATCTGAGGGTGTGTGTGTGTACTGAGATATAACTGAATATCATCAGCATAACAGTGAATGTTAAGGCCATGGCTACGAATGATCTGGCCAAGGGGTGAGATGTAGATTAAGAAAAGTAGGGGTCCAAGAACTGAGCCCTGAGGCACACCACCTGTAACAGGAGAGGTGGAGGACTTGTATGGGCCTAGTGTGACAAACTGCTGTCTGTCTGTAAGATACAACCTGAACCACTGTAAGGCTGTGTCAGTGATACCAATAGAGAAAAGACGAGAAACGAGAACATCATGATTAACAGTATCGAGCGCTGCACTTTAGTCGAGGAGAAGAAGAATACTGAGAGAACCACTGTCAGCAGACCGGAGAAGATCATTAACTGCTTGCAGAAGAGCTGTCTCAGTGCTGTTGTGAGTACGGAAACCAGATTGAAATGGCTCATAGAGGGCATTATCACTGAGAAATGTCTGGAGTTGGGAAGCAACCACTTTTTCCATTACTTTAGCTAAAAATGGAAGGTGTGAGATGGGTCTGTAATTAGAAAGAGAAGTCGGTTCCAATTCAGGTTTCTTAAGTATAGGAGTAACTGCAGCAGTTTTAAGGGCAATAGGAACCAAACCAGAAGAGAGACATGAGTTTATCACTGTAGCAATTGGAGTGTTGATTACAGCTGAACAGGCCTTGAGCAGAGGGGTGGGGGCAGGGTCAAGCTGACAGGAGGAAACATTAGACTTAGTGATGAGACAAAAAAGGAGTCAACAGGTGAGAAACAAGTTAGCTTTGTGTCCAAAGTGGGAAAATCAGTAAAGGCGAATGACTGAGAAGTAGAAGGAAAGAAACTATAGATCTGATTAATTTTCTTTTCAAAGGAATGTAGAAAAGCCTGACATTGCTCAGCTGAATGGGGGCATGCTGACACAGGCGGATGGAGGAGTTTGTTAACAGTTCGAAAGAGTGTTTTCAGCCTAGACTTAGCATTATTTATGATGGAGAAGTAGTAGTTGGAGCGGGCAGTATTAAGGGCATCCCTATACTTGTGGATGTGTTGACTGTAAAGTAGAGTGGACACTAAGGCCAGTTTTTTTATAAAGGCGCTCAAGACGTCGCCCTTAGTTCAGGGGTGAACCAAGGACACGAGCGGGTGGCAGGGACAAGTCTATTCTTAAAAGGGGCTAAATCATTAAGCAATCCAGAGACAGTGTCATTATAAAGGGAAACCATACTTTCAGGAGATGATAGGTTATGTAGGTCAGACAGAGCTGAAGACTGAAGAGAAGCAGCAAACAGATTGAGACTGACAGACCTAATATCACGATACACAACAGAGATTTTCTCGGAGGGGGTAGGAGTAGAAATATGAAAACTACATTCAATGAGCTTATGGTCAGAGATACCAGAGACTGAACCAGAGACAGAGATATCATTCAAACCAGTAGAACAGAGCAGATCAAGAATATGACCATGAGTGTGTTGGAAAATCAACATGCTACATCAAGTTAAAACACTCTAAAACTGAAATGAACTCAGATATGAAAGAGCATTCAGTATCAACATGGATATTGAAGTCACCAAGCACAATTATGGCAGAACAAAGAGTTGAGATGATTGTGAGGAGTTCATTAAGTTCAGACAAGAAGCTTGCAGCAGGTTTGGGAGGGCGATAAATTAACAGCAACAGTAGGTTGAAGCAGCAACGGTTGGGAAGGGAAGTTTCAAGCAGTTTTGAAAGTGGACAAAGATGGCCATGATTTAGTGTCACGCCGGTGAGCACGATTATGTGTCCATATAGTCGGGATCCGCGTATCAGAGCCATCACAGCCATAACAAAACGAGGGTCCTCTTTTTGAACGGTGAATGTAACGTGGACGTCGACCAATTCCAAGTGTCCGGCAGAGATTATATGATGCAGAATCCAAGCGGGCATGACAGTCGAGGTGTTTAAGTTCAGTCTGTGAGTATTTAAACATTGCCAGAGCATAAAAAACAAAAATGCACAGCACGACTCTAGGCCAAAAACAAAAACTCTGGACAACGGCCGTGGACATGACAGAGGAGAGCTCAGACCACGCACGTTAGCCAACCAAAACCCACTACACCACCCAGCTAAGACTGTGAGAAGCACAAGCATAAATGCTGCGACTTACCACAGAACAAACTGGCAACAGCAACGAAGCAAGGGGGGTAGAGACACATTCACCACAGATGCAGTCATGGTGCAGGAGAAGAGGAAGTGGGCTTGCGCAGGTGAGAAGCAGGTGTGTCATAGGCATTGTCACAAAGCAAGATTCAACTTGCAAGTAGAAAATACAGAGACAAGTCCATCGATACTGGAGAGTATCTGTACCAAAAGTCCCGCAAAGGGAAAGAAAAAGCGAACCACAGGAAAAACAAAAAACCCCGGCGAGTAGCGGCTCCAAACGCGCACAGTGTACACTCAAACCAGAAACATACAAGGTTGTGATAATATTGCTCCTATGTTTGTAAATTCCATTAGCCCAGCCTTTAGTGTTGCTGTTAGCTACATAGTTAGCATTTTATTTAGCCCTACTTCCTTAATTCTTTGTCTTGCACTCATAGCATTGCTTTGCTCAAATTATCAAAGCCTAGTGTTCCCCATGCTTCTGCTGCTTACTAAGCCTTGCTTATTGTCACGCTTCCTGGTTCTCATTCGGACTCCCAGACCACCAAGAACTCCACTTCCCAGAATCCTTCAGTCAGTCACGAGACTCTGCCAACCAATCACCAACCACCTAACAGATCACAGTCACCGGAATACTAATCATCATCACCTGTTGCACTCTGTATTTATACCGGTTTGTTTGAAACGTATCTTTGCGAAGTATTGCCCTTACCTAGTCTGTGCATACCGAGCCGTTTGTTTTTCTGATTGCTACTCCGTGTTTGACCTCGCTTGTTTTTTCGTTTTCGATTCTCGTCTCTGTCTTGGCTTTGTTGTTTTGGTTTTTGTGCTATTTCTGGTTACGACCCTCGCCTGTTTTTTCGACTTCGCTTTCGCCTATGCCCATGTATTTCGTCTGCTTGTTCTGGTTATTGGCCTGGTCTGGTGTTAACCCTGTTTACTCCCGTCAGAATAAATCTTCCGGATTAACTTTTATCCGCGTGTGTCTGGTTTACAAACCCTGCGTTACAGAATACTTCGCCATCATGCAGACAGCGGATATAAAGGAGATCGTCTCGGCTGTGAGTAACCAGGGTGCTATTTTAAATCAGCATAATCAGTTATTTGAGTCTCTTACTCACTCTGTCGGCTCCCTCACACAACAGCAGAGTGAGCAGCAACAACAGTTAGCATCCATAGCGAATAGCCTAAAGGAGATCACATCTCAGCTCCAGAACATGAATGCTAGCGGATCTAGTGAAACTAATCCTAGTCCTGTTGTTTCTCTACCTACTCCAACTAGTGTTTTCCCTGTTAGTAAGCCCGACAAGTTTGATGGTTCGCCAGACCAGTGTCGCGGTTTTTTGCTTCAGTGTTCGATTTTTTTTTAGTAACTCGGCTCCTAGTTCAGACACCGCGCGTATTTCATTTTTAATTTCACGTCTTACTGGTCGAGCCCTGGAATGGGCCACTGCAATCTGGCCGCAGGCGCAATTAGACACATATGAACAGTTCGTTAAAAAATTCAAATCCGTTTTTGATCACCCTCATGAAGGACGCTCTCAGGGGGAATTACTCGTTAAACTGCGCCAACGAAACCGCTCCGTCGCCGACTATGCCCTGGAATTTCGTACGCTAGCCGCTGGCAGTGGATGGAATGAGCCAGCTCTTATCATTGCTTTTCGAAATGGACTTAATTCAGGCATTCTATCCGAATTGGCTTGCAAAGATGATGATCTGTCATTAGAGGGACTTATTAGTTTGGCTATTCGGTTAGATCAGCTGAGATCCTCAAGAACTTCCTCACGCCCTTCAGCCATGGCTCACCACCGAGGAAGTTCCACTACCCATGCTTCACCTGCCAGTATCCCCAGCAAGGATCAAGCTCTGGCCGAGCCCATGCAGTGTGATTCCACCCGTCTGTCACAGGAGGAGCGGCTTCGAAGGTTACAAAGAGGCCTGTGCATGTATTGTGGCGTTGCTGGTCACGTTTTACGTGACTGTCGGGCGCGTCCGCATAGACCTCAAGCACCGACCCCTGGAAAGCGCGTGGAGAATACTCCACGCGCTAATGTGGTGAGTGTTCCCACGAGGGGGTTGGTTACGAAGTCGTTTCAGCTGCCTGTGACTTTGTGCTGCCTCAATTCTGCTTATGTTTTTTCAGCCCTAATTGACTCCGGAGCAGAGGGAAACTTCATCCACCGATCCCTCGTAGAACAACTTCAGCTTCCTGTTGAGACCCTTCAAGCATCTCTACGATTATCAGCGGTGGATGGAGACCCAGTTGGAGAGGGTGTCATCGACACTCTCACAAGGCCTGTTATTATGTACACCAGCGCTCTTCACAAAGAGGAGATCAGCTTTTTTGTATTGAACACTTCAGCCTATTCAGTGATTTTAGGTTTGCCCTGGCTGCACAAACACAACCCAAACATTTCTTGGTCTGAACGTGAGATCTGTAGCTGGTCCCCCTTCTGTCACGAACAATGTCTAGAACTTCCCAGTCTGAATTTGAGCTCCACGTCCATTGAAAGTCCAAATTCCGACCAACCTTTAGTCATTCCCCCTGATTATGATGACCTGAAAACAGTTTTTAGCAAGCACAAGGCCACTGAACTCCCTCCTCATCGTGAATATGACTGTGCTATCGAACTCATAGAGGGTGCTGTTCCACCTAAATCTAGGGTCTACCCCCTAACTCAGGAGGAGGATAGAGCTATGGAAGAGTATATTCAGGAGGCCTTATCTCAGGGGTTCATCCGTCCTTCCACCTCACCTGCAGCAGCGGGGTTCTTTTTTGTGAAGAAGAAGGACGGAGGACTGAGGCCGTGCATAGACTATCGAGGACTTAATCTTATTACCAAGTCTTACCCTTATCCGCTGCCACTCGTGCCCGTAGCCTTGGAACAGCTCAGAGGCGCCACTATTTTTACCAAGCTAGATTTACGCAGTGCCTATAATCTTGTCCGAATCAAAGAGGGAGATGAATGGAAGACTGCATTTATCACCACCAGGGGGCACTACGAGTACTTAGTGATGCCTTTCGGTCTTTCCAACGCACCTTCCGTCTTCCAAGCCTTCATTAATGATGTGCTAAGAGACATGTTAGGCAAATTTGTCATCGCCTACATTGACGATATCTTGATTTACTCCCCAGATCTTTCCACACACATTAGTCATGTCCGTCAGGTTTTGGCCCGGTTGCTAGCAAATCAATTGTTTGTAAAAGGGGAGAAATGTCAATTCCATTTGCAGTCCACATCCTTTCTAGGATACATAATCAGTTCCGAAGGAGTCACCATGGATGACTCTAAAGTAGACGCAGTCCTGAACTGGCCCGTCCCCACTTCTATCAGGGGTTTACAGCGTTTTCTTGGATTCGCCAATTTTTACCGTAGATTTATTCGTGGGTATAGTTCCATTGCAGCACCCCTGACGGCCCTTCTGAAGGGCAATGCCAAAAAGCTAACCTGGAACCCCCAAGCTGAGAAAGCTTTTAACTTGTTGAAGTCTGCCTTCACGTCTGCTCCTGTTTTAAAACACCCTGATCCTACCCAGCCCTTTGTGGTTGAGGTTGATGCCTCTGATGTAGGGGTAGGAGCTGTTCTTTCTCAGCGTGTGGGTTCACCACTTAAGTTACACCCGGTAGCGTTTTACTCCCATAAACTCACCCCAACTGAGCGCAACTATGGAATTGGTGATAGGGAACTTCTAGCTATAAAGCTTGCTTTTGAAGAGTGGCGTCATTGGTTAGAGGGTGCTGAACATCCTTTTCTTGTGCTAACTGATCACAAAAATTTAGAATACCTTCGGTCAGCTAAAAGACTCAACCCCCGCCAGGCACGTTGGTCCCTCTTTTTCAATAGGTTCCGATTCTCTATCACATATAGACCCGGCACTCGTAATACCAAGGCAGATGCTTTATCCAGGGCTTTTAATGAGGAGAATCAGATGAATGCTACCCTAGAAAATGTCTTGCCTCCTGAAATAATCATAGCCCCCATCCGTTGGGCGGTAGATGAGGAGATAGATCAGGCCTTAGCAATTGTTGATGTTCCTGAACAATGTCCCCCAAACAAGAAATATGTACCTGACCAATTCAGAGATCGCATTATTACCTGGGCCCATTCATCCCTTTCGTCAGGACACCCTGGGGAGACTCGCACTCAACAACTCATATCAAACCGGTATTGGTGGGAGAACATGTTAAATGACATTCATAGGTTCATAGCATCATGCTCCACATGTTCACAGTGTAAGGTCCCTAAGTCCCTTCCGGCAGGAAAACTTCTACCATTGCCCATTCCTACACGTCCTTGGTCACATATAGCAATAGATTTTGTTACTGATTTACCCAAATCAGAGGAATACACTACAATTCTTACTGTCATAGATCGTTTTTCTAAAGGAGTCAGATTCATTCCATTCCCAGGTATTCCTAATGCTTTCCAAACAGCTGAGGCATTATTTCAATATGTGTTTCGTCTTTTTGGCATCCCTGAGGATATTGTGTCTGACCGTGGTCCTCAGTTTACCTCCCAAGTTTGGTCAGCTTTTTTTGAAAGACTGGGTGTATCTGTCAGTTTAACATCAGGTTACCACCCACAATCGAATGGTCAGTGCGAGAGAGTTAATCAGGAGTTGAACAAGTTTCTGAGACTGTATAGTCATGAAAACCAATCTGACTGGGCACGTTACTTACCTTGGGCAGAGATTGCGCAAAACTCTCTTATCAGTTCTTCTACAGGTCTCACTCCCTTTCAGTGTATCTACGGTTATCAGCCTCCCTTGTCACCCTGGTCAGCCCTTCCTTCTGATGTTCCCGCGGTCGACGATTGGATGCACCGTAGTGAACAAGTCTGGGAACAAACTCACCAGCATATCGAGAGGGCACTGCGCCGTCAGAAACGTCAGGCCGATCGTCGCCGTGGGGAAACTCCAGTATATTCCCCGGGGGATCGAGTGTGGCTTTCGACCAGGGACTTCAGGTTCTCAGAGGGAAGTAAAAAACTGTTTCCAAAATACATTGGTCCATTCAAAGTTATTAAACAAGTCAATGAGGTTACTTATCAGCTTGAGTTACCACGGCAATACCGAGTATGTAATTCATTCCATGTTTCCCTTCTGAAACCCGTGATCTCTGGTCCGCTGGATGAGGCTTCGCCTGACGTTCGACCGCCCCCTCCGGTCGAGGTCGAGGGCTCTCCGGTCTACGCTGTGCGCAGGCTGCTGGATTCCCGGAGGAGAGGAGGTGTTCTCCAGTACCTGGTTGACTGGGAGGGCTACGGACCTGAGGAGAGGAGCTGGGTTCCTGCCAGGGATGTCTTGGACCCGGGGTTGGTGGAGGAGTTTCACCAGCGCCATCCGGACCGCCCGGCACCGCGTCCCAGAGGTCGCCCCAGAGGTCGCCCAGTCAGTTCCTGCTTAGGCCGTCGGACAGGATGTTCCGTGAGTGGAGCCTCGACCCAGCGCCGCGCCAGCTCCGGAGGTGTGGTCCGAGACTCGTCCAGGAGCGTGGAAGGTCGTCGTCGAGGTCGGCCTCGTTCCTCGGCCCCCTCGGACTCCTTGCGGGGGGGTACTGTCACGCTTCCTGGTTCTCATTCGGACTCCCAGACCACCAAGAACTCCACTTCCCAGAATCCTTCAGTCAGTCACGAGACTCTGCCAACCAATCACCAACCACCTAACAGATCACAGTCACCGGAATACTAATCATCATCACCTGTTGCACTCTGTATTTATACCGGTTTGTTTGAAACGTATCTTTGCGAAGTATTGCCCTTACCTAGTCTGTGCATACCGAGCCGTTTGTTTTTCTGATTGCTACTCCGTGTTTGACCTCGCTTGTTTTTTCGTTTTCGATTCTCGTCTCTGTCTTGGCTTTGTTGTTTTGGTTTTTGTGCTATTTCTGGTTACGACCCTCGCCTGTTTTTTCGACTTCGCTTTCGCCTATGCCCATGTATTTCGTCTGCTTGTTCTGGTTATTGGCCTGGTCTGGTGTTAACCCTGTTTACTCCCGTCAGAATAAATCTTCCGGATTAACTTTTATCCGCGTGTGTCTGGTTTACAAACCCTGCGTTACACTTATATTATGTTGGGTTTTGTTTTGCTGTGTTCTTATTTTGCATTCATTAAACCCTCTGCACTAGTGTCCATCCCTGTTTCTGTCTGTATAATTATATTATTGTACTGCAGCTTGAGTTTGGGAAAGCCAGTGATTTTTTCAGAACCCGCATCCATTTTAAAAATATAGTGTATTGTTTGAGTCTTGCAAAGGATGCAGGCGTTTGTGTTAAATTGCTCTTTAGTGATTGGCAATGAGGCAAAGTAGCCTCACTAACCTGGGAACTCCCACTGTGCCCGAAAGCCTTGACGAGTTACGCTCCTATCACTTGAGAACACTATGGTCAGAGAATTCCTGGTGGAATTGAATTGATGTCTCTGATCATTAGGCAGGCGACCCAGCAATGGGTAAGCAGCACTGGGACCGTCATACACCCTGATGGAGTCACAGCACGTCTCCAACCTAGTTCCAAGGAGAAAGAGAGAGAGTTGAGAAAGTTTATGAAAATAAATTTATTCTAGCTCAGAGCAGAATAGATATGAGCTCACACCTGGTTTTATATCACAGCTGACACAGTTAACGATGCAAAGCAGTTTCACTACTGATTTAGAGTCATAAAGAATAAACTGTTGAATTTTGCTTATTATAAAAGTTTGAATGATGAAATTAATCTGAAACGTGTAAATTCCTCTGTACGTAAAAGTGAAGGAAAGCTGTGACTTACTCAACAAACGTGAAGGTCAAATTAACAACCCGTGTCTCTGATGCCAGAAGTCTCCATGTGCAGTGTGCATTATTAGGGTAGTTATTAGGATACTGGGGGCTGAAGAATTCTCCTCTTGAGTTAGTCAGATCTCCACCGCATGGTGATTCAACTGTAAAGGGGCACAAACATTTAAGTTTTCACAAATGAGGCTACAGCTAAACACATTGTGTACTATCGTCTCTACACTGATTGAGTTTCAATTCCTGTTTTTCCTTTGTGCTGACGTTTCTCTCTGACTTGTCCCTGACTGTCCTGATTTAGGTGCCATTTTGCTAAAAGTGACAATGTTAGTTTTGTATTGAATTAAGTCTATGTGCAACATGTATGCACACAATAGTTTATTAATTTAAAGCCAGAAGACCTTAAAAAATATCTATACAGTGTCAGTGCCTGCAGGCTTCTCTGCACCAGAGGGTCTCAGACATCTGTTTGTCAAGGCACAGATACTGAGTGTGATTGAGTATGGGACAGCCAATCATATTTTAGAACCAGCATCCATTTCAGAATTTTAGTGTATCGTGTGGAAAAGTGCACTGATGATTGTGTTAAATCATTCTTTAATTAATAGTTCTTTAATTAATCATTAATTTAATTTAATTCATTAATGGTCTCACAACACACACCCCATCATCAGGAAGTCCCAGCAGCGAATGTACTTTCTGAGAAGGCTGAGGAAATTTGGCATGCCAGCCAAAATTCTCAGCACCTTCTATAGGAGTATGATTGAGAGTGTTCTTACCAGCTCCATCACAGTCTGGTATGGAAACTGCACTGCTCAGGACAGAAAGGCTCTCCAGTGTGTGATCAAAACTGCACAGTCCATCTCAGGAGCAGCCTTCCCCTCACTACAGGACATTTATCACACCAGGGTCATCAGGAGGGCCCACAACATAATCAGGGACAGTACACACCCCCAGCACAGACTCTTCACACTCCTACCTTCAGGCAGACGCTACAGGAGTGTGAAGTCCAGGACTACAAGACTGACGAACAGTTTCTATTCACAGGCCATCAGGCTTGTGAACACCTCACACACTACCTCCTCCCCCCTCCCACTCTGAACTGGTTTAACTTTTGGCCGACTTTGCACTCAATAACTGCACCTTACATACACTGTACTGCTGCTGTCAGAACACTACTGTTTACATCTGTTACTTGCACAGAGCACTACTGTTTACATCTGTTAATGCACTGTATGAACCGCTGCTCTACATATTTGCACTACGCACATGTAACTTTAATTTTCTTCAACTTTGCACGCATAACTGTATTAAGATTATATTTGGTGAATGGAGGAACAGCAAAGTAAGAATTTCATTGTACAGTGTAACTGCTTGTTTCTGCTGTGCATATGACAATAAAACTCTCTTGAATCTTGAATCTCTTAATTAGTAGCTATGAGGCAAAGTAGCCTCACCAACCTGGGAACACCCACTGTCCCCGAAAGCCTTGACCAGTTATACCGAGGTCACTTGAGAACACTACGGTCAGAGAGTTCCTGGTAGAGCTGAAGTGATGTCTCTGATCTTGAGGCAGGCGACCCAGCAGTGGGTAAGCAGCAGTAGGACCGTCATACACCCTGATAGAGTCGCAACATTCCTCCAATCTAGTTCCAAAAAGAAAGAGAGGGAATTGAGAAAGTTTGCCAATGGACATCTATTCCAGCTTAGGGCAGCTTAACCACATACACATATGGGCTCACACCTTGTTTCATATCACACATGACACAGTTAACAACGGAAAGCAATTTCACTACTGATTCAGAGTCATACAGAATAAACTGTAATATTGCATAAACTAGCTATTTCAATGAATAAATTCTTTCAAATTGACTAAATCCATCTTTACATAAAAGTGAAGGAAAGCTTTGACTTACTCAACAAACGTGAAGGTCAAATTAACAACTTGTGTCTCTGATGCCAGAAGTCTCCATGTACAGTCTGCATTATTAGGGTAGTTATTAGGATACTGGGGGCTGAAGAATTCTCCTCTTGAGTTAGTCAGGTCTTCACCGCATGATGCTCCAACTGAAAAGTGGCATATACATTTAAGTTAGCATAAATAAGACTTAAAGCATCAAATGCACAGCAAAACACATTGTTTACTATCCTCTCTCCACTGATTGAGTTTAATCACTCTCCTTCCTTTATGCCGACTTTTCTCTCTGACTTTTTCCTCACTGTTCTGATTTAGGCACCAGAATCAGGTCTACATGCGGCATGATTTTAAACAATAGCTAAATAATGTGATGCTTGTAGGCCTTAAAATAATGATCTATACAGTGTCAGTACATGCAGGCCTCCAAGGCTCTTGACCTTGTGTTCTTAGTTTGTGTTCATTAAACCCTCTGTGTCCATCCCTCTTTTTGTCTGGATAATTATATTATTCTGCTGCAGCTTTGAGTTTGAGGAAAGCCAGTAATATTTCAGAACCAGCATCCATTTTAAAAATGTAGAGTATTGTGTGATTCTTAGGAAGGATACAGACGTTTGTGTTAAATCACTCATCAATAAGTAGCAATGAGGCAAAGTAGCCTCACTAACCTGCGAACTCCCACTGTGCCCGAAAGCCTTGACGAGTTACACTCCTATCACTTTTGAACACTATGGTCAGAGAGTTCCTGGTAGAGCTGAATTGATGTTTCTGATCTTGAAGCAGGGGAACCAGCAGTGGGTAAGCAGCACTGGGACCGTCATACACCCTGATGGAGTCACAGCACGTCTCCAACCTAGTTCAAAGGAGAAAGAGAGAGAATTGAGAAAGTTTATGAAAATAAATTTATTCTAGCTCAGAGCAGAACAGATATGAGCTCACACCTGGTTTTATATCACTGGTGAAACAGTTAAGAATGCAAAGCAGTTTCACAACTGATTTAGAGTCATAAAGAATAAACTGTCTAATTTTGCATATTATAAAGATTTGAATGATGACATTAGTCTGAAATGTTTAAATTCCTCTGTATGTAAAAGTGAAGGAAAGCTGTGACTTACTCAACAAATGTGAGGGTCAAATTAACAACCTGTGTCTCTGATGCCAGAAGTCTCCATGTGCAATATGCATAATTAGGGTAGTTATTAGGATACTGGGGGCTGAAGAATTCTCCTCTTGAGTTAGTCAGATCTTCACCGCATGATGCTCCAACTGTAAAGTGACACGTGCATTTAAGTTTTCACAAATGAGGCTACAGCTAAACACATTGTGTACTATCGTCTCTACACTGATTGAGTTTCAATTCCTGTTTTTTCTTTGTGCTGACGTTTCTCTCTGACTTGTCCCTGACTGTCCTGATATAGGTCCAAATTTTGCTAAAAGTGACAATGTTAGTGTTGTGTTGAAATAAATCTACATGCAACATGTATGCACACAATAATTTATTAATTTAAAGCCAGAAGACCCTAAAAAATATCTATACAGTGTCAGTGCCTGCAGGCTTCTCTGCACCAGAGGGTCTCAAACCTTTCTTCGTCAAGGTGCGTCTACTAATTGATAGAAATTAAACCATTTTCTTATCTGGAGTTAGTATAAGATTATGAACCTAGGAACTGTTGTTCTGTAATAGGTACCGTCCTGTATTTATTTCTGTCTGAAGTTGTCATGTTAACTACAGGAATAAAACTTCAGAGTTAGTATGTTTCCTTATTACAGGCCCTTTGCAACAGAAGATGGATCAGTACATTTTGGAATGGTCTTCTGTAGACCCTGTTCTGCCCTACAGCCTCTAATCATTGCCTAGACTTGGTTCTCATCCTGCCTCTCTTTGCTTTGTTTTCTTCCTAGTCAAAGTTCTAGTCCTGCCAGCTTTAGCTCTGTATCCTTCCAAGCCTAGGTTCTAGTCCCGCCTAGCCTTGCTTACTTTTTGTCTAATCTTTTTCCTCTCTTTCTGACTTCCATTAGCCCTGCGTTTAGTCTTGCTGTTAGCTAAGTAGGTACAATTTTCCTTAGCCCTACTTCCTTTATCATTTGTTTTGCCCTCATAACATTGCTTTGTTTAACTTGAACAAAACTAGTTTTCCCAGGGTTTCCACTGCTTACCTGACCTCACATCTGTTATGTTAGGTTTTGTTGATCTGTGTTATTAGTTTGTGTTCATTAAAACCTCTGCACTAATGTCCATCCCTGTTTCTGTCTGGATGATTATAGTATTGTATAGCAGCTTAGAGTGTGGGAAAGCCAATTATATTTCAGAATCACTATCCATTTACAATTTTAGTCTGTTGTGTATAATTCTTAAAAAAGCATGCTGCTGATTGTGTTAAACTGCTCTTTAATAAGTAGCAGTGAGACAAAGTAGCCTCACTAACCTGGGAACACCCACTGTGCCTGAAAGCCTTGATGAGTAAAACTGTGGTCACTTGAGAACACTACGGTCAGGTAGTTCCTGCTGGAGTTGAAGTGATATCTCTGATCTTGAGGCAGGCGACCCAGCAGTGGGGAAGCATCAGTGGGACCGTCATACACCCTGATGGAGTCGCAACATGCCTCCAAACTAGTTCCAAAGAGAAAGTGAGGGAATTGAGGTTTGCCAATAGACATCTATTTCAACTCAGGCCAGCGTAACATATGAGCTCACGCCTTGTTTCATATCACACATGACACAGTTAACAACGGAAAGCAATTTCACTACTGATTCATACAGAATAAACTGTAATATTGCATAAACTAGCTATTTCAATAAATAAATTCTTTCAAATTGACTAAATCCATCTGTATGTAAAAGTGAAGGAAAGCTGTGACTTACTCAACAAATGTAAAGGTCAAATTAACAACTTGTGTCTCTGATGCCAGAAGTCTCCATGTGCAATAGGCATTATGAGGGTAATAATTAGGATACTGGGGGCTGAAGAATTCTCCTCTTGGGTTAGTCAGATCTTCACCACATGATGTTCCAACTGTAAATTTTACATTTAAGTTAGCATAAATAAGACTTAAAGCATCAAATGCACAGCAAAACGCATTGTATACTATCCTCTCTCCACTGATTGAGTTTAATCACTCTCCTTCCTTTATGCCGACTTTTCTCTCTGACTTTTTCCTCACTGTTCTGATTTAGGCACCAGTCTGCTTAAAGCGACAAAATGTTAGAACTGTGCAGAATCAGGTCTACATGCGGCATGATTTTAAACAAATAGCTAAATAATGTGATGCTTGTAGGCCTTAAAATAATGATCTATACAGTGTCAGTACATGCAGGCCTCCAAGGCTCTTGACCTTGTGTTCTTAGTTTGTGTTCATTAAACCCTCTGTGTCCATCCCTCTTTTTGTCTGGATAATTATATTATTCTGCTGCAGCTTTGAGTTTGAGGAAAGCCAGTAATATTTCAGAACCAGCATCCATTTTAAAAATGTAGAGTATTGTGTGATTTTTGCAAAGGATGCAGACGTTTGTATTAAATCACTCATCAATAAGTAGCAATGAGGCAAAGTAGCCTCACTAACCTGCGAACTCCCACTGTGCCCGAAAGCCTTGACGAGTTACACTCCTATCACTTGAGAACACTATGGTCAGAGAGTTCCTGGTGGAGCTGAATTGATGTCTCTGATCTTTAGGCAGGTGATCCAGCAGTGGGTAAGCAGCACTGGGACCGTCATACACCCTGATGGAGTCACAGCACGTCTCCAACCTAGTTCAAAGGAGAAAGAGAGAGAATTGAGAAAGTTTAAGAAAACCGCGAACGTCACATCCATATGAGCTCACACTTTGTTTCATATCATAATTGACACACTTAACAACAGAAAGCAATATAGCCACTGATTTGCACTGATAGAGATAAAACTGTCTTGCATAATCTTTGCATAATCTTGCTATTTCAGTGAATAAATTCATCTGAAATAGCTAAATCTATCTGTACATAAAAGTGAAGGAAAGCTGTGACTTACTCAACAAACGTGAAGGTCAAATTAACAACTTGTGTCTCTGATGCCAGAAGTCTCCATGTACAGTCTGCATTATTAGGGTAGTTATTAGGATACTGGAGGCTGAAGAATTCTCCTCTTGGGTTAGTCAGATCTCCACCGCATGGCGCTCCAACTGTAAAGTGGCACATACATTTAAGTTTGCATAAATCAGTCTTAAACGTAATAAAAAGTCTTAATATATCAAATGCACAGCCAAACGCATTGTGTACTATCTTCTCTCCACTGATTGAGTTTAAACACACTCTCCTTCCTTTATGCCGACTTTTCTCTCTGACATTTTCCTGACTGTTCTGATTTAGGCTCCAGTCTAGAATTGTGTGGAATCAGGTCTACATGCAACATGATTCTGAACAATAACTAAATAATGTAATGCTTGTAGGCCTTAAAACAATGATTTATATAGGGTCAGTGCCTGCAGACCTTTCTACACCAAGGGTTCTAAACCTTTTCCACCTTAAGGCCCAGCCATTCCTGACTAAAAATCAGTCGTCTTTTCTGGAGTTTGAATAAAATTCTGAACTTCAGAACTGTAACTCTGTAATAGCTGTTATATTCGTTCCTAACTGAAGTTGACTAAAGAGGTAAGATTTCAGGTGTTAAGATGTTTTTTAATGCAGCCCCTTTGGAACAAATGCTGGACCAATCCACTCTGGATTTGTCTTGTAGAGATCCTGCTCTGCCCTACAGCCTCTAATCATTGCCTAGGTTCTAGACCTGCCTCCCTTTGCTCTTAATTCTGCCTAGTGTAGGTTGTAGTCCTGCCAGCCTTAGCTCTTTGTCGTTCCTCTACTATCTCAGCTTAGGCTCCACTCCCCCCTGCGACCCAGAAGGATAAGCGGCTTAGAAAACATGTGTATGTGTTCTTAGTTTGTGTTCATTAATACATCTGCGTTCATGTCCATCCCTCTTTCTGTCAGGATAATTATATTTTTGTACACCAGCTTTGAGTGTGGGAAAGCCAGTGACATTTCAGAACCAGCACCACTTCAGAATTTTAGAGTATTGTGTTTGATTCTTGCAAAGGACACAGGTGCTTTTGCGTTAACTTGCTCTTTCGTAATTAGCAATGAAAACAGGAGCCTCACTAACCTGAGAACACCCACTGTGCCCAAAAGCCTTGACCAGTTACACTGCTGTCACTTGACAACACTACGGTCAGAGAGTTCCTGGTGGAGCTGAAACGATATCTCTCATCTTGAGGCAGGCGACCCAGCAGTGGGTAAGAGTTACTAGGACCGTCATACACCCTGATGGAGTCGCAACAGTTTTCCAAACTAGTTCCAAGGAGAGAGAGAGTTAGTTGAGAAAGTTTGAGAAAATAAACCTATTCCAGCTCAGGGCAACAGCTTATGCATATGAGCTTACACCTGGATTCATCTCACAAGTGGATTTAGAATCATTAGGAATAAACTGTCTAATACTGCATATTCTAACAGTTTGAATGAATAAACTCAGCTGAAATGGCCAAATCCATCTGTATGTAAATGTGAAGGAAAGCTGTGACTTACTCAACAAACGTGAAGGTCAAGTTAACAACCTGCGTCTCTGACGCCAGAAGTCTCCATGTACAATCTGCATCATTAGGGTAGTTATTAGGATACTGGGGGCTGAAGAATTCTCCTCCTGGGTTAGTCAGATCTCCACCGCATGATGCTCCAACTATAAGGTGGCAAATGCATTTAAGTTCATACAAATGAGACTTCATGCATCAAATGCATTGTGTACTAGCTGGACATTCATTAAAGCAACAATAAAGGTAACAAATTTACATTCTTGAACAGGTATAAACATTAATTAATCTGAGTGATTGGGATCAGAAGTGTGGTTCTAAATGACATGCAGCACACAGATAGTATAAAAAATGGGGAACACTTTACTGTACATAAGGCTACCTGACAATTCCATGAGCCTTTCATGACAACTGATATAACTGATTATAAAAGTTTTTGTTAAGTGACAGTTCTATGGCAAGTGACAGTTTTTTTGTTGACATTAGGTTGTGTCATAATTCTTCCTGGAGTGAAATGACATAGCACAGTTATGAAAGGCCACTCTCTTCACTACAAGTTAAGAATATGGTTTTGGCTTCGTTTAGGTAAATACAATGGAGAAACTTGTCAAGGTTGTCTGTTGTCTGCTCAGCAGAATGATACAGTTGTTATAAAGTACAGGGGGATTCACTCGAAAGAGGCCCCGAATATTCTGTAATAACTCTCGCTAGAATGAAGCAATCTAAACAAAACAACATGCAATGTGTTCCTCAGTATATGGAACTTAGAAGAAGCTGGGATGCCCCTGCAATGAGGTAGGCGCCGTTGTTCAGGCAAGGAACGGTCAGGAACATGGAGTGCTGTGACGAAATGTGTCTGGCAGAAAATGATCACTTCCAGCATCGCATGTAATGCAATCAATTAAACATCTTATTTTTTGGTTCGGATTGCTTCATCCTAACAAGAGTGACAACAGAATATTTGGGGCCTCTTTCGAGTGAATCTCCCTGTATAAAGTAAAACCACAGCTAAAACATGCCATTAGAATTAACTGCTATATTGATTAAATTACACATAATGTATCTACATAGGAAAACGTAGTAAAAGTTTATACTGTAGTATCTGCGCAGAAGCAAAAACAGAGTATTGCATTTTCTCTTTAAGGAAAGGTTTTTTTATTGTAATGGTGGGGTCTTTCTCTTCCAGATAGGGGCCCACCCACAGAAACACAACAGAAAAGGGAAGTAACTCGCAGGGGAAAATGGGGGAAGAGGCCACCAAAAGACGAGTTCACTTACGGAAAGCCACTGCAAAACCACAACATACAAAAGAAAATATTTCAGTGAATGTTGCAAGTTTCAAATAACATGTGAAGTGTCTTTTCCAAGATTCAAGTTTCTGATCTAGATGTCGAAATAGTTCATGTGCACCAGTGTCACTTTAGCACTAACACACTATTAGAAATCCTACTGGGACACTAGCAGAAACTAGTATTATCTAACAGTTGAATTTTGACATGTGTAGCCTAAACTGAAGGCCCAGTTCTAAAAGTCACAATAACTATACATGATTGTATATGGACATCTGATATTTGGTAATGTATGCATTTCAAATATATGATGTTGATTAGCATATATGGATATCCAACTCATATTCCTCACACATGCCAACTTCAAATACGCCACAATGTATTTCAACCATATATCAACATATATGTGTAACACATTTAACCATATATTATAGCAAACATTCCCGTATGGATGGCATATATTACTTATATATGCTAGCTTCATGTTTTTGTCATGTGACTGTGGCACCACCACCATCCACCAATCGTCGCTCACCTTGTCCTGAATACTGATCCGTTGCACCTGTCCTGTTTGTCATGTGACTAGGTGTAGTTAGTTTATAAGCCTGGGCTTCAGTCTAGCTCATTGTGAGGTATTGCTTCTCCCTGTAGAGCTACTGAGCATTTCTTCTTGTGTTTTTGCCTTCCCATCTATCTGACTGTGTTTTTGGACTTTTCAACTTTGCCATTTTGCCTTAAGGTCTCAGCGGACTTCTTGCGGAGAAGACGTTTGCCTGGCTTCAGTGAACAATATGATGTAATTGCGAACAACTGCAGACAAACAAGCGCAGACACTCTTGTGAAGGCTTCGTTCACCGTGCTGCACACATGGCAGCTGGGCGAACTGTGGAAGAAGACGCTATGTGACAAAGCCTCTGATTGGTTGGTAAAAAAGAGGCATGCCATTAAACAAAAAGGGACAACTTTGAGGACCTTTAGCTTTGGAAGACACACTAATATTTCACCGTGAAATGCGCATTTGTTAAATAAACAATGAATACTTCTTAAATGCAAGATGTTAAGTTGGCTATTCGGTAGTACTAACTAGTACTAAGCACCAAAACATACAGGTTATCTTATATTTAGGTTCACAAGAGGAAGAGGCTGAAGTTGGCTTCCTATTCACCAGCTTCTTGTTCGAATTTTCCTGTTCCACCTTAAATGGCAGTATTCTGAACTCAACCGTGGCCATAGTTAGAACTGTGAAAGAATCGTTTTCCAGCAGTCATGAAACTTGTTATAAAATGTCATAGCATCATGTGGATTATCCACGACGCGCAACACCAAATTGCAGAAAGTGTGCGAGCTTGTAAGCTTGTGAAGGCGCTTTTGGCTTCGCACAACCCTCGAGAATTTCGTTTCGCAAGAAGTGCTGAGGCCTTTAGCCTTTTGGATCCTGTTTGCCTGCTTACATCTTTGTAATGTCTGTCTCTTTTTTGTATTTGGCTCATTTAGGCTTTGACCTATGCCTTTATTTACCACAATCATGTTTATTTGCTAACCACGAGTATTGCTAATGTTCAAATCAGGGAAGCCTCATTTCCTGATTGTACATGCGAGTGTCTGTCCGGTTCTGGCTCGTTACAGTTTTATAATACAAGCTTCTTGTACATCTTTATTTCTTCCACATACTTTGTAACGAAGAGAAAATCAATATAACAGCTACATAACTAGACTCTGAAAACATGCACATTTGAGCTATGCAATAAAATCATAAAACAGTAAAAAAAAAATTGTTCCCTGACACATTTAAACTATTGAATATTTAAAACAAACAGGTGATATTGTAACAGTTGGAACTGTACTGGGAAGTATTCCACCATTACATAGATTTCTGATGTATATATCACCTTTATCTGGGCAAATATCCTTGTACATCATGTATTCTATGAATAAATCTGTTTATGATGGCAAAGAAACATCAAGCTGGTGAGAAGTAATTTCTATTTTTTGAGCCTCAGGAAGACACAGAACAAGTGAAAAAGTGTCTAATCACAGTTCCACTATACGAAAACTCACTCTTTCTCACTTGTTGAAAGAATTTTTTTCAGATAAAACAGGTCGCACATGTGTGTTTGCTCGTATACTTTTTATTACATTTAGCTTTTTAATATTTTATTGATCTTTCATCTTATTTTATCTTATTTTGTTGAATATTTACTCATTTGCTCAAGTTTCTTTACAACTGTGCTCCTTAGAACAATTTTCAGTAACACTTTCCTGTAGGGTGCTGTTCATAAGGCAACATGACACCTACATAAGCTTATCATGACAACTGATATAACCGTACATAACTGTTTATAAATGCTTGTTCCAATAAGCGTCATTTGCTATAATGGTTACATTTGCAAATTTTGATCAAAGTCAGCTAAAGTAGACTTTATGACAGTTGACGCCTGTTATGTAGGGATATGTCAGTTGTAATGACAACCTTATGTAGGTGTCATGTAGCCTTATGAACAGCACTCTACAGTGAAGTGTTACCCAGTTTTCTTAGTTTTTAACTGTTCTAACTGACCTTAACGCATCTGAAAGCAGCGTGGGATGCCTCATATCGCATTGATGTTTTGGTCTGTGTTTGTTTCCTGCCTCCTTGTCATCTTTTCCACCTGTGAGTAATTTATAGCCCCACCCTTTCGTTAGCCCCAGGTGTTTTTTGTTTGCTCCCTGTGTGTAAATCCCCCTGGTACTGTGCTTTGTGTTTGCTTGGTGTTCTGATTTGTTATCACCTGTTGGTTTTCTAGTTTTCTTCATGTCCTTCTGTCTTTTGTTTCCTTTCTGTTTTAGCATTTTGTTCATCAGTGTTTTTTCTTTGTTTAAATGCTTTTGTGGATCTGCTGTCCTCATTGTTTTCATAAACCAAAGGACATGCATCCTGCCTCTTCATCTTGCTCTACGCTACACCATCAGTTATTGGTTTCATGGGGAAATCATTCATCAAAAAAACTAACATTCTTTGTGGAGTCCCACAAGGTTCAGTTTTAGGGCCTTTGCTTTTCTCTTTGTTCTAGGTGATATCAGTTGTCATAGCTATGCTGTTGACACACAATTATATTTCCATTCCTTCTGATTATCAAGACTGTTGACAGGCTTATCAAGTATGTCTCAGATATTTCTCAGATGTCACAACATTTTCAACAACTAAAAAATGAAAAAGCTGAAACACTGATGAAGTATGAAGCGGGACAGTGGGGCCCCGTTGATATGGATTTTGGTGGTTTTGGGGCCACGGTACAGTTTCTGTACCTTTATTTTTAAGAACAAATAAAACATTACCCTTTAGACAATTAACTCTTTATTTTAACTGTAGATAAGTAAACCTTTACATTCAGAAAAATAGCAGCATGACTACTTCTGGTTTCTGTCTCTACTGTATGAAGTCAAGGGGAAAAACAATTTCAACTAATTGCTTCCTAGTGTTGATGACCTGTAAGTGCTTTGCCTTCTCTGTTTTAAATAATAAAAGAGAGCTACACAGGGTTTGGGAATGACTTTGCTGTTGTGATAAACAGTGATAGCTTCATTTAATGTAACAAAATAAAGACAATACATTTCTGCAAATACAGTTAAGTTCAGCTTTTCTGTCTCAGAGCGACGCTAAGAGACTTCTCATGGATTTGTTACAAGCCAAGTTGATTAATATGCAGCTCTTCTTACTGGCTTCCTAAAAAGAACAATACTGCTGATGCTGATCTTCTGCAAATACCTTCTGTAAAATACAGGAAACGTGGAGAGGCCTCTTTCTATTAATATGCTTCTAAACTCTGGAAGTCACTTCCACTTTTTATTAGACAGTCAAGCTCAGTGCACACTTTCAAGAAACATTTAAAAACCTTTCTTTAACTTAGCACTTAAACAAAATGTCTCTCTTGTAATTTATCTTTTATTTTCATGTGTTTTTGTCTTCTATGATTTTAAATAAATACTCATAGTTTCTTCTATTACTGTTGAGTTTTATCACCTGTCTGTAAAGCACTTTGAGCTGTCACTGATATGAAAAGTGCTGTATAAATGCTTGTGTTTGATTTAGACTGGCAAAATTGTTAATGTACACCAGTGTCAACTTAATGCTAATATATTATTAAAAATATCGCTGGGACACTAGCAGAAATTAGCATTATCTTACAGTTAAGTTTTAACATGTGTGGCCTAAATTGAAGGTCTACGTCTAATAATTACATATACCTACACATAATCTCATTCAGAAATCAGATATTTGGTAACATATGCATTTCAAATATATGACATTTACTAGCATTTATCACATCGAGCTTATATTTATCACATGTGCCAGCTTGAAGTTGGCCATTTTCATATATTGGACATATATTTAACAATATATGATAGTAAACATTATTCACACATATATTACTCGTATATTGCTGTTGTTTTTTAGTTTTTAACATAATTTGAAAATGCCTGTTTCCCTTTACATTGTGTGTAAATTTCATGAAGAATGGAGCAAAAGAAACGGCCCAGAATGACTCGGGAAAATGTCTGGTTCCATTGACTTACATTAAAAGTGAAGTAGGTTTTTTCCTCCTCCTGTAAAGTTACCATTTTGGAGGTTTTCTTATGACAACAGTGATATGCTAGTGGAACTACATAACTAAACTCTGAAAACATGCACATTATAGGATACGCCATAAAATTATTACAATATGAAATAATGAAAATGTTCCCTGACACATTGAAACAATTGAATATTTAAAAGCAAATAACAAACAATTAGAACTGTAACATAGATACATTCAACCATGCTGCAGAAATACATTTATGATCCATATATTAAACAAAGGTGTTCACCCACCTATCAGAGCATACATGATACTTGTATTATTATATACATTTTCTATAGAATATTTGACACTTGCATATATGTCCATATGTTTTGAAATATATGCCTGACTCTTTATGATACATGTGCATATATAACCGGTATGGCAGGTAAAAATCAAGCTGGTGAGAATTATTTTCTATTTTTTAGACACATAAAGACAAAGACAGAGTGAAAAGGGGTCTAACCACAGTCCTTCTGCAAATACCTTCTGTAAAAAACACAGGAAACGTGGAGAGGCCTCTTTCAGTTATTAAGCTTCTGAACTGTGGAGCTCACTTCCACTTTTATTAGACAGTCAAGCTCAGTGCACATTTATAAGAAACAATTGAAAAATCTGTTTAGCTTAGCATTCAATTAAAATCCTATATCTTTGGTATTTATCTTTTTAATGTGATCTGTCATTGCCATATATGATTTTAAATCAATAGTCATAGTGTCTTCAATTACTGTTAAGATTAAAGTATGAAAAGTGCTCTATAAATAATGATATTATCATTGCCAGACAGAGAGAAGTGCGTAAGTTACATTATCAGCATCATGTTTTTATATGATATGATATTTACTGACCATGGCCTGAGAGATGCTGAAATGATAAACATAGACATGGTTGTCAATGCAGCTCAGAACCTTTTTTTTTTTTTTAATCATTATAATAACACCACAATCAGCCAGATTCAAAGTGTAGAGTGTTCTCACCTCCAGAGCTGACCCCTACCAAGAGAGGCAGAATTATCATTCCGAGCTTCATCTTTCCCATCTGCTGAAGCCACTGTGTGACACCATGGTTTATATACCCAAAGTGAGACCTAGAAGAACTTCCTCATGAGCTACAGCATTATCATAAGTGTGGGAAAGGAACAGCTGGCCAAGCTTTTGGAGAAATTTGATTGACTTTACAGGAACTATGCTTATGAGGTATGGCTCAAAATCACCTTTTCTTTTATTATACAGTTAGCTCAATGAGCAATTGTACAGTGGCAGGTTTTGTGAGCCAAATTTTGCCGCTGTACAGCACCACAGTGGATATGAAAATAAGCAGTGGACGTGCAGACATTCGGACATGCAGACATTCAGTTTTAATTCAAGGAGTTTAACAAAAATATTGCATTAACCATTTAGGAATTATAGACATTATAGACAATATACATTATTTTTAGCATTTTTTGATTATGCATTCAGTAGCTGTTCATGAGAACTCTCAATATGCGGTCCAAAGAGGTGTCAATGCAATTAAAGAGGGCCATCAAAAACAAAACCATTAGAGCAGGAGTGTCCACTCATATCTGCAAAGGGCTGATGTGGCTGCAGGTTTCCATTGCAACAAAGCAGGAGCTCACATGCTCAGTTGTGTAAAGACTGAGACCGACTGATTATATGATTGAAATCAGATGTGCTCTTCTTGTTTGAAACGAAAACCTGCACCCACACCGGCCCTTTGTGGATAAGATTGGACACCCCTGCATTAGAGAGATAGCAAAAACTTGAGGAGTGGCCAAATCAACAATTTGGGGCATTCTGAATAAGAAGAATTGAACTGGTGAGCTCAGTAACACCAAAAAGCCTGGAAGACCACAGATGAAAAATATGATCATAGAATTCTTTCTGTGGTGAAGAAAAACTCCTTCACAACATCTAATCAAGTCAAGGACATTAAAGAGGAGGCTGGGAGATCACTGACAAAATCTACCTTCAACAGACACCTTCAGGAATGTAAACCTGAGAGAATTTAGAACTGGAAAGTTCTGAAATGGTCAAGCCAATCACCTGACCTCAACGTCACTGAGCTTGCTTTTCACTTGCTGAAGACCAAACTAAAGGCAGAAAGACTCACAAACAAGCAGCAACTGAAGATGGCTGCAGTAAAGGCCTGGCAAAGCATCTCAAGGAAGGAAACTCAGCATTTGGTGATGTCCATGGGTTCCAGACTTCAGTGAGTGACTGACTGCAAAGGATTTGGGTCCAATATTAAAAACGCTGCTTTTATAATTATGTTAGTTCACCTGATTCCTTTTGAACCTGTGAAAATGGAGGAACTATGTAAAAATGGTTGTAGTTCCTAAATGGTTAATGCAATATTTTTGTTAAACCCCTTGAATTACAGCTTAAAGTCACTGATCCATGAGTGGATCAGACACAGCAGTGCTGCTGGAGTTTTTAAACACCTCAGTGTCACTGCTGGACTGAGAATAGTCCACCAACCAAAAATATCCAGCCAACAGCGTCCTGTGGGCAGCGTCCTGTGACCACTGATGAAGGACTAGAGGATGACCGACACAAACTGTGCAGCAGCAGATGAGCTATCGTCTCTGACTTTACATCTACAAGGTGGACTGACAAGGTAGGAGTGTCTAATAGGATGGACAGTGAGTGGACACAGTGTTTAAAAACTTCAGCAGCACTGCTGTGTCTGATCCACTTGCACAAGCACAACACACACTAACACACCACCACCACGTCAGTGTTACTGCGGTGCTAAGAATGACCCACCACCCAAATAGTACCTGCTCTGTGAGGGTCCATGGGGGTCCTGACCACTGAAGAACAGGGTAAAAGGGGGCTAACAAAGTATCAGAGAAACAGATGGACTACAGTCTGTAACTGTAGAACTACAAAGTGCACCTATATAGTAAGTGGAGCTGATAAAATGGACAATGAGCGTAGAAACAAGGAGGTGGTCATAATGTTATGCCTTATCAGTGTGTGTGTCCTGTGAGACTGTCCTGATGTATCACTGTAACATCGTAAATGATTGCTGGTAATGTTTTTTGTGAGTGTGTGGACTCTGCTAAAATATATCCTCAACATCCATCACTTTATCTGCCTCTTTCCTACTTGAGGTGCCATTGTGTAAATGTTATTTGTAATTTTGGATGCTATATTTGAGATATTACATAAGCCTGTCAAGCGTAATGAACTAAATTAACATGTAAGTATTGTATATCATTTTCTAGTGAAATCGGTGTTGAATGTCAATAAACTGAAATTATGTTATGACTTCACACAAAACTTCCTGGTTTGGATTATGCCCAAAGGATGACATTGCAGAATAACTGAAGGGCCCATACTGTGCAAAAATAAATCACACTCATTTTTTTGTTTTTTAAATGAAAGAGTTCATGTAGTATGTAAATTCTGAAGTTTCAACACATATCATACATGCCCAAGTCCATACAGTTCATATATGGAAACTAAGCTGCAAAAAATAACCCATTTTGAATGAATTTTTGTTGTTGTTGTTGTTGTTGTTGTTGTTTTTTTGATGTCAACATGTTTACATTTGCCTATTTAGCTGACACAAGTGTAAAAGTAAGGAGTGTTTCAATCTTGACTGTTTTTTTAAATAGGGGAACAGAAACAAAAGCTGCCTATGTAAATCTAAGTGATAAAGGAAGTGTGGAAAGTGGTCATGTAAAGTGGACCTCGAAGGAAAAAAAAACTAAACGCATGTAAAATGTTGGATTTGGACACAATCCCACTGTACCCTTATTTCACATTTATCTTCATGGTGGTTATGCGGCCACGTAAATGGATTGCTTCATCATAATATAGACTAATTGAAAAGCAAGAAACACAGGTCTGCCTTTGGGAATGCTTTAATAGAAGTGCGTAAGAAAATGCTCTGTGTGCTGAGTGATAAGTGTAGAAGAGATTGGAGCTTCTGAGTGGAGTGAGCTCATTTTTCTTTCTCAACCTCGACAGCAGACTTCGCACCTGGGGAGTGAAAATATAAAAAAATATCAGCACTTCTTTCAGGACATCAAATCCTATGTAAGATAAAATAGATAATAAAAAGTTATTCTATCTCTATACTGTTGCAGTCATGCATAAAAAGTAAATGTTTTATGTCTTAACAATAAAACTTCTGTTTTTTCTCACCTTACATAATGTATTTAAAATGTACTGTTTATCCAAAAGTACTGACATCCATGTGAATTCAGGTACTCAACTCAGTAGTCATCAATCCTCCTCCTGGAAATCTACCTTACCCCAGAGTTTAGTTCCAACGTCCATCTAACATGATTTCTCTCCCCTTTACCTAACACTAGTTTAACTGATCCAGCCGATCAGGAACTTCTAAAGAAGTTAATTAACCGGAGCAGGTGAGGCAGATTGTGCGTGGAACTAGATGTAGAAGGTAGATCTCCTGGACCAGAGGGTTGGTGGCCACTGCTTTAAAGGAATGGTTCAACAAAAAAATCCGATGTACCCAGTTTTCTGCTTCCCCCTGAAGTAGTCTCAGCCAAGATGTTGTGTGTCTAAACTGATTTTTATTAGCTTAGCATTGGACCTACGAGGCTAACATTGCTAACAAACACAGAACGTCAATAGCTGAAGGTACTTTGCCTTCCCTTTAAAAAAAATAAAAATAAAAACAGTGTACATACTTTTATAGGCAAAATTAAATGTAAAAATACAATGCAACTAAGTTGGTACCCTATATGAGATATTTATTCTTTTATGTTGATGTACGTCTGTGAAAGACAAGCATGTTAGCATTCTCAGACACAAGACAAGACTTAGGGAATTACACTGTGGCTGAAATGTGTTCAGGAGGAGACGTTGTAATGAAATTCATTTTTTTTTCATCAGATGAAGAGTCAGTAACCACTGAACATGGCTATAAATCTTTGATTATGAATACACCCACTGCTTTCGTTAATTATGTTTTTCTGAGTTTGTCCAAATTGTTGTTGAAGGGCAGCAGCAGCAAGAGAGTGTTGTGTTTTTGCTAACGAGTGGACTCTCCTAGCTCCATCTCAACCTGCAATGGATATGGTCAAGTGATGGCGATGTAAATGAGACGTCATGTTATAAATGTTTCCACTCAAATAGCTGACAGTGGCAAAGCAAGGCTTGCAGATGGTACTTTGTTTACAGTCTTCTTGCTCTCCTGATCATTTTGAGTGCTGAATCTAAAATGTTCCCACATGTTGGATTTAAAAGACAGCGGTGCCTCTTAAATTTTTTTTCTCTCTGTCTTGCTAGAGTTCGATATTAGCCCATTGGAGATGAGAGACTATTAGTTTTCCCTCTCTTCTCCAGCTCGTATTTGCATACTACGGAGCCTCTAAGGGGCCGTGGTTGAAAAAAAGTTACTGACATTGCGTTCCCTCGCAAAATATATGCTTATCAGACAGCAAGCAAACGTAGGACCAGAGGTGCCCAACGACATTGCCTACATTAGAGCTTTGTTTTCAGCATAGCTAACGTTAAAAGCTGTTTTCCCAGTTTCGCCAGTCTGAGCTGAGTTTATTCAGCTGTTGTTCTCTGCAGGTCTTTGTAGCTTTTACTGTACGAGGACACTCGACCTCAGTTTCAGTTTGAGCCTCTAACAGCAGAATTATGTTTGATTTTGAGAAGCGACACCATGTCTTTATATTTCAATCCAAGATCAACGTAAAATTCAGTGAGCTGCTCCATCTCTGAGCTTAAAGCACAGCTTTTACAACCGAATGCAAACTGTTTGCATCATAATGCAAAACATTTATGAGGGAACGTATATTTTTTTGCGAGGGAATGCATTTTATTTGCAAGATAACGCAAAACATTTGTGAGGAAAAGCAAAACATTTGCGAGGGAACACAATGTCATTAACTTTTTTTTTTGTTTTTTTTGTTTTTTCCACCACGGCCCCTTAGGGGCTCTGTAGCATACAGAGTGCTGACCAGCTACAGGTAAATTCTGGCAGGCTCCAGAGATGCTCTATAGATCTGAATGTAGGTGTGTGTAATCTGCAGCACAATAAACGCATATTGCAAATTATAGGAAACTGACTGGCATATTGTAATACTGGGGCTCACTCGGGTGTACTGAGCCATACCGAGGTTTGACTGCATACCGTGTACCGTTGCATCCCTGCATCGCAGGAGTTTGTGATTTCTTTCTTTTTTATAAACAACTGTTAATCTTGACTTAAAATTATACATTTTAAAACAGAAACACTAAAAATCACCAATCACATCCACCATCTATATGCCTACACACAAATGGGAGTCATATTCTGCTTGGAAGGCAAAACTGGCACAACGCCATTTGACAAGTCTGCAAGACCTTCATGAACACCTGTTTGGGATTATAGTGGGTTGAGAGACGTTTTGGTGGATGCATTTACAGAAAAGATTTGTTAGCCTTGTAACCCTCACAAAACTAAGGAAGGAAAACCTAGAAGGGTATAAAGTCTCTCAGCATCAGGCTGTGAAGCAGTGAAACTGCATTCTCTTCAGTGATGAAGCATCATCCAATACTTCTGGGATGAGCTGGAGTGATATTTGTGATCCAGAACTAATCATCCAATATCAGTACCTGACATCCCTGCTGAATGCAATCAAATTCTCACAGCAGTATTCCAACATCTGTCGTGAAGACTTTGCTGAAGAGTAGAGGCTGTAACTGCCCTTGATTTCATAAGAAATGCTGGATGAGCAGATGTCTACAAACTTTTGAACATATAGTGTTTGTAAATTTTCTAATTGTCACTGACCACCAACACCAATAACTGGTAGTTACGTTATGGTCTCATTCCAAACACACTAAGATGCCAGGAAACAGAAACTGCCCTCTGACCTTTGAGGGTGATTGGCCCCAGTGTGACCGTTTCAGTGTGGTGGGAGGAGTCGAGGGATCTCTTCTTGCGCATGCGGCAGCCTTGGCGACAGCGGGAGTTGTAGTCGTTGTCAGCGCAGACGATCACCCTACACTGCAGGAAGACGTAGGAATGAGTCCGCAGGAACTTGAAGGCCCTGAAATGGAACTGAGCGTAGTACTGCCTCCCGTTGGTGTAAATGTAGACCGTGCTGTCCTTCGCACAGCTAAAAGAAAACAGCAAAGAAGAAGAAAGATCACATCTACTTTGAAATCTATACAAATAAGATGAATGAGGTCTTGGATTAGGCTATACTGCAAGGGTATGATAATAAGATGATTGGTTGGATCAGGTGTGTTACAGCTGAGAAAGCCTTTGCAAGACTGGGTACTCCAGGAATAGGACTGAATCTATGAGTCTGAAAACTGGACCTAAACAAGGGATAATTAACCTAATCATGATTATTAGGCCAGTCCAGAAGTACACTTAAGTATTTGTCCTTTTTGTGCTGCAGGCTGTCTTACCCATTTTGGATCAGGGTGTAGGAGCGAGACTGGAAGTTGTTGTTGGGAGAGGCCACACAACTGTCCACCAGGAGGTCCAGGGTGTCATCAGCTCTGCTAAGTTGCACCTGAACGTACAGGTCCTGATTGAGCCTGACCTCATAAGGAAATTCAAGTATGGGATAGGAGAAGCTGCTGGAAGGGTAGAAGTCTATGCTCGCGTTAAACTGGCCTGTGGTGGTGATGGTGCTGTTGATCATCACTTCGGTCTTGTAGACTATCCCCACTGTGGTGTCCTGCTCTATGTGGCAGTTCACGCTTAGCAGGAATTGTTCAAGTTGCCGCGTGATCTCGCCTGACTGGGATGACGCTGCTCGCACATGGTTATGGTAGACAACTTGTCCTTTGTTGGTCTATCAAGCAGAAAAGCACATAGTGCAAAACAATAGGTCATGTTCTGATGTTCTGACAATGAGAAACCTGGTTTTACAAGGCCCTACAGCAGCAGTTCTAAATATTGGGCTTATACTTATCAAGGGTCTCAGAGAAGGAAATTCCACTCATCTACAACCTCATCTTCAAAATAGTTGGGACACTTTGCAGCATGTAAATAAAAACAGAATGCAATGATGTGCAAATCATTTAAACTATATATTTTATTGAAAATAGTACAAAGACAACATATCGAATGTTGAAACTGAGAAATTTTGGTTTTTCGAAAAATTTATGCCCATTTTTAATTCAATTGCCAGCAACACATAATAAAAAGTTGGGACAAGGGCATATTTACAACTGAGTTGCAACACCTCTTCTTTTAACAACACTTTTTAGGCGAAATGTTTATTCATTCTTGCTTGATGTAGGATTTCAGCTGCTCAACAGTCCAGGGTCTTCTTTGTCATAATTTTTGTTTCATAATGCACAAAATGTTTTCACTGGTGACAGGTCTTGATTGCAGGCAGGCCAGTTTAGCACCGGGACTCTTTTACTATGAAGCCATGCTGTTGTAATATGTGCAGAATGTGGTTTGGCATTGTCTTGCTGAAATAAGCAAGGCCTTTCCATGTAAAAGACATTGCTTGGATGAAAGCATATTTTGCCAAAACTTGTACATATCATTCAGCATTAATGTGCCTTCACAAAGGTGCAACTCACCCATGTGTTGTGCTCTGGTGCATACTCACAACATCATGGATGCTGGCTTTTGAACTGTGTGCTGATAACAAGCTAGGTGGTCTTTAGCCCAGAGGGCGCAGTGTCCATGATTTCCTAAAAGAATTTTGATTCCTCGGACCGCAGGACACTTTTCCACTTTGCCTCAGTCCATCTTAAATGAGCCTGGGCCCAGAGAAAGCAGCAGTGTTTCTAGATCCTGTTTCTTCTTTACATGGTAGGGGGTTTAACCTGGATTTGTAAATGCAGAGATGACCTATTTTTTCAGAAGTGTTGCTGAGCCCATGCAGTGATTTCCACTATAGAACTGTGTCTGTTTTTAATGTAGAGCCACCTGAGGTTCTAAAGAACATAGCCAGCCAGGAAATACTGGTTTTTGGCCTTGTCCCTTTCATACAGAGATTTCTTCAGATTCTCTGAATCTTCTAATGATATTATGCACCGTAGATGATGAAATCCCCAAGTTTTGTCATTATTCTTACCACTATTCTTGCCATTATTCATTTTCACTATTTTCCCACCCAGTCTTTCACAGAGTGGTGAACCTCTCCTCATCTTTACTTCTGGAAGGCTCAGCCTCTCTGAGATGCTCTTTTTATACCCAGTGATGTTATTGACTTGTTGCCAATTAACCACCTGGAGTTTTTTTTAAGCATCATACAACTTTACCAGTCTTTTGTTGCCCTGTCCCACCTTTTTTGAAAAGTGGTGCTGGCATCAAATTCAAAATGGGCATATTTTTCTCAAAAAACAATAAAACCTCTCAGTTTCAACATGTGGTATGTTGTCTTTGTATTTTATTTTTTTTTTTTTAAACAAAGGGTTTAAATCTTGCACGTCGTTGCATTTTGTTTTTATCTACATTTTGAACAGTGTCCAAACTTTTTTGGAAATGGGGTTGTAAAATCATGGCCCATATTCATAAAGCTTTGCAGAAGTGCTGATCTTTTAGTGTTAGAAAGGTCATAGTGAATAAGAGAGGACTCTGAGGAATCCTAGGTCAGCACTCCTACTCTGAAAGGCTTCAAGAATTCAGGCCCAGGTCTCATAACTCCATGTAGTCCCATTGAGTGCTATGTAATAAGCACGGAATGATCCCAGATTCATATTTGATAAATATCATCCTGAAAAGATGTAGAGACTGGCTTTACAGTAGGGACTGGCCTGTATGAAAAAAGCGATAAAAATCGAGAGCTATAATTTTATTTTTTACTTTTTATCTTATTATAAATAAACAGTGTTTTACTGACAAGTCAGGAAGGTCAGAAACTCACAGTCTTAAATAATACAAATATTGCAGCACTGAGGGTGGAGCTACCCAGAATTATTGCAGAGTTACTTGCATTTTTATTCTGCTCTAGGGCAGGTAAAGTTCAGGACTTCACAACATAAACAGCTCTTGGCCAGCTTCTGACCAGTTGACGGAGTAACAGATGGAAGTGGACCCATTTGTGGCGTGAATCACATGAAGAAAATCACTTTTTTTACCAGAGGAAGCAAATCATACTACATAAACATTAAAAAATATAAAGCAGTTATTATTCAGAGTATTTAAAAATGCTAAATCATAGTGAACTAAATCAAATCATTGTGAGGACAAAGATCAGAGATTTACACCGCTGCTATATACCTTTGTCCATTTTGTAATCTAATATGTAATATTTATCTTACCGTTTTACTGGTTCCACACATGTCAATGGGAAAGTTGAAGGACACCTCGTAGCTGTTAGCAGAAGGTCTGCAACGATGGTCATCCACATAGAGATTATACCAGCTGATGCCCAAAGAGTCCAGGTATGATCTCTGAATTACAATGGTCATGCTCTCTGAGGAACAGACCACACTAGCTGCACAACAAAAGGGTTCAGCAGTTGAGAACACAGGCACCCGGACTTCAGTACATGACAGGCTTACACATATCCACAAACACTGTTATATTCATAATTTGTTATTTTATATAGAATATTAGCATTCATTTTATTATATAATAATTATATTATATTATATTATCCATTATACTATAATAATTATAGTACTATTATATATATATATATATATATATATACACACACACATATATATATATATATATATATATATATATATATATATATAGAGAGAGAGAGAGAGAGAGAGAGAATATACTATTTTTTCATTATACCGAACAACTTCAATTAAAAAATGTATAAACTTTTTTTTATAAATCTTGACTTGTTTCTCATATACGAAGACAAAAAGCCAGTTTGCTTCCAATTTTTTCTATATCATATATGTGAAGTACACTCCATTACTCCATTATTGTGATAGATGAAGCAAAGTGAAAAATCTCCAAATCAGGGGGAATTTTGTGTTTTATGGCTACCATGAAAAGAAGTTAAACAATCAAACACACCAAACCTCTATAAAATAATGAAGCTCTTGGGTCAGTTTTCCATTTCACATTCTTGTGAATTCACACTCAGACAGGTGGTCTCAAATTATACATCTGATGCAACTGTACCCATTGCCTTTTTGCTGAGCTTACCTGTGTTTTTGGGCAGAGAGCTGCTGAAGAAGCCTTTGAAGCCACGGGCCACACCTGAGCTGTCGCTCCTGAACAGGACAGTCATGTATGAGGAGGATGAGCGGAAGTCCCGGAGGGTGGTGTCATTGTAGCACAGCTTCCCCAGCAGTGAAGAGGCATTGGAGGAGCCATCATACACGTATATATAGTCACAGTCACAGCAGTGATGAAGCCTGAGCCACAAACACAAGAGGCATTAGCAGCTGATGAAGCCCACATTTGTTAGCAGCTGATGAAGCCCACATTTGTTAGCAGCTGATGAAGCCTAACAAAAATTGTAGGACCAGCAGTTTCAAGTTCAGATAGTTAAAATTTTGCCCCTTACCTGAAATGTCCACAATCAACCAAGACATGTTTGGTGTCTGTTTGTTTCTTTAGTTTTGGACTGGAGCTACAAGGCTTTAAAAAATCTCAAGTAGACTTACTTATGTGGTTTCTGACACTGTATGACACACTGTTAGTAACAAAAATGGAGTAAACTATGGTGCATAGCTAAAAACAGTTGCAACTATCTTTAAATCTGGATTTTGTCCATACTTTAGTTCATTTTTAAAGATAACAGAATGTCATACAGTGTCAGGCCACATCATCTTTATCAACCACATAAGCAAAAAAGTCTATTTCAGATTGTTTTACGACTCGAAACAGTTTAAAGCAAGTATATGTCAGTGGTGTAGCTAGAATTTCATTTCAGGTGGGCCTAGAGAACAGGTTGGGCAGGATAGCTAGTGAGCATTATACCCCAGATACATTGCTATAGTGACAATGATAACCATTGACTAGCCTACTTTACTGTAGCTAAAACATTAGAAAATCCATTACTACAAGCAAAGGAAAGAAACATGATAAAATTTTAAAGACAGCCCATGATGGCTAAAATCACATTTCACTGTTTAGTTTCTTAAACTTATGACAGCATACCATAGCAGGTATTTGATTGTTATAACCACAGGCCTTCCTTTAGACATCTAGATTGAATGCTTAAAGACTGTGATTTTCTCATTGCTTTTTCTTTTAACCTCTTCTAGATCACTGTACCAGTAGCAGGAAACCTCTATGGAAGCATTCCCTCCTGGTTTTATGTACATAGTTTTATGTATCAAATCATCCACAGACACATAATAATCAAAAAATGGTCTTGATAACACAGCAAGAGTCCAAGATGACTGTAGAGATCTATGTCTGAGGTGGAAATAAACTCCTTCATTCTAGCTCTGCATCAGTAATTCATATAATTATTCTGATGGTTGGGAAACCTGAGAATGTTAGCTTTCAAATGAGATCAAGATCATGACTGTAGCCCAAAGTATGTGGGAGGCATGGGGGAAATTTTCTGCCTTCAGACGTGGTGGCCCAACTACAGATTCCTGTGGAACCTCTTCAGACACCCCTTAAAGTGGCTGCACTGGATGAAGGACCTGCTGGTGTGGATCCCATCACTTTTGTCACAAAACCAGTTCAGTTGGAGGCCAGCTTTCTTCATAAAGAACAGCTTTCATTTTAGTTATTGACTCTTCAGAATTTTCTCCCTGTCACCAGCCCCCCGCTCGCAGCTTCTCCGCCCGGATCGAATGTGAGGCTAATTAACATGGCCTCACTGCAGGACCGGAGGCAGGGCTCTCATTTACAGAGAGTTTTATTCTTAGGCTACAACATTAGCACTCAGGGAATTGTTATGGATGATTAAAAGGTAGAAGCCATAGTTTACTGGCCCACTCCGACATCCATGAAAGATCTACAAAAGTTCTTCCATTTCACTACTTTCTACCATCAGTTTATTCGAAAATTTAGTGCTCTTGCCACTCCCCTCACTGCTCCTGTTTCTGCTCCTACCGGCTCTGCCTCTGTGAGTAATACCGTGGCCTTTCCTGTTAGTAAACCTGATAACCTCCAGTTCCTGTCCGGTCTGATCCAGTATCCGTTCCAGTAGCTCTTCTCTTGTCCAGCACCAAGACAGCTCGAGGGTGTTGCCTACCAGTGCCTCCATTCGGGTAGGAGTTGGTTGTTGTGGGTGCCCTTGGTCCTTGGCTGTCCTGGACTCCTTGAAGGGTAACTGTCATGTGTTCCTCCGGCCTGGCTGAAACTACAGCCATCTTGTTCATCGTGGACTGCAATTTCCAAAACCCCTTACTCCATCACATGACTCAGGACTCATGCAGATCCACCTATTTCTAATTACTTTCATCTTGTTTAGAATGTTTCTTACCTCCCAGGGGAGTCTGCTCCCCACCAAAACACAATACATGAGCCTAACAAGCATTTTACAGACAGTGTCATGAATTACTTACTCAAGATTTTCAAATGACAGTAAGATCCTCTGCCCTGCAGGAGCAGAGAGCTGCCATACACAATATGCATTGTCAGGGTAATAATTTGGATGGTCAGGGCTGGAGATTGACCCAGAATCAAAGAAGTGTCCTCCACAGGTGGGCTGAGTCACTGGAGAAAGGAGAAAACAACTTTGGTAAAGTTTCAGCAGTACATTTAAAAGAATTGGTTGGGCCAAAAAACAAACCCCAGATGTAGCTGATCAGCCGACACATGTTTAGTATCTAACTTCAGCTTCTTTAGTTTAGCACTAGAGAAGCTATGAGGCTAACATTGCTAAAAAGCACTGTCAGTGCTCATCTTTTTTCTATAAATACATTCTCTAAACTTCTCTCTTCTCACTCAAACCGCATCCAGATCTTCATTAAGGTAGTGCAGACTTGTCAATGTGGTTCAGAGCATAGTGGGACTTAAAGTTAAATATAAAAATGAACAAAACATCTCTGTGTAGCCAAATGATCATGATCAGTTCTTAAGTTTGTTACCAAGCAACCGAGAATATGCAAACAGCTAAAATGTAAACAAGTAATCAAAATAACATGTGAGTTAGTTAGCTAGACAGGTACTGTTGTAAATACAGTCAAAAAACATATTTTTATGTCAGAGTTTAAACATTTTAACCACGTTGGGTAAAACACTGATGGCAGCACTAGTTTAAAATCTGACATTTGAAGCCTGTAATGAGCTTTATTATGTATGTTTTAGTGTTTCAGTAAATCCTTCAGTAAATACTTCAACTTGAAGCCTCACTCTTAACACTGGAGGAGGCTTTAGTACAGTATGCTTCACTTAGAGCAGACAAATACCACTTATGAGCTCTTATAATTTGTTATGATCAGTACTTATAATGTATTATGTTACATGACAATTCATAAAGCATAATAAACATGGCTACAATGTATAATGCATTTTTGGTAACACTTTCCATGAATGTCACCTTTGTAAGCATCTATAAACACATTCATAGCATGTTATAATGCATTCATGAGGCATTATAAACATAGCTATAAATATTTATAAAAAAATGCATCACACGTTATAGCAATGCTTATGCATTATGAATTGTTAACATAATACATTATAAGTACTGATCATAACAAATTATAAGAACTCATAAGTCGTATTTGTCCGCCATTATAGATACAATATTAAGAAAGAGGATATTATGGATTACAGTAATGTACTGACGTTAATTTGGAGTACAGCATGTCAGTATCTGCTAAAGCTATATTAAATTTGTATAGTGATTTTTTTACTGTACGGTGGACAAGCATCAGCATTCTGAAATGTGACCTACTGAGCTGTACACAAACCCACACAAAACCCTCACAGAGTTAGCACTGGACCAAAGTTGAGATAACAGTTATTTAAGGTTGAAGGTTCTGTGGAATATGGTGGAGTGTCTGTAAGTCCAGGAAGAGCAGAACAGAGAATAAGAGTAGTTCAAAAAGACCACTCAAAAGGAACTGTGCAGGGTGAACTGGTTGTCCCTGCCATTACAATCAGCTCTACTTCTATAGAAAGTCCTGAAGCTGACAATGCCATACAGAATCCAGATTTCTATAGTTTCTATAGTAAGGTCTATAGTAAGGTCAACGCTACTAAACTGCCACCACACTGCACTTATGACTGTGCTTATGACTGTGTCAGAGAAGGTGATGAATGGAAACTTTTGTGACCTCTAGCCGTCATTACGAGTACGTCGTTATGCCTTTCGGGATCTCTAACGTCCCCTCAGAACTGCAATACCTCAAAGAGTGGGAGGGATCCTGTACAATCCCGTACCTATTCCAGTGGTCATTCCCCTAGTTAGTCACCCTCCCAGCACCACAACGGCCCCGGGGTTCCATCGTTTGATATCTCTGATCACGTGGGTGGAGGTGTTGCGCCTTCTGGTTTGACTTTGTGTCTGGTATTGGACATTGCCTTTGGGACACCCTTCATGGTTACCGTTTTTTTGTATTGGCTTTTGTCCTTAGACTGACTGACTTTGATTTCGGATTCTCCCGTTGTTAAGAAACCCTTTTTACTTAAACGTGGTCTGTGAGCATCTGAATTCGGTACGAGCCTGACAACACCAAAAACTGCAGCGTACGAGCTCCAGCTGATCCTCAAGCGACCCATCTCAGAGGACCCGCAGTCCTGTCTCCCGACTTCAAAGTAAGGCTGGCTATCTTTTAATTTGTGCAGTCAAGGATCCACGCTATCTTATTTGATAAGAATTCTCTTTTAGATATATGCTAGTTAGGTTAAGTTGCCCTATAGATCCTTTATCCTTAAGGCCCGAGTCGCTTTCCCAAGGAGCACCCTCAGCCACCTTTGCATACCATTTTACACTATGAAATAAGTTACATTACCTGAGTCATTCCCTTGGTTTTATTTCTTTTCTTTTGTTTATTACCCAAGTAACCCAACTGTAGTGTCATATTTAGACAATCAAGTTACTTTGATTGAAGCATCCTCAGCACGAGTGTCTGTCTCTTCCCTGCATTGGTCTTTAGACTTTAAACAAAATCCAAGGTACCCTGACCTCCTTTTTAGTTTAGGCAATAATAATCAGATTCATAATCAGATTAAAATAGCAATAACCTTTACACATATAAGGTCTGTAACATTAAAAACATAATAAATACCTGATGTGGCAGTAGAAGAATCAGTTGAAGGCTCGGTAGAAGGTTCTGTGGAATATGGTGGAGTGTCTGTAAATCCTAGAAGAGCAGAACAGGGAATAACAGTAGTTCAAAAAGACCACTCAAAAGGAACTGTGCAGGGTGAACTGAGCAAAAGTGGAACACATTTTGGTACATGCACGATAGGAAACTGCGAAAGCATTATATTCATGTCTGGTTTTCCCTACAATTACAATCAGCTCCACTTCTATAGAAAGTCCTGAAACTGACAATGCCATACAGACTCCAGATGTCTACTCAGACCTGTCAGAGGTCTTTAGCAAGGTCAATGCTACTAAACTGCCACCACACTGCACTTATGACTGTGCCATTCATCTTATCCTGGGCGCTACTCTTCCAAAATCCAGATTGTACCCCTTACTTTAGAAGAAGAGAAGGCCACATTAATGAGGCATTATCTCAAGGCTTCATCCCTCCCTCTACATCTCCTTAAGCTTCTGGCTTTTTTTTTGTTAAAAAGAAAGACGATGGACTTGTACAGACTATGGAGCAGATCAGGGGAGCCCATTTCCTCACTAATTTAGACCTCCTCAGTGCCTATAATTTGATTAGAGTCAGAGAAGGTGATGAATGGAAACTTTTGTGACCTCTAGCCATCATTACGAGTACGTCGTTATGCCTTTCGGGCTCTCAAACGCCCTATCAGAACTGCAATACCTCAAAGAGTGGGAGAGATACGGCCTAGAGGAGAGATGTTGGGTAGCGGCCAAAGACATGCTGAAATCGGCCTTGGTGGCTGATTTCCACAGTCGCCATCCCGATGAGCTAGCGCCATGTCCAAGAGGTCGTCACAGGAGTCGCTCTCTAGTTGCTGTCCTGTACAATCCCGTACCCATTCCAGTGGTCATTCCCATAGTTACTCACCCTCCCAGCACCACAACGGCTCCGGGGTTCCATCGTTCGATATTTCCGATCACGTGGGTGGAGGTGTTGCGCCTTCTGGTTTGACTTTGTGTCTGGTATTGGACATTGCCTTTGGGACACCCTTCATGGTTACCGTTTTTTTGTATTGGCTTTTGTCCTTAGACTGACTGACTTTGATTTCGGATTCTCCCGTTGTTAAGAAACCCTTTTTACTTAAACGTGGTCTGTGAGCATCTGAATTCGGTACGAGCCTGACAACACCAAAATCTGCATTCAGAAATTCACTTGTTGTGCTTTCCCAGACCTCAGTTTAATTGAAAAATCTAAATAATCATCACATGACTGTTAAAGTGATTTTGTTAAATACAAGCATGAGCACTTCCAAAGACATGCAAGACCCATGTCTAATGTGGAAAACAAACCATCACAGGAACTGAATTCACTAGAAGATCAAAGTCTACACAAAGAGATTTAAACACATTCCAGAAAAGGTCTGTAACATTAAAAACATAATAAATACCTGATGTGGCATTAGAAGGATGAGTTGATGGTTCAGGAGAAGGTTCTGTGGAATATGGTGGAGTGTCTGTAAATCCTAGAAGAGCAGAACAGGGAATAACAGTAGTTCAAAAAGACCACTCAAAAGGAACTGTGCAGGGTGAACTGAGCAAAAGTGGAACACATTTTGGTACATGCACCAATTGAGCCTTTACATTCATGTCTTTTGTGTTTTCATACAGATATTTAATGTAGATGAGTTTAGACTGAATTACATTAAAGGTCTGTAACATAAAAACATAATAAATACCTGATGTGGCAGTAGAAGAATCAGTTACAGGTTCAGGAGAAGGTTCTGTGGAATATGGTGGAGTGTCTCTAAATCCTACAAGAGCAGAACAGGGAATAACAGTAGTTCAAGTTCAAAAAGATCACTCAAAAGGAACTGCAGGGTGAACTGAGCAAAAGTGGAACACATTTTGGTACATGCACCAATTGAGCCTTTATATTCATGTCTTTTGTGTTTTCATACACATCGTTCATGTAGATGAGTTTAGACTGAATTACATATAAGGTCTGTAACATTAAAAACATAATAAATACCTGATGTAGCAGTAGAAGAATAATTTGAAGGTTCAGGAGAAGGTTCTGTGGAATATGTTGGAGTGTCTGTAATACCTAGAAGAGCAGAACAGGGAATAACAGGGGTTCAAAAAGACCACTCAAAAGGAACTGTGCAGGGTGAACTGAGCAAAATTGGAGCACATTTTCGTACATGCACCAATTGAGCCTGCAAAAGATTTATATTCATGTCTTTTGTGTTTTCATACACATCGTCAATGTAGATGAGTTTAGACTGAATTACATATAAGGTCTGTAACATTAAAAAACATAATAAATACCTGAAGTGGCAGTAGAAGAATCAGTTGAAGGTTCAGGAGAAGGTTCTGTGGAATATGGTGGAGTGTCTGTAATTCCTAGAGGAGCAGAACAGGGAATAACAGGGGTTCAAAAAGACCACTCAAAAGGAACTGTGCAGGGTGAACTGAGCAAAAGTGGAACACATTTTGGTACATGCACCAATTCAGCCTTTATATTCATGTCTTTTGTGTGTCCATACAAATCTTTAATATAGATGAGTTTAGACGGAATTACATATAAGGTCTGTAACATTAAAAACATAATAAATACCTGATGTGGCAGTAGAAGAATCAGTTACAGGTTCAGGAGAAGGTTCTGTGGAATATGGTGGAGTGTCTGTAAATCCTAGAAGAGCAGAACAGGGAATAACAGGGGTTCAAAAAGACCACTCAAAAGGAACTGTGCAGGGTGAACTGAGCAAAAGTGGAACACATTTTGGTACATGCACCAATTGAGCCTGCAAAAGCTTTATATTCATGTCTTTTGTGTTTTCATACACATCGTTAATGTAGATGAGTTGAGACTGGATTACATATAAGGTCTGTAACATTAAAAACATAATAAATACCTGATGTGGCAGTAGAAGAATAGGTTGAAGGTTCAGGAGAAGGTTCTGTGGAATATGGTGGAGTGTCTGTAATTCCTAGAAGAGCAGAACAGGGAATAACAGGGGTTCAAAAAGACCACTCAAAAGGAACTGTGCAGGGTGAACTGAGCAAAAGTGGAACACATTTTGGTACATGCACCAATTGAGCCTTTATATTCATGTCTTTTGTGTTTTCATACACATCGTTAATGGAGATGAGTTTAGACTGAATTACATATAAGGTCTGTAACATTAAAAACATAATAAATACCTGATGTGGCAGTAGAAGAATCAGTTGAAGGCTCGGTAGAAGGTTCTGTGGAATATGGTGGAGTGTCTGTAATTCCTAGAAGAGCAGAACAGGGAATAACAGGGGTTCAAAAAGACCACTCAAAAGGAACTGTGCAGGGTGAACTGAGCAAAAGTGGAACACATTTTGGTACATGCACCAATTGAGCCTGTGAAAGTTTTATATTCATGTCTTTTGTGTTTCCATACACATCCTTAAAGTAGATAAGTTTAGACTGAATTACATTAAAGGTCTGTAACATTAAAAACATAATAAATACCTGATGTGGCAGTAGAAGAATAGGATGAAGGTTCAGGAGAAGGTTCTGTGGAATATGGTGGAGTGTCTGTAAATCCTAGAAGAGCAGAACAGGGAATAACAGGGGTTCAAAAAGACCACTCAAAAGGAACTGTGCAGGGTGAACTGAGCAAAAGTGGAACACATTTTGGTACATGCACCAATTGAGCCTGCAACTGAGCCTTTATATTTATGTCTTTTGTATTTTCATACACATCGTTAATGTAGATGAGTTTAGACTGAATTACATTTAAGGTCTGTAACATTAAAAACATAATAAATACCTGATGTGGCAGTAGAAGAATAGGTTGAAGGTTCGGAGAAGGTTCTGTGGAATATGTTGGAGTGTCTGTAATTCCTAGAAGAGCAGAACAGGGAATAACAGTAGTTCAAAAAGACCACTCAAAAGGAACTGTGCAGGGTGAACTGAGCAAAAGTGGAACACATTTTGGTACATGCACGATAGGAAACTGCGAAAGCATTATATTCATGTCTGGTTTTCCCTACAATTACAATCAGCTCCACTTCTATAGAAAGTCCTGAAACTGACAATGCCATACAGACTCCAGATGTCTACTCAGACCTGTCAGAGGTCTTTAGCAAGGTCAATGCTACTAAACTGCCACCACACTGCACTTATGACTGTGCCATTCATCTTATTGTGGGCGCTACTCTTCCAAAATCCAGATTGTACCCCTTACTCTAGAAGAAGAGAAGGCCACATTAATGAGGCATTATCTCAAGGCTTCATCCCTCCCTCTACATCTCCTTAAGCTTCTGGCTTTTTCTTTGTTAAAAAGAAAGACGATGGACTTGTACAGACTATGGAGCAGATCAGGGGAGCCCATTTCCTCACTAATTTAGACCTCCTCAGTGCCTATAATTTCATTAGAGTCCGAGAAAGTGATGAATGGAAACTTTTGTGACCTCTAGCCATCATTAAGAGTACCTCGTTATGCCTTTCGGGCTCTCTAACGTCCCCTCAGAACTGCAATACCTCAAAGAGTGGGAGGGATCCTGTACAATCCCGTACCTATTCCAGTGGTCATTCCCCTAGTTAGTCACCCTCCCAGCACCACAACGGCCCCGGGGTTCCATCGTTTGATATCTCTGATCACGTGGGTGGAGGTGTTGCGCCTTCTGGTTTGACTTTGTGTCTGGTTTTGGACCTTGCCTTTGGGACACCCTTCATGGTTACCGTTTTTGTGTATTGGCTTTTGTCCTTAGACTGACTGACTTTGATTTCAGATCCTCCCGTTGTTGAGAAACCCTTTTTACTTAAACATGGTCTGTGAGCGTCTGAATTCGGTACGAGCCTGACAACACCAAAATCTGCATTCAGAAATTCACTTGTTGTGGTTTCCCAGACCTCAGTTTAGTTAGAAAAACATGCCACATCCCATGACTGTTAAAGTGATTTTCTTAAATACAAGCATGAGCACTTCCAAAGACATGCAAGACCCATGTCTAATGTGTAAAACAAACCATCACAGGAACTAAATACACTAGAAGATCAAAGTCTACACAAAGAAATTTAAACACATTCCAGAAAAGGTCTGTAACATTAAAAACATAATAAATACCTGATGTGGCAGTAGAAGAATAGGTTGAAGGTTCGGTAGAAGGTTCTGTGGAATATGTTGGAGTGTCTGTAATTCCTAGAAGAGCAGAACAGGGAATAACAGGGGTTCAAAAAGACCACTCAAAAGGAACTGTGCAGGGTGAACTGAGCAAAAGTGGAACACATTTTGGTACATGCACCAATTGAGCCTGCAAAAGCTTTATATTCATGTCTTTTGTGTTTTCATACACATCGTTAATGTAGATGAGTTTAGACTGAATTACATATAAGGTCTGTAACATTAAAAACATAATAAATACCTGATGTGGCAGTAGAAGAATCAGTTGAAGGCTCGGTAGAAGGTTCTGTGGAATATGTTGGAGTGTCTGTAATTCCTAGAAGAGCAGAACAGGGAATAACAGGGGTTCAAAAAGACCACTCAAAAGGAACTGTGCAGGGTGAACTGAGCAAAAGTGGAACACATTTTGGTACATGCACCAATTGAGCCTGCAATTGAGCCTTTACATTCATGTCTTTTGTGTTTTCATACACATCGTCAATGGAGATGAGTTTAGACTGAATTACATATAAGGTCTGTAACATTGAAAACATAATAAATACCTGGTGTGGCAGTAGAAGAATCAGTTACACGTTCAGGAGAAGGTTCTGTGGAATATGGTGGAGTGTCTGTAAATCCTAGAAGAGCAGAACAGGGAATAACAGGGGTTCAAAAAGACCACTCAAAAGGAACTGTGCAGGGTGAACTGAGCAAAAGTGGAACCCATTTTGGTACATGCACCAATTGAGCCTGCAAAAGCTTTATATTCTTGTCTTTTGTGTTTTCATACACATCGTTCATGTAGATGAGTTTAGACTGAATTACATGTAAGGTCAGTAACATTAAAAACATAATAAATACCTGATGTGGCAGTAGAAGAATAGGTTGAAGGTTCGGTAGAAGGTTCTGTGGAATATGGTGGAGTGTCTGTAAATCCTAGAAGAGCAGAACAGGGAATAACAGGGGTTCAAAAAGACCACTCAAAAGGAACTGTGCAGGGTGAACTGAGCAAAAGTGGAACACATTTTGGTACATGCACAATGAGCTGCAATTGAGCCTTTATATTCATGTCTTTTGTGTTTTCATACACATCGTTAATGTAGATGAGTTTAGACTGAATTACATATAAGGTCTGTAACATTAAAAACATAATAAATACCTGATGTGGCAGTAGAAGAATCAGTTACAGGTTCAGGAGAAGGTTCTGTGGAATATGGTAGAGTGTCTGTAAATCCTATAAGAGCAGAACAGGGAATAACAGGGGTTCAAAAAGACCACTCAAAAGGAACTGTGCAGGGTGAACTGAGCAAAAGTGGAACACATTTTGGTACATGCACCAATTGAGCCTTTATATTCATGTCTTTTGTGTTTTCATACACATCGTTAATGGAGATGAGTTTAGACTGAATTACATATAAGGTCTGTAACATTAAAAACATAATAAATACCTGATGTGGCAGTAGAAGAATGATCTGAAGGTTCAGGAGAAGGTTCTGTGGAATATGGTGGAGTGTCTGTAATTCCTAGAAGAGCAGAACAGGGAATAACAGGGGTTCAAAAAGACCACTCAAAAGGAACTGTGCAGGGTGAACTGAGCAAAAGTGGAACACATTTTGGTACATGCACCAATTGAGCCTGCAATTGAGCCTTTATGTTCATATCTTTTGTGTGTCCATACAAATCTTTAATGTAGATGAGTTTAGACTGAATTACATATAAGGTCTGTAACATTAAAAACATAATAAATAACTGATGTGGCAGTAGAAGAATAGGTTGAAGTCTCGGTAGAAGGTTCTGTGGAATATGGTGGAGTGTCTGTAATTCCTAGAAGAGCAGAATAGCGAATAACAGTGGTTCAAAAAGACCACTCAAAAGGAACTGTGCAGGGTGAACTGAGCAAAAGTGGAACACATTTTGGTACATGCACCAATTGAGCCTGCAATTGAGCCTTTACATTCATGTCTTTTGTGTTTTCATACACATCGTCAATGGAGATGAGTTTAGACTGAATTACATATAAGGTCTGTAACATTAAAAACATAATAAATACCTGATGTGGCAGTAGAAGAATCAGTTACAGGTTCAGGAGAAGGTTCTGTGGAATATGGTGGAGTGTCTCTAATTCCTAGAAGAGCAGAAGAGGGAATAACAGGGGTTCAAAAAGACCACTCAAAAGGAACTGTGCAGGGTGAACTGAGCAAAAGTGGAACCCATTTTGGTACATGCACCAATTGAGCCTTTATATTCATGTCTTTTGTATTTTCATACACATCGTTAATGTAGATGAGTTTAGACGGAATTACATATAAGGTCTGTAACATTAAAAACATAATAAATACCTGATGTGGCAGTAGAAGAATCAGTTACAGGTTCAGGAGAAGGTTCTGTGGAATATGGTGGAGTGTCTGTAATTCCTAGAAGAGCAGAACAGGGAATAACGGTAGTTCAAAAAGACCACTCAAAAGGAACTGTGCAGGGTGAACTGAGCAAAAGTGGAACACATTTTGGTACATGCACCAATTGAACCTGCAAAAGCTTTATATTCATGTCTTTTGTGTTTTCATACAAACCGTTAATGTAGATGAGTTTAGACGGAATTACATATAAAGTCTGTAACATTAAAAACTTAATTAATACCTGATGTGGCAGTAGAAGAATCAGTTACAGGTTCAGGAGAAGGTTCTGTGGAATATGGTGGAGTGTCTGTAATTCCTAGAAGAGCAGAACAGGGAATAACAGGGGTTCAAAAAGACCACTCAAAAGGAACTGTGCAGGGTGAACTGAGCAAAAGTGGAACACATTTTGGTACATGCACCAACTGAGCCTGCAAAAGATTTATATTCATGTCTTTTGTGTTTTCATACACATCGTCAATGGAGATGAGTTGAGACTGGATTACATATAAGGTCTGTAACATTAAAAACATAAATACCTGATGTGGAAGTAGAAGAATATGTTGAAGGTTCGGTAGAAGGTTCTGTGGAATATGGTTGAATGTCTGTAATTCCTAGAAGAGCAGAACAGGGAATAACGGTAGTTCAAAAAGACCACTCAAAAGGAACTGTGCAGGGTGAACTGAGCAAAAGTGGAACACATTTTGGTACATGCACCAATTGAGCCTTTATATTCATGTCTTTTGTGTGTCCATACAAATCTTTAATATAGATGAGTTTAGACGGAATTACATATAAGGTCTGTAACATTAAAAACATAATAAATACCTGATGTGGCAGTAGAAGAATAGGTTGAAGGTTCAGGAGAAGGTTCTGTGGAATATGGTGGAGTGTCTGTAATTCCTAGAAGAGCAGAACAGGGAATAACGGTAGTTCAAAAAGACCACTCAAAAGGAACTGTGCAGGGTGAACTGAGCAAAAGTGGAACACATTTTGGTACATGCACCAATTGAGCCTTTATATTCATGTCTTTTGTGTTTTCATACACATCGTTAATGGAGATGAGTTTAGACTGAATTACATATAAGGTCTGTAACATTAAAAACATAATAAATACCTGATGTGGCAGGAGAGGAATCAGTTGAAGGCTGGGTAGAAGGTTCTGTGGAATATGGTGGAGTGTCTGTAAATCCTAGAAGAGCAGAACAGGGAATAACAGTAGTTCAAAAAGACCACTCAAAAGGAACTGTGCAGGGTGAACTGAGCAAAAGTGGAACACATTTTGGTACATGCACCAATTGAGCCTGCAATTGAGCCTTTATATTCATGTCTTTTGTGTTTTCATACACATCGTTAATGTAGATGAGTTTAAACTGAATTACATTAAAGGTCTGTAACATTAAAAACATAATAAATACCTGATGTGGCAGTAGAAGAATGAGTGGAAAGTTCGGTAGAAGGTTCTGTGGAATATGCTGGACTGTCTGTAAATCCTAGAAGAGCAGAACAGGGAATAACAGTAGTTGAAAAAAGACCACTCAAAAGGAACTGTGCAGGGTGAACTGAGCAACAGTGGAACACATTTTGGTACATGCACCAACTGAGCCTGCAAAAGCTTTATATTCATGTCTTTTGTGTTTTCATACACATCGTTAATGTAGATGAGTTTAGACTGGATTACATATAAGGTCTGTAACATTAAAAACATAATAAATACCTGATGTGGCAGGAGAAGAATCAGTTACAGGTTCAGGAGAAGGTTCTGTGGAATATGGTGGAGTGTCTGTAATTCCTAGAAGAGCAGAACAGGGAATAACAGGGGTTCAAAAAGACCACTCAAAAGGAACTGTGCAGGGTGAACTGAGCAAAAGTGGAACACATTTTGGTACATGCACCAATTGAGCCTTCACATTCATGTCTTTTGTGTTTTCATACACATCGTTAGTGGAGATGAGTTTAGACTGAATTACATATAAGGTCTGTAACATTAAAAACATAATAAATACCTGATGTGGCAGTAGAAGAATAGGTTGAAGGTTCGGTAGAAGGTTCTGTGGAATATGTTGGAGTGTCTGTAATTCCTAGAAGAGCAGAACAGGGAATAACAGGGGTTCAAAAAGACCACTCAAAAGGAACTGTGCAGGGTGAACTGAGCAAAAGTGGAACACATTTTGGTACATGCACCAATTCAGCCTGCGAAAGCTTTATATTCATGTCTTTTGTGTTTCCATACACATCCTTAAAGTAGATAAGTTCACACTGAATTACATTAAAGGTCTGTAACATTAAAAACATAATAAATACCTGATGTGGCAGTAGAAGAATAGCTTGAAGGTTCGGTAGAAGGTTCTGTGGAATATGTTGGAGTGGCTGTAATTCCTAGAAGAGCAGAACAGGGAAAAACAGAGGTTCAAAAAGACCACTCAAAAGGAATTGTGCAGGTTGAACTGAGCAAAAGTGGAACACATTTTGGTACATGCACCAATTCAGCCTTTACATTCATGTCTTTTGTGTTTCCATACACATCCTTAAAGTAGATAAGTTTAGACTGAATTACATTAAAGGTCTGTAACATTAAAAACATAATAAATACCTGATGTGGCAGTAGAAGAATCAGTTACAGGTTCAGGAGAAGGTTTTGTGGAATATGGTGGAGTGTCTGTAAATCCTAGAACAGCAGAACAGGGAAAAACAGTAGTTCAAAAAGACCACTCAAAAAGAACTGTGCAGGGTGAACTGAGCAACAGTGGAACCCATTTTGGTACATGCACCAATTGAGCCTGAAATTCCGCCTTTATATTAATGTCTTTTGTCTTTTCATACACATCGTTAATGTAGATGAGTTTAGACTGAATTACATATAAGGTCTGTAACATTAAAAACATAATAAATACCTGATGTGGCAGTAGAAGAATGATCTGAAGGTTCAGGAGAAGGTTCTGTGGAATATGGTGGAGTGTCTGTAATTCCTAGAAGAGCAGAACAGGGAATAACAGTAGTTCAAAAAGACCACTCAAAAGGAACTGTGCAGGGTGAACTGAGCAAAAGTGGAACACATTTTGGTACATGCACCAATTGAGCCTTTACATTCATGTCTTTTGTTTTTTCATACACACCGTTAAAGTAGATAAGTTTAGACTGAATTACATTAAAGGTCTGTAACATTAAAACATAATAAATACCTGAAGCGGCAGTAGAAGAATAGGTTGAAGGTTCGGTAGAAGGTTCTGTGGAATATGTTGGAGTGGCTGTAATTCCTAGAAGAGCAGAACAGGGAATAACAGGGGTTCAAAAAGACCACTCAAAAGGAACTGTGCAGGGTGAACTGAGCAAAAGTGGAACACATTTTGGTACATGCACCAATTGAGCCTGCGAAAGCTTTATATTCATGTCTTTTGTGTTTCCATACACATCCTTAAAGTAGATAAGTTCACACTGAATTACATTAAAGGTCTGTAACATTAAAAACATAATAAATACCTGATGTGGCAGTAGAAGAATAGCTTGAAGGTTCGGTAGAAGGTTCTGTGGAATATGTTGGAGTGGCTGTAATTCCTAGAAGAGCAGAACAGGGAATAACAGGGGTTCAAAAAGACCACTCAAAAGGAATTGTGCAGGGTGAACTGAGCAAAAGTGGAACACATTTTGGTACATGCACCAATTCAGCCTTTACATTCATGTCTTTTGTGTTTCCATACACATCCTTAAAGTAGATGAGTTTAGACTGAATTACATTTAAGGTCTGCAACATTAAAAACATAATAAATACCTGATATGGAAGTAGAAGAATAGGATGAAGGTTCGGTAGAAGGTTCTGTGGAATATGTTGGAGTGTCTGTAATTCCTAGAAGAGCAGACCAGGGAATAACAGTAGTTCAAAAAGACCACTCAAAAGGAACTGTGCAGGGTGAACTGAGCAAAAGTGGAACACATTTTGGTACATGCACCAATTGAGCCTGCAATTGAGCCTTTATATTCATGTCTTTTGTGTTTTCATACACATCGTCAATGGAGATGAGTTTAAACTGAATTACATTAAAGGTCTGTAACATTAAAAACATAATAAATACCTGATGTGGCAGTAGAAGAATGAGTGGAAAGTTCGGTAGAAGGTTCTGTGGAATATGCTGGACTGTCTGTAATTCCTAGAAGAGCAGAACAGGGAATAACAGTAGTTGAAAAAGACCACTCAAAAGGAACTGTGCAGGGTGAACTGAGCAACAGTGGAACACATTTTGGTACATGCACC